GATGGGACTAAAATTAGACGAGTTTTGGTGTTAGGACCTGCTTTTATGTGTAAATGGGTTATTTAGTGTTGTAGCTATACAGAGTGTGCAGGCAGAGAGATGTGACGTGAGAAGTCCTGCACTCCTCAATCTTCTGTTGCTTTATGACACTGCGGGGAGCTTCTCTGCAGTGTTTTGACTGCTGGTTTTCCTAGGCTGAGATTAATCCAGAGGAGACGAGGGGATCTAATGATTTCACCAGTCTCAGGTTTGATATTTTCTTAAACAGCTGCAAAAATAATCCCCCACATAGCTCCATAGTAGACATAACATCTAAAGCGATATAAATTAATGTGTCTGCTGAATTTTTGAGGAGAGGAATCCAGTTGTAAAATCATAGAAAGACAGAAAAATGTAAACACTGTAGCAACTTAAGTTCTTTAAAATCAGCTTAACTAAGGAAATCCAAGAGTCATAGGAGTGGGGTTAAAGGGCTGACCAAGAGTGCAGTGAAACAAAAAAAAACATCAAGAGGGAACAGGGATATGATCACTCAAAGCATCACAATTTTTACCCACTCACACCCCATTCATACACTGACAGTAGAGGCTGCTCTGTCAAGCACCTTCAGTTTTAACTTATCCCTTTAACCCACTGTGGGGGATAGCTGGCGGGGGCAGGTTGGACCCCATTTTCTTGCCCATAGAAACTCTGGCAAGTAAATATCAGGACTTGGAATCGAACTCCAGACCTTCCAGTTGAGAGACAACATACTTTACCTCTTATCCAAATCCATCCCTAAAATAATAATAATAAAAAAATAGATAGTGTTTGTCAAATTTATCGCATTGCTCTAAAAGTGATTCAATAACGAAAAGATATTGGAGCAGTCCCTGATTAGTCAATTGGTCTCAGCTGTGGGCCTGACCTATGGCTCACAGATTGCCACGGCAACTTGAGTTGGTTGCCCATGACGATAAACGCACTGTAGGCTGAGGCTAGCCTGGCTGGGCCATCCTGTTGTGTGAATCACTTGCCGTTCCTTCCCACAACAGTCTGGACTTCGGCCCATTGTGAGCGTGTATTCCCGATCAGAAAATAACCGGGCCAATCAGAGACCGTGTTTCCACTGTTACCCTGACAACGGGGAAAGGCAGCCCCTGATTGGTCCATGTGTAGATGGTGATGTCTAACACATGCTGCGGGAATTTTCAAAGCGCCCTTCATTCAGAACGCCGTTAATTCTGCAGTTGACTTTGCAAAGTTGGCAGAAATCGTTTATATCCACAGAAGACGTTTACAACTGTGGTAGAAAACGTGCATGGAGCGTAATTTGTGGCCGGGAGTAGCATGGAAAGAGAAAAGTTTCAGACAATATCATGCAACTTCTCTACCTCTAGTCAATGAATTCACCCACTCTGGCATGAAGATTCCATGCAATACACACCCATTATAATTTCAAAATTGATCATGGTCATTGAACAGTGAATGATCAAAAACTACAACACCTATTGAAACATGGATTGATACACCAAGAGAGAAGACCTGTGCCTACATTTCAAGGTTTAAATGGGGTCTCTTGGTAAAAGTATGCCGAGCTGGTAGATGTTTGAAAAACTCCAGTAATTGTTCCTTTATTTTTGCTATTGCCATTGATTTTAATGTAAAAATTTTCCAAAGTTTTTTGCAATTTACATCACATATAATTCATATACATTAGAGCAAAAGTAAAAGCACACCAATCCCAATTAAAACGCACGTTTTCATATATGTATTTTTTCATATAATTATTATATTTTGTCTTCAGGTTGTAGAATCAAAATCTGTCCTGAAGAGGAATAATAAAAATTCCACAGTATATCACGCTGAGGCACTGGCCCCTGCACACAAGTATAGGGGCCAGTGCCTCAGCAGGCATTTGCCCTGTGGCCCTAAAGAATCAGTAAACCCGCCAAGTCTAAAGTTGTGTTATGATGAATCCTTGTTCAACAATCCCCATCCTCTATTTTTACGGCAACTTGGGCTGTGTTTACAGCCTCACAGCAACGGGAACATGGAACCAGTGAGCTTTCCATCATGACTCAGTAGACTGCCGGCTCAGAGTCACTCAAACAAGCTTACCAAAACCTTGTGAAAACTCATCTTTCAAAGAAACCTTTGTGAGTGAGTTCTGCCTTCAGTTAATGTGGGTACAGACATAACAGGAGTCTGATCAGACCAGCAAACACACTCACAACTTCTTAAAGACCAGGTGTCACCTGGGCATGGCGGTGACTTTAGTCATGGGTGCACTGAACACACACAGACACACACCCACACACACTGTAAGTACCTCAAGAGGTAACCCTTGAGTGTTGGGTACACTCGTGTCAAAAAGTCCTTATGAAAAAAAGTATTTTAAATCTTTGAAGCCGATTCATAACAGTACGTTTATATTTTACTAAAGTATGTTGTTTAAAAAGAGTTTATGCCTTTTGTCTTGAAAAAGTGGATACTTTTGTCCCAAAAGGCCTCTAATGATGAAATTCATAATGAATTCAACCCTTTAGTCCCATTTGTACGAGGAAACTGAGAGTTATGTGATTGTGATTTTGTCACCGGGAAATAGCGCCACAGTAATAAAAACTAAAATGCTGTCATTGTGAGAAAAACAACATCATACCAGTGTTTCGTTTGAGTAGGTAGGCACGCAATGATGGTGTAAGTTCGTGGGACTTTTTCTTATTAGGCGGTATTCATAAGAAATGCTTTCTCGTTATTAATAGTTTTTCAGCCACAGTCAGGTAATGAAATAATTCATGAGGTTGGGGTTGCTGGGTTGCATTCATAATTGTACTCATTCAATCACTTTTTTTTTTCAGCTTTATTTTCTCAGGTCAGCATTCATGTGAGGAGCAGAATGTGATTAATCAAACAAAAATCATTGTTTTGTGTTTGTAGGACTCTGACAGAAACATACTGTTCTTGTTCATGTAGAGAGTAATTTTGGCTCCGATCAGCAGACTGTGGTTTTAAATCCTCTTTTCACTGGGAGCTGTATATCCCTCTGGGATGTGTGAGCTTGACACCACCCTTTTCCCTCAGCCAGGAAAAGCTTCCCCATCGAAAAAAAAAAAAAAAAAAAACACTTGCCAAAAGAGGCTTAAAAAAACTAAGTATACAAATAATATTTCCTAGCTCAAGTCTGCAAAAGTAGAATCCTTAAAGCTCCAATTAAAGATCATAAGAATGGACTGTAAATAAATATGTACAGCATGCCTCCATCTCCGTCCATTGTTTATACATGAAGCAAAAGTACTGTTGCAGTAGGAGCTGACATTCTGCCCTGATGACGTATTTTGGAGCCAAAGTGTGCACAAAAGGGATCTGGCTGGTAAAGCAGCAGGACAGACTTCACAGCACTTCATTAACCATAACACACAGTTAACTAACCAATCTAACTGCAAAGATCCCTCAGGTTGGCGTAATTTACAGAGGAGAGGACATCATTGTGTTGATCTAAAGCAGATGCTTCCTGCAGAAAGTCTGATTACTCCTCTAATCCAGTTAAAGACGCACGCTCTATTCTATTCTATTCTATTCTATTCTATTCTATTCCTTCTGTTTACCTACTCTGAATGAAACCTCTTTGAAAACTGAACACTTGCATATAAGTAAGCATGTTTAAAGCAAACTACTATGACGGGTCTGAGTTTTCTTTTTTTTAAATCCATTTTTGTGCATTTTAATTCTATTGTTTGATCCTTGTACAGTCAGTGGAAAGATCCCCAAATGCTTTGGCTTCACCTTATTGGGGCATATGTGCTGTCCCAGAGCCGGCCTAAGACTCAATGGGGCCCTAAGCAAAATTTGATTTTGGGGCCCTCTATTTCTGCTAATAATATTGATTGTTGATCATTCACACACCTTCACAAATCTCTTTGATTAACATTCCATGACATACAAACATACCTTTATCTTGGCATTTATTCTCTTTTTTTTCTTTCTTCCTCTCTCTCTTCTCTGCTTCTGAAGGATATGTCCTTTTTAGTGACATTGTTTTGCCTCACAACTACCTGCGCTTTGGATGCTCAGTGCACATTGCACAGCAGACGGCACATAACGGTAGCAGAACTTTGACATATCGGCAGTAAAAATCATAGGCCTACATCAGCAGCAGCACTAAAATGTTTTTACTTTATTTTATTTTTACAATAATATATATTTGAACATACAGAAATCATCACTCATACATGCACAAAATAAAAATATTAAAACATTTTTTTGTAATTCTTCTTGGGGGGCCTCCTGTTGGCCGCGGGCCCTGAGCAGGCGCTTGGTTCGCTTATGCCTTGGGCCGGCTCTGTGCTGTCCTTTTGCAAATTGTCTCTCTAAATTTCATCATCTGTGCTTTCAAAGAAACTTATATCACATCCAGTTGATTGTCAAAGAGAATCAACTAAAAAGAAGATTGTCTTTCGTTTAGTCAAACACTTAAATATTGCAGCACCATGACTGGACTTGTGTAGCAGTTATTACAGGGTTCAGCTAACTGAGTCAGAGTCTTGGACAGTAAGGCTACTGAATTTTGCCATTCCTAGACATTTTTCTTTTTGACCGCCTGCTTTAAACACAGAGTTTATTATTTTGTACAGTCAGAAATGAGAGTTTGTCACCATTCCCATTCAGTAATAACTCACAGATGTACAGCCCTGCTGAGGGCCGTTCATCTCCATAATGGATCGAGAAAGGCAAACCCATGGGAATATGTTAGTGGTATGAGAAACGTTTTCATCAAGACTTTTGGCATTATGATATCGTAACACTGATTTGGTGTACAAGTTCAAACTTTGGCATCCTTTGAGGGTTTGTGTTCCCCTTGAAGTGATGAGTGTGTCAGCAGTTTGAAGACATGAGAAGTCAGAGGCCTCTTTTCTTGCTTAAAGATTTAATGCTGAGTTTTTGACAAAGAAAACATCAGTGGATGAGGTTGGGCTTTCACATACAGTATTCCTATATTTGATGCATATCCGTAGGCAGCGTCAGATGTAAATACTTTGAAGTACTCGCAGACAGAAGACCCAGTCTTGTGGCAGCTGTTGGTAGGTCATCTTGTTTCCATCCAGTCGTAATATCTTCATCCTGGAGTAGGACACTGGTCCAACCTCTCTGCAGAAACTGGTTGTGTTGAACCCTGTGGTGGAAAGGCAGACAGAAAAGAGACTGCTTTTTGTCCTAAGAATTGGAGAGACCATATTTTATCTTGAAAGACTTATTGTTCACCAGAGTGACAGCCATCTGCTTATTTCTGTCTTGTCTAATCATGACAGATAGTATAGCTTGCCAGAGAGCTTTGATTTCACATCATAGACCATGTGTTTATCACATGTAAATTATTAAGATGATGTGCCTCAATCCAAGGACAAAAACTGTCTGAGCTGATTGGCTCTGTACAGCCACTGCCTCTCAGTCTGTATTTCCCATTAGACGTCTTGCAGGTGCTGCGGTGAAAAGCTGAGCATGAGGAAACCACAACACCCTCTTTTGCTTTCTCACTTCATTTCAGGAGTAGAGCCTCCCTGGACCCAGACTGTGGGCTTGGCAAACACGAACCGCAGTAGCTAGACGATGAGGTGTGTGTTATTGTAAGAGTTTTGCCGTCTCTCAGTCTGGTTATTGGATAGAAAAACAAGTACACATTTTCACTTTGCCAGAGCTTATGAGCCAAATTTGTGTACCAGGTCATTGCTGCCAGATGGTCATGTGAGACAAAATAAAGCTCCTGGCTACAAGTCTGCTGCGCTGTAATATGAATCATATATTGCAAAGAAGAAAAAAAAAACCATATATTTATATATAGACCAGCGTCATGTGCAGCAGACAGGGGGGATATGATGAAGAGGGGAACAGCATGTGCTTCTGGCTCTTATCTTTGAATCCATTGCAGATGTTTTCAAAACTCTCCCTCTAACTTGCTAGCCACCAGTATTCCCTCCTCTTCCTCTCTGCTGCACCCTCTTCTTACGTTTTCTCTTTCCATGTGTCCTAGTTCATCTTCACTCTCTCCACCTCTGACTTGCTTTGCCTACAAACTGCCCCACCCTCGGCTCTGACTGTGTCCATATGGACTGATGAGGACCGGCTGTGTTACTGAAAGAGTTTGTCTTCACAGTTCACATTTTCCACATTTCTTCTTCTTCTTGCTCACAGCAGAGTTGTATCTCTGGCCTCCCCAGGTGGTCAGCCACGTAACCCAGCAATATTTCACCTTGCTGCCATTGTTGTAGACTATATGCATGTGTGCACAGGTGGGTGAAATTAACATTTCAAACGCACTGAGTCAGTTACAACTCGACAATTAGGGTATGGACAGTTAGGGTGTATGTGCATGCTTTCTTTGCCCCTTTTTGCACCTGGTATTAAAATGTCTCCTGAGGGATGAAATACCAAGAAAAAAAGACAAAAGTACAGGTGTAAACCCACAGATCCTTTAGGGTGGCACTGAGCCACAAGCTTTTGGCAATGGGCGCACACATTTATAGAGGGGCAACCCCCCCTCACCCCACCCCTCGCCCCTCTCTCTCCCCCTCTCTAAGGGTACAATCAGGTCTGATTTGAAGATTAATGTTGTCTGACTTTTTAACTTTTCTCCTGTGTCCCATGAAAATCTTACAGCTTCATCATTTTTTGTGGCATTCCCACGTTCACGAGTTAAGTGTATGCATTTGAGCTGGATGGATGAAAAACGGGATAAATCAAGCCTTATATTTCAGCACACGTCAATCCTGTACACATGAGCTGTTCATCATCTTTCATATGGTAAAATAACCCAAAAGGGACATATACTTTTCAAAGACACCACAGGTTAAGTATGGTGGTTGTTATAGAGTGTTACCCTACTGTGTTAAACACTTGATTCTGAATGGTCAAAAACCCTTAACAACCCCCATGAGAACAGCTGTTAAAGGGATATTCCGGTGTAAAATTAGGTTAGGGTCAAACGCACCGTAACACAGAGTTAGACACCCCCTCAAGAGATGAATGTTGCAGACTGCTTTCTTCTCTAGTTATACCAACTTTAGTAACGACCGCAACCAAAAGCCTCAACCAAAAAGCCACTCTATAGCCACAAATAATGATCAGAATAGAACCTAACCTTATCAACAGTACATTATATCAACAGCCACTTGTTTGTAGAGAGAGCTCGGATGAGTCCATCACCGACTGCAGCGGGGTGACGCAGCTCAAGGGAGAACATTTATGATCACCATATTAATCATTTTGCACTGCAGATGCAGTAGTTCTTCTGCCTTAGTGGTCTGATTGCATTTCCATAAAGTAAAATTCATAAATGTTCTTCCCTGAGTTGCATCACCCCGCTGCAGTCTCATCCGAGGTCTTTGTACAAACAAGCGGCCGCTGGAAGAGAGGAGGTGGGTTGTATGTAGTCTCTTTGCTAAAGAAATCATGCAAACTTAAAATGATGTTTGGTGGCTAGTGCTGTGGCGATGTCCCTATATGTACTGTTGATGAAGTTAGGTGCTATTCTGAGCATTATTTGTGGCTATAGAGTGGCTTTTTTGGTTGAGGTGTGCGAGTAGATCCATAGACTGCTGTATTGCTATGGTGCGGTCATTACTAAAGTTGGTATATTTAGAGAAGCAAGTGGTCTGCAAAATTCATCTTTCGAGGGGGTGTCTAACTCGGTATACGGTGTGTTTGACTCATAGACTGTATATAGAATGGACAGCGTCTGCCTCCTCACTGGGTGAAGCCACTCCAAGAACAGCACACCCTTTCGCTGGACTGCAGTATAGGTCATTACAAGCAAGAAGTAGAGTTTTGAATTTGATGCAAACTGCAGCTGGAATTCAGAGAAGAAACAGCGAAGTGTTATGAAGGTCAATCAGCAGGAATGAGCAATCAAGGCAACATGAACCTTAAAGGCTAGTTGGTCATCAACCATGACACCTAGATCATTATCTGTAATTTACTTACTTACATACTTACTCATTCACTTACTGTAAATAGAGACTCCACTTTACAGTAATACATTTTAATACCTTGCGTACACAGGATCCTGTGTGTGAACTTTACCTTCAATTTCATTGGCCTCAAGGTAGAGGTACTGCAAGGAAGTGTGGACGGTGGGAATAGTAGTGAGTTTGTTATACGAAAGGTCCAGTTCAACCAAGCTGGAGACATTGAAGACCTGTGGGTTGATGCTCTTTAAACCACAGTGACTTAGACGAAGATATTTCAGCTGGAGATATCCCGCAAAGCTGTCCCCATCCAGTCCAGAGAGAGAGTTATTGGACAGGTAGAGCTGCTGGACAGACAGAGGTAAATGTCTGGGGATAGATGAGAACAGATTCTCACTCAGGTCCAGCAGGTTCAGACTGATGAGACCTGCAGGACAAGAGGAAGACAAACACACAAATGCAAAAATGACATTGTCAAATCTTTGTGGCAGAATAAGTTTTTGTTCAATTGAGTAGTATTTATGTGAGACGTGAGATGTTGGCTTTATCAAATAACCTTTGATAACAAAAAAAAAAAAAAAAAAAACTGCTATTTTATCATAACAAGTAGGAGCTTCAGATATACTGAGGAGATTTCATGCTGGCATGACAAAAGCAAATCCTTTCAGGATCACAATAAGGTTGAAAAATTTGCCTCTTTTAGTTACTGAGTCCTGATTTGTTGTTAAGTTCTGTCCTGTGAAGAAGAGTTGTCCAGATCTTGAGATAAATTAGTTTTTACCTAACAATTGTACTCATCAGAGGAATCAAATAAAAAAGGCAGAATATGAAGTTTTAGGATGCATCACATGATGCAATCTGTTGACTTGATTACTTTCAGAATATATTATGTGACCAACAACACAGTAAAAAGGAAAAATGTCTCACCATGACTCATCAGTTTTTTAAACTGTGGTCTGTATGGTGTTTTTGATAGGTGCACAAGATCAGAACAAAGTGGTTCTGCACTCTCTCACTTCTCACCACCCATGGTAGGTCTTCATATACACAGAAAGGAAATGACACATCACACTACCTTTGAGGTCGCCTTCTGTGATGGTTTGCAGCCTGTTTCCCTGCAGTAGCAACAGCGTCAGGTTCTGCATTTTCTGGAAAGTTTCAGCGCTGATGCTGCTGATTTGGTTGTGAGCCAGTCGTAGCTGCTTGAGTCCTGCCGGTAGAGCACTGGGAACTGTTCTCAGGTTGTTGTGGTTGGCAAAAAAGTAGTGAAGCTCAGTTTGGTTCTGCAGGACAGCCTGGTCCATTGTGTCACTCTCCAGCTGGTTGTGATCTAGGATGAGCCAGCGTAAACCAGTAATGTTGGCTAGTGATGGGGAGGACAGGGATGAGATATTGTTACCCTGGGGACAAAAGGAAAAAGGCCTGATGAATTCAGACCTTTTACTCCACTTTGAATGAAGATTATTCAGCCCTCTGGGGTAGAGGTCAGCTGCTGTTGTAATAAGAACAGGAAATAAAAAACCTCTGTGAGTTAGTAGAAGGAGGCGTTTACAACAACAAAACACACTTCAAGTGTCTGTGCTTTTCCCACCTGCAAAAACAGGTACTGAATTCTCCCGGGCAGATGGTCAGGGATGTCTGCCAGGCCTCTGTGGTCACAGTAGAGTGCTGTGGGCCACTGGATGGGGCAGTCACATTGTTGAGGGCATGCCTGGGGGTTGTTAGCTCGGAACCAGGCCCGATCCATCCGCCCCTGAATGCTGAGCACACTGGGCTCACCGAGTATGCGATTAATCCACAGGGGAACACCCCCATAGTCCATGCCTGCTAATACTGTGGCTGAGCTGGGGTCAAAAACACACAGCAGCACCAACAAAGTAGGGCATAGAAGAGTCATGGAGACTGTGTGGGGTGAACCTGCGACCTGGATGTTGAGAAAAAAAGCTTCTAAGCGTTAAAAAGAAGTTTTGAGACCCACAGTCATGATTAGCAAACTGAGTAAATAACAACTGATTCCATATGAGTGTTTTGGTTGGGGCATGGGAGACACCAGAGAATTTGGTATGAAATCTTTTGTGTGGGCATTTGTCTTAATGGAGATGCTATGAAGTTAAATCATGGGAAATGGGGGCATCGTGGCAGACTTAGGAACAGCTTCACCTACCAGGCTGTAAGAAAGCTGAACACTCTCCCATCTCTGTCGCCTCCACCCTCTGTCCCCCCCAAAAAAAACCCTCTCCCCCACTGCTGTTGCATAATTACCTGGTTGTGTACTTTGCACTGTATAAAATTCACTTGTAGTACAACTTCACTGTTTACATAGATGCATACTTTTTACGTACTGTTAATGTCAGTACAATTCTGCTCCCACCACCTGCACTTTAGGTCATATGTAAATATATAGACAGAAGAATCATTAATCTGGTCACTAAATATGCCTGTGTATGTGAGTGTATATATCATAGACTGTATATATTATGGACAATTTGGCTCTGCCTTCCATCATTATACGAATTTGAAGCCAAATGCTCTTGATATTTCTGGATTTTCTTCTTTTCCTGGAACCACCACTTGCGCAGTAGCATTGTATGCATTCGGCGGGTGAGATGATGCTCGACTCAAACAGTGTATCCCCACTATGCAATCTTCGTACACCCATAGGCTGTATCAGGTGTCAATCATAGAAAACATGAACCCCCTAATAACTTTTAAAAATGGAGCTGCACAGAAAGAAAGAGGACTTGAGCACAAACCAGTTTTACAATAACTACATGTCAACATCACAACCAGGAGGGAGAAATATTTATATTCTGTTTTATCAATTTCTAAAGTTTGTCCACAGCTCCATAGGGATTGCTGGAGGAGGTGGGATTTATGACCTATACTGCAGCCCGTCACCAGAGGGTGCTGTTATCGCAGTGGCTTCACCCAGCGAGGAGGCTAACGGCGTCCATTCTATATACAGTCTATGGTATATATACATAGAGGGTATATGTACATGTATACATATAAACATTCTTCCTTCTCTTGTATTACACTTCTCTCAATTGTATTTTTAATGTATTATCTATATTCTCACACGGTGGGCTGGAGAGAAACACATTTTAGTATATGCATGTACATTTGGCAGAAATTGACCATAAAAAAGCTTGAATCATGAAAAGAAAATGTTAGCAGTGTGCAAACATAAGCTTAGTTCGATTCAATTTAAAGTTTAATGCTTGAGAATATCTTGAAAATGAATGCAACTTTGTATGATGAGCAAAAAGTGATGGACTGTTTTATCTAAAACTTGGTAACACAAGATGAGTAATTGTTTTGTTAAGAGGTCATAAGAGGTCACCTTTTTATGAAGATGTTACATGATGTCAAAGTTTTCTGTTCTTATGAGAAAAGGACCAACATTTCATTATTTGAAATGCAGTCAAGTCAAGCTCTTGCTAAGCGCAGTTCTCAGCAGACAAACCTCTTTGCACGAGAGAAGCATACTTTTTTTTCCCCCTGCATACACAACTGTTGTTAGTTACCGTAATTCCCACAAAGCTGGTGTGCAAAAAAGCAAACACATGCAGAGACTCTCAGTTGCTGTATGACACAGCAGTTTGTTGGAAGGCTTTGCATCATCAGGAAATTCAGTGTTTGCAGAGTATTATTTTGCCTCTTTTCCTCAGTTATCTTACAGGCAATGCTGTAGAAGTTGTAAAGAAATGATGCAATCGTGCCTCACGAAATCAGCTGTACTCATCTAAGCAGAGGCAAGTCACATCACTGTTTACATTAGTCCAGTTATACACGCCCTGTAAGAGAGGTAAGGGAAGAAGACGAGAAGCCAGCAACAAACTGACACTTACCTGTATGGACAGAAGCTGCAGACTGGAGTGCGGTCGTATGAGTCGTCAAAGAAACATTCAAAAGCTGCATGAAAACTGTGATTTAATGTGTCTGCATGCACAACTGTGTTTTCAAGCTCGAAGCAATGTTTACCCACTGCCTGCTGCATTCCTTCTCCTCACATGCTGCCCACATCCTAGACAGACCCCAGACCTCCTCCATAATCGTCGCTCGCTCACTTCTTCCATCTCCCATCCCTCGGCCCTAGGTCATCATTAAACCCACAACATTTGGTGGAAACATGTTTAGTGCTCCATGGAGATACACAAACACACATATAAAGAGAGTTTTGTGTGTCTTGGTGTTTTTAATCACCCTGCTTCAGAGGGGCCAAAGAGTTCATGATAATCTAATTTAAAAAATAATAAAAAATTAATCATCAAATTATGATTTAAAATGTCCCTGGGAATGTGTGCATGTAAATATGCCCGCCATTGTGATGGAGTCTACATTAAGCAAGGATTCTGCCTGGAAGCTTAAAACCACAGGGTACCTGGGGAGCCAAAGAGACCATTCTGTGTGGGGAAGTGTGTGTGTGTCCGTGCTTGTATATGTGCATCTGTGTCTGCATGCGTTTTGGGGGGAGGTCTTGCAAGCAGCTGAGCAGAGCAGAGCAGAGTGGAGGAAAACGATTCAGCCCCCTAACCCCTCCTAACTGAATGGTACATTGTGAGAACAGAGGCAAGGTGGAGAACAGGAGAGAGAATTAGAGACAGTTTTGCTTATCAGAGGATGGAAAGAGCGCCCTCTAGTTAAAAAAATATGGGATGACACCCATAATGGAGTCAAATTCTGAACAGCTGCCACGATGGTTTGGGCAGAGGCAAGATAAATGTGGTGTTTTCTTTCAAACTTAAACCACAAAATTATAACATGGTTGATCTATGTGGGTGATGTAATCTGCTAGTCACTTCAGTGCTATTTTTATAAAAGCCCATAGTTAATGACTGGGCAACAGAACAATACGAAGTCGTGAGAAGAGCTCCAGTACTGTGACTACAAGCTGTTTAAGTTTACAGAGAAGTGCATAACTAGTCTGTTTTGGTAATAAGATACAATTTCTACTAGATATAGAAAAATGAATCAACAATAACAGATTTGAATCAGAATTTCTTCATGCAAACATTTTAATTATACTCAGCAGAATATCACGAAAACTCAAAATCTTAACTCAGCATGTCACTATGAAAACACCAAACACAATTCAGAACTGGCATAAATTTGTGTTTTTAATTGTCTTATGTCTTTTACTGTTTCATATGCCGAAGTATTAGGGCCACATAAAGAAAAAAAATTTAAGACTTTGAGATTAAAGTTGTTAATTTACGAGAATAAAGTCATTACTAACGAGAATAAAGTCATAATAAAGTCATTACTTAAGAGAATAAAGTCATGCTAAAATCATTATGATAGGCTACTTATGATAATGTGGTGCTGATGAGCCAAAAGATTAAGTATCTCCTTGTTTGAAAAACCTATATTGAAGTACATTTTTCAAAATGCTGTCATCTTAAGCAACAGGTTAAAATATACAGACTTTATTCTTGTAAGTAATGATTTTAGTACGACTTTATCCTCATAAGTAATACTTTATTACGACTTTATTCTTGTAAGTAATGACTTCATAAGTAAGTTAACAACTTAAATCTCCAAGTCTTCATTTTTTTTTTTGGTTAATGTGGCCCTAATACTCCGTCGTAGTTTTAAACACTAATAGAGAGGGAATGTTACATGGACTGAATAATATGCAATGAAAGAATAAGGGGTCAGAGGAGTTTGAACATTTCTTGTTAAGTAAGTTTTAGTGAACCGAAAAATCATCAGGATTCAATGTCTGGTCATGAAAACACGTTTGACCGTTGATGAGATTTTTCAAAACTGACTTAAGTAATGGACCAAAAAATTCTCAGTCAACACCATTCCACCATAACTTCCAAAAATGAACCATTTTTTCCTTTTTGTTCCACTCTTTGATTATTTCCCATTTCCAGTTATCAATCATGTCTAGTCTTGTAGAATTTCTGTAACTAATTTACAACTGGTTGAGTGAGGATTTCTGGAAACATGAATAAGACCTGGTACAGAGCGTGTCACAACAGCCCACTCACACCCACACATACACACACTGACAGAGTAGTTGGCAGCTTCTCACCATTCTCCACACTGTGGTCTGGTCTGTCTGCTAAACTCAAAAACAGGACAAGGAAATGGAAAAGGACTCCAGCTTCTGCTGGCCCTGATCCCTCTGCTCCAGAATAACACCTTTCATTGAAACATTTTAAAATGCCTGTACATAAACACACACTCACACATACACACCCTACAAACACAGGCGTCACATCCTGGACTTTAGATTCACAAACTCTTTTCAAAGTAATTTTCATTTGTTTTAGGATTTATGTTAAATGCTGTATTAAAAGTTTTTTTTAGTGCTACAAGAATGTAAAATTGCCCTTTTTTCAGTCATTTCTGACTGGAATTGATGTTAATGTGTTACTCACAAACTCTATATTCTTTTTTTTTTTTCTATTTGAGAAAGGAAACTTGAAAGTTTTGGATCAGTTTTTGAAAGTCTGGCTACATCTCCAAGGTCAGAGCCACATTGCTTTTACAGAACAAAAACACCTGGTGAGGCGCTGAACTGTTTTGGACTTAAGTGAAACAGTAGTTCCAAAAAAACACACTAAGACTAAGAAACAGGCTATAGTTATGCATGACTGGTAGAAAATAATCTAGTTATGACTGTCAGCTCATGTATCTTGATGCAGATTAAAAGCTTTAAATCTGAGTCACAAAAATGTACCGTACTGAATTACAATAACTTTCTGGGGATGGACCTTTTAGCAATATTTCAGTGAAAAAAAGAAAAATTGTTTGTGAAAAGCCTAAACTGAGAAAAAAAATGGTAGATTAGTCACAAACTTTTCAGAATTTCAATTCAAATTTAGACTTTGACAGAAACTTTGAGGATATTGATGAATTTAAGTAGGGAGTTAGTTTGTTTTAACTTTAGTGAAAGTTAGCACAAACCTCAAGGAATTATATATTATATTCATATACCATATTCAAAAAGTTTTCGTAAAAGTGATTTCAGGCCTGGACAGAAGTCAAGAAAGAGCTGGATAAGACCAAGTGTGATAGCTCAACATAAATCATGTATTCTCCTGTTTCCATAGGGCGGTGCTGTGACAGTGATTAAAAACTGCCGTGATAATTTCATGTTCGGGTGTGTTCAGGACATTTCAACTAAACATAAATCAATGTTCATGATAATAGTCTACACTTTGATCCTAATGTCACTGAAAAACTGGAAGATGACTAAACAGTTTTTGTACAGGTCTGTGCAGTAAAGAGATGGGATGATGGGAAGTCAGTAATAACTTGATTAACTGCATGCACAAAGAAAGGTATAACTGAAAAAGCATTAGTGCATCCAATCTATTAAACGTCATTCAATTTTGTGGCTTCAGTCCAACTACCAGATAAGAAGGAACAACATCAGAAGGTAAATCAATCAATTGTAGGTCAAATTATATGGATATGATTTCCTGTTGGCGGGTCACAAGACATTCACAGTGATGTTATTTCCTGATACTGCCCTGAGGAGGTTTTCTCTCTAAGAGTTGGCAGGTAAAGAAGATCTTCAGGCAGTTTGACAGATTTCTTGTTTGAAGGACACACCCACATCTGATCATGAAAAACTATTACATGTCGTCATACTCTCTGTAGCCTCTGCAGTAAATGTTTCAGCCTTTCCTCTTTGACTGCATGGCATACATGCTCAAAAAAAGGGTTATCCTCTTATTTTTGATAAATACCAGTCAAATGTGCTTCACTTTAACACACATATGTTGTCTCTATATGCTGCAGGTATCATGTCATTTTAAATGTTATCCCAAAATTAACCTGTAGGGTCTACATGGAAGTTTTGACCTCTTGCCACACCACAGAGATGTTTTTAAGAACCTCTGGTTTTTGTCTAATGCATGAGAGTTAGCTGTATACACCATCTGTCTCACCATCTGTCTTTTGTGTTTGTCTGTCAGTTTACTTTATCTACTGTTAATATTTATTCATAAGTATTGGTATTGTGGGTTTTTTTGTTTGTTTGTTTGTTTGTTTTTTTTTGCATTGTACAGTGTCTTTGAGTATTTTGAAAAGCCCCTTTTAAAGTAAATGTTTTATAATTATCTTTATTATTATTGATTTTTCTCAGATCTAGAAGAGGCAGTGAGACTCTTAGAAATGCTGCTTTGCATTAACAAAAGCACAACATAGAAAGCTGGAAAACAACACCTAAACATGTCAGTGTCATTCACTCGACCTCATGTTTTGGTCCAGCTGACTTATCAGAATCCGTTAAAACACAAACACCAGATAAATCCACATTAACCAAAGCTTTCAGTCTGTTTCTCCTTCCTGTTTTTTCTCTTTTCATAACTACTTTCCCATCTGCTGTTCCCTTGGTTTATGTCTCAACAGTTCTAGACACAGGCACTAGAGGGGGCACCATTTCCTCCAGAACCACTGCTGATACCAGTAAATGATTTACAACAGTTCGTAGGATAGTATGTGGCAATACATTTAAATAAAGATGGTAATTTTATAGATTCGAGACAAACAACATAATAAATCTTTGCTCCAGTTATGAGGGACAGACATTTAAAAGTTGTTTTTACAGAAGCCAGAGTCCAAACAACAGAGACAGACCCTGGTGCAAGTTTATCTTTAACACCTGAAAAGACCTGCAATGAAAACTGTTTTCAGTACATAACAAAGAAAAAGGATGAGAAGGTTCACACGGTGTGATCATGGACATCTGGGTGTGTGTGTGTGTGTGTGTGTGTGTGTGTGTGTGTGTGTGTGTGTGTGTGTGTGTGTGTGTGTGTGTGTGTGTGTGTGAGAGAGAGAGAGAGAGAGAGAGAGAGAGAGATAGCGAGCTTAAGGACATATGCTTTCAGTTGCATGGCTCTGCTGCTCCTTCTGCCCTGACGTGTCAGGGTTCAAGTTACCTTCAGGAGACACATCATCCATAAATGACTTGGACTGAATCTAAGTCATTTTAAGAGTATATATTTGTAATTTATGTCCACTAGTGGATGAACTGTTTGACTGTGTGTGCTGGTTTGTGTGTCTGTCCTAAGGTTATGACAATAGTCTGGTTAATACAAGGCTGACTGTTAAATTTGTCAACTTCAGACTTGTTCTTTTGCTTAAATTTCTTAAAGAGTTCGGATGTGGACTGTTTACAGTTTAAACTAAAGCCGGTGTGGCTGAAATAAAAGTCAGTCGACACAGCCATCTGTGACTAAAAGGTTTGTGTGCATGCTTGTTTGATGAAATAAGACTTGGAGACAGAGAAACTGTGGAGCAGAAGTTGAACTCACACAAAAGTTGAGGTTATTACTGATCTCTGAGAGTGCTGTAACGAGGATATTGTTTCATCGTGATGGTGCTAAACATGATGTAGTTTTTCTGTCTCGTCTTCTCTGAGATTTTGGTTTCTTTTTATGAGAAGAAACATAAACTCCCCTGAGCCTTCTGATAAAGAAAACACTTTTTTTCCAAAATGTATTAATGCCATATGAATCAGCAAGGCAGCCCTGTGAAAGAACATCTGACTGCCATACATCCATAATAGCACTTTTCAGTCAGGCGAAACAATGGTGTCCAAACAAAGAGAAATTTGTCTCAATGATTGGCTTTTGTTTTGGCTACAAATGGATGAGTAAAGAAAGTTATTCATGCATTTCTTTTTCTGCAGTGACCGAAGAGGTGATCTTCAGCATGAAAATTCCTGTGACATTCCTGAGATGATTTCACGGCCTGAGTGGAAAAGGCTTGGTCCTCTGATCTCCTGATCCCCCTCAGAGCTGCTCATGACCCAAACATTGGATGGGGGTGGGCAAGGTTGGGGCTGAGCTTGTTGGGGACTGTGTGAGTGCATGCGGGCCTCTTACTTTGAAGTCCTGGTCAGCAGAGAATCAATTTCTCTCACTTTAAGTGATGCCTTCTGCTCCATTGGTGTCTTGAGGGTTAACCTTTCTTTCTATACGTAGATCTTCATCTTTAAGTAGAGTTAATCCACCTAAACACCTCCTATAAAGGCTCTTTGATGTTATGGTGCAAGAAGCTATAAAAAATCAAAAGGCTCGTAAGGTTGTCCGTCCTCAGTAAAAGGTGAAGGATTGAAGTTCATCCAGGTTCAGTTCACAGGTATCTTTATACAAATAGCTCACTTGAGCTTTTCACAGACAAGCATAGCTGAGTGACGATGAAGCCCATCGGTATACTATAGGTCTAAAAGTCTGGAGCAAATGCTCTTCCTGATGTTCACACATGCCTGCAGACACACCTGAAAGGAAAAGGGTTTCCTTATGCTGTAGTCACAACAGCAGTAAAACATACTTTCCTTTATGTATCCGTTTGTGTCTCGCATGTAAGACTTACGGCAGTGTTCAATCCTCCACATTCCAGTCACCAACAATCACAAACTTGGCCCCGTTAATTTCTAAACACAGCTCTTGAGCTCAGCAGTAATGCAATGCAGCCATCTGGTTGTTCTTTTCTCCCCATGTTTGATGTATAAGCTCGCTATTGTCAGACGTCGGACACAATTGGTAGAGTATGTAACAACCAACTCACTGTGTAACATATGTTGGGCACTGGGCCAGTCCATATAGCAGACCTCCCTATGCTGTTCCTCGAGATACTTTAGTTTGGCCAAGCGCTGTGGATCTACTTTTGGAGCACTCATACTGATGGTAAACCCCTTTGACAAAATGATTTGACGATTATTTAACTCATCTGATAAGACGTACCTGATCTCTTGCCAGGGGTTGGACCATTAGCCCAATGCCAATCAGAAATCAGCAGGGGGGAAGTCTAGAGGGGTGGCATAGCCCTCTCTGAAATCTGATAGAGATATATAATTGTGCATGCTTATGTCAATTTTGGTGCAGAGTGGATTATTATGTCAGAGGACAAGTTTGTTACAAATATTGATTTCTGGCCTTTCTTGGTTTTGAGGTTGTCTATAAAACTGTGTTTCTGTTGCATACGGCTCAGACGTTGTTTGCAAAGACAGGATCACAGGCTCACAAGCACCTGCTAGCCACAAAACTTTAAGACACAGTACAGTACAGGTGGTCAAACTCTTTCAAGTACTTCCACTGAGCAGTACACAGCTATTGGATGTCTAGTTTTTTTAAGACTTAATTTGAACTGTTGAGATTCGGTATATTTTTAGATGGAATTTAGATGTTGCACTTTAACTCATTATTCGCTAACTATTTTTTCAAAAAGCAACTGTGTGTTGCATAACTGATCTCCAAGTACTTAACCAAAATAATTATGATAGCCGTTGAGCAATATACAGTTAGACCTCTGTTAGCCAGCTAGTCTAAACTTGGTCTAAATTTAGACATCTAAAAAACTTTCATATTTAGACCTGTGGTAGCCTGATTTTAGACCAGTCGTCTAGGCTACATTTAGATGTCTATTGGACCAAAAAATTGCTCAGTGGGCTGTGACTTTAAACAGACTTATTTTTGAGTTTGTGAGGAATTAAGCTGAGGATTTTTTGTGTTGCCACTCTGATGTGTTACTTTTTAAATAGAAAAATTATTCAGAGGGGTAAAAAAAAAAACATACTTCACTCACTGTCCTCTGTGCTGGCTGGCTGACTGATGAAGATTAGCAGAATAGGTTTCTTTTAAATGTTGGTAGTCATAATATGGTTAGCAAAGGCAGAAATGGTCAATAAATGCTACTCATTATGTGCGCATGTGTTTTTAAATATCCTTCATGACCTAGTAGGGCCACTCACCCACTTAATGTCTGAACACACCACTACAAAAATATCAAAATGTTTCACTGTTTCTTTATTGATCAGTAATTAAAAAGACAATTCAAAGTACACTTCCAAAAGGACAACATAATCGATTAGACAACAGCTAACATTAGCATGATGCTACTTATCAGACATTGCTGTTAGCTATGATGTGAGCTAGAAATCCATGTCTTGCATAAATAATTTTTGCTTGGGTGTGGTTAGAGGTTAGCGCATTTTTGTCCTTTAGCCACCAGTTTGAATATAAAATGTGTCTACATACAAGTACATTGGACGTACCTTGTGGTTATTATTAAGCTCTCAAAAATCAAGAAGGATCAGGGAGAAAACATTGAAGTTTTGATGTGTATTTCATATTCATAAGGGAAGACGTGATGGGGTTTACAAATTTCCATCTGTGAATGGAAAAATGCTCAAAGACAGCTCTTTCTTTTGCTTCTGAAAGAGGGGAAGAGTAAGCAAATCTACTAGTTAGTAATGCTGAGTGTTTAGGCAACAGTCTGTTTTTGATTTCATGTTAGTATGAACAGAGAAAGTGATTTCATAATGGTACTAAACACAACTCTGCCGGTTGGTAAGAGAGCTTTGCTTGAGATCTGAATTAAGTCCAAAAGCTTCTAAATTTTGTAGTTGGGATTACTAAAGTCAATAGCAAGGCCCTCTCTGTATGTTCAGAACTTTGCCCTGTCATTTGTGGAGTAGAAGGAGAGGCTCACAGAGGATGTAAATCTTTTCATCTGGGGAAAAAACTGCCAGTGACGTAGTCAAAGCATGAAATATCACACCCAAAGGAAACACTGGAAATTTATGGCACAGACTCATACATAGAAACAAACCAGGGCCAGAAATATCATAAGCTTTTGCATTAATGTGTATTTAGGATCCAAATTATTAGACTTGTTACGGTCTTAGAAAGGTAGACTATCTTAATCACAATAACAGAGAGATGAAGTGAAGAAAAAAGGGAATAAGTCATTTGGAGGATCTTTAATGAATTAGAGAGATGGAGGATAACAGTGAGAGAGAAAACATAGATTAAGATTGTGCTCATGTTTGAGAGAGGATGCAAAGCAGGAAGAGGCCCACATTGAGACCAGACGGACAACACTACAGGACTGTGGCACATGTTTTCATTTAACCCTTTACAAGATGTTAGCTTGTTGGAGAGGACCAGAGAAAGTTGGACCCGCCTCTCCTAAAAATCCCTTTGTCTCAGGCACAAGAATTTTTGCTGAGTATATTAAACAGAAAGAAATATTTGGGGTTGTTTAACAATTACCAGTCATTCAAAGCTTCGAAAGCAAAGAAAATGTATACAGAACATACCACGAGAGTGTCAGGAGTGTATTACTTATATGTGCATTACAAAACAATCAAATCACTGCTGTTAGAGCAAATTAAAAGCTTCGTATAAATGCTAGATGAAAGCCAAATTGCATGGATTAACTCTGCTTCTTTGTCTTTTTAGGTGCTAAAAAGACAATAAATGCAGCTTTAATCACTGAGTGAGAGTTTATGGCTTTGTTCAGAACAGAAAATAGCATTTAAGCCAAAAGGATAAAAAATAATAATAATTTACAAGTGCTTAAATAAATAGTGGGGTTCAGCGGAAAAGCAGTGAATGTGCTACACACAGATGGGAACAATCCCTCACAGCCACTGCATCTCACATCACTCACATAAGTGGAAAAAGAGACTCAAGAGTGGGGTGTGCAGGGCCATGCTTGAAAGAGTAAAATGGGGTGCAGGCGGGTGGAGGAGAAGGGGGTGGAAGGAGCCAACAGCCAGAGAACATAAAGTGGGGTGGAGAGGGGGGATGGCAAGACAGAAAGGAGAGCAGGGAGGGAAGGTTTTTACTTAACATTTGTCAGAGTCCCCCTCCAGTTCTGAGCAAACTCCAAGAGAAGGGACAAGGAGGGCCAGTCTCTCTGAACAGGTACGTGTGTGTGTGTGTGTTTTTTTTTGTGTGTGTGTGTGTGCATGTGCATGGACATATGTTGGTTTGTTTTTGTGGTTTTTCTATGTAATCTGATAAGAGGTGGATAAATAGGCATGATGACAGTCATGTTTCTTAAGTTTTGGGATTTTTTTTGTCTTTAAATCTGAAGATAATTATTGGAAATTTTCCCACAGCGGTGAGAGCCATCAACAAAGCTGGCATTCATAGCTGAGCCGTCTTTCCTTTTTTTACACTTCCTCTCTGGATTCCCTGTGGTTTAAGACCCCTAAAAATGTACCTCTTTGCAAGCAGTTACACACTCAAAACAAAGTCAGAGGCTGTAATACATCTTTGAATGTTCATTTAACTCCACAAAGATAACATGGACGTTTGCTCAAAGGTAGAAAATAGTCTTAAGGAGTGTTGACATAAGGTAAAAGGAGAGAAAAAAAAGCAGAAAGAGTCTCTGTAAATGCCAAATGTCAACAAAAAGAGAAACTGTCAGGATTAGTCCCAGTTATGAGTTAGAAAAAAATATCAAAGGAGGTCATTTTTTAACCAAAGTAAGATATGATTTTTATTTTATTTATTTATTTATTTATTTATTTTTTTACATTTTTTTAGATTCAATGCATCTTTAACATTTCTTTCATTTCAGTAACACAACAGTCAGTCCCTGATTTGTTTGATTTTCTTTTGTCTTGCACTTTAACTTTTCTGACTTTGTTTTCTGAGTTTTTTGTTTTTTTTTTGCTTTTGCACTTTTTATTTGCTAAAGAAAAAAATCAACGCAAAGAGAAATAAGGCATTAACAGTTATTGTGTTAATCTTTACTTTGAGCTATACGTGTTAGAAAATGTTTGAAATTCTGTTTAGTGCAGCTTCACTCACTTTTCTTCTGTCATGCCTCATTGTCTTTGTCAGATAACAGTGGAGCTTTGTGGTTCTGTGACCATGAGAGTGATTATCATCTTCCTCCTGTCTTGCCTGCTTCCACACTCTCTCGCCAATGGACGGGACCCTTTCGCCTGGCTGTACAACCGGCGAAGTGAGGGACATTTTCTTGGCTCTCTGCAGGCAGACACTGCAGGCGGACCATGTCCAGACGAGTGTGACTGCCCCCCTACTTACCCAGTCGCCATGTACTGTGATGGACGAGGACTGACAGCCATGCCAACCATCCCCTCCCGAATAAAATACTTGTACCTCCAAAACAATGCGATCACGGCCGTGCCAGACTCCGCTTTCGTCAATGCAACCAATCTTGTGTGGCTCATGATGCACCACAACCAGCTGACATCTGAAGCCATTGGCAAGGAGGTAACAGTCTACATCTGGTCTGAGTCAAGTAATGCCACATGTGAGCTCAGTGTGTAATGGCTGTCAGATGGCTTGCAGGTGGCACGCTGCTGGATAACACAGGAAATAGTAATTGTTTTATTGTTGTTAATCTGTGTAAATGGCAAGTGCATTCATGCGTTTAGATGAGTAGATTTTTAAGTCCAACTTGATTTGTTGGGATTTGTTTTTGAATTAGCTGTGTTTAAAATGACATCCATCGTCTATAAAGTGCACAACACTTAAAATTCACCATCTGTTTTTAGTGGCCAAACAAATGCATCCATTAAATTCTAAGTCATAAACTCCACAGTAAGCCAAAGTCGTCCACGGTATACATACAATTCTCTGCTAACAACTGCAAAAGGATATAACATTGGAGAATTGTGTCTAATATCTCAGTTTATAATAGATTATGTAGTTATTTGCTGAGTTTCCATTTCAGTGGCTATTACTGATCAAGAGATTGCTATTAACTGCGGCAGAAAACGAGCTAAAATAACCCCAAAAGTGTTCACTAATAGTGCAACGAATTCAGAAGCAAAGGTAACTGTCAAAACATAAGCTGCGTTTACATGGGCACAAATAATCAGAATAAATGCCCGATTGGAATAAAAATGCGTCATGTAAACATATCGATCGGAAGATTCTGATCCAATTCGGCTCAATCGGAAAGAAATTGTATTCCGATCGAGAGGGGTTTATGCTGATCGTTTTTCCAAAACGTGTCCATATAAACACTTACTGCGATCATTACCCCCCCAAGTTAGCTGTGTTTTAATTAGTTATCTTAAGTCAAAATGAGTGGATGTGACATCATGAGCAACAGATTTATCAACAGTATTTCTTATTTTTTTACAGTGGGAGGAGATGGAGGTGTGGTTGTAATACTTCCAGCATCATCTAACCTGTGCTCTGGCTATTTTATTTGCAGCTTATAAGGTTGTTACCCAATGTTTCCCAGAAAATAAGTTGTTTTATGATCATATTTGACTTTGGTTGGTATTTATCAGACTCTAGAGAAAAAAAGAAGAAAACTTTATGGCACATTCCCCAGAAAGCCAAAATTTCCTATTGACAAGCAAAAAAAAAAGGAACCGGATTACTTTTGGGGCCAGCCTTGGTAAACCTTTTGTCAACCATTTGTTTCGGCCGTTTTAATTTATTTGATAGCTCTGATGTAGAAAACAGGAATTGTTGGAGGGGGTGACAGTGAAAGCCTGAAGCTGGAGTCCAACCTGGGACACCTGTGTTGAGGGTTGTAGCCATTTAATATTTGGAAAACATGTTAGTAGTTGAGCTGGACCAGAAACCCACTTCCTGCCATCTCTGCATCAGCTGTATTTTGAGGTTCCTCCAACAGTTTGAGTTTTGAAATTGTCCCCTAGACCAGTACTAGTTAGTTCGGTCAGCCCAGCACCTCGGAGGTTTTCTTGCCAGGGTTCGCACCTGGCATCCCAGGGCTGCTCTGGACCGAACCCTGACCGGACCTCAGACCTTTTCTCTCCCCCTGGTTTGTTCAACTTTAGAGACTCCAACCAGGGATAAGACTCCCTTAGATTTAAAGCTCCTAATACTTTCTGCAGCTGTTTGGAGCTTCTCATTTTTTTACTGCTCTGTAATCTGATGAACAGAGCACCATCATCTCTATTAAATGGTCTTTCACCTATTTAAAATGTATTAGTTTCACAAAGCCCTCCCTGTGAGGACCGGAGACCTTGATTGTCATGATTAGAAATGCCACATTTGTAACATTACATTTTCATCTGGTCTTTGTATTTGAAACCGAGACCAACTCAATGACAACATGTTCTGTATTGGTCTTTTTCTAGCATCCAAATCTAATGGCATTGGAAAACAAACAAACATGAAATACATCTCATTCAGTGGTATAGCTTTTTGCTTCATTAATTAAAATACACAAAAAGGAAATAGCCAACAAATAATGTCTATCTTCAATCAAACATACTTGACAATGTTACTTTGGCCAGTCTGGATCTGAGGTTCGTTTATTTTCATTAATTCCTACTATTTTAGGGTGACCCTAATATGACTTCCCAAAAAGGGGACACGACTACGCAGGGGCGGAGTCACCGGGTCATACAAAGTTAATTTTGAGAGTTTTTCATGCGGATCGACTGTCTTTTACACGCTTCTAACTCAGTATGTCCACGTGACACAAAATCGAAACTTACGTTGACATTTGAAGGATTTTATAAACCACCCCAGACAAAGCCGGACAAACCCAGACAGCCCCCCAAAAAAGAGGACATGTCCGGGTAAAAGAGGACGTATGGTCACCCTATACAATTAACACATTTGACCTTTGATTTGCAGCCACAGTGCAGTGCAGCCACAAGATTATTTTACTGTGTTTTCAACTGTGTTATTCAGACACTGGCATGCCCCTACAGTGGGCCAAAGAGTCTTTAATCCAAGGAAATCTTTCAGTATTTTTTAACAATAAAAACTGTCAATAAGACATTGAAAATAAAGCCAGAATGTTAATATGTCAGTACGGGCAGCAGAAATGTGATTTCAGATGGACACAGTCAAGCTAATGAGTGACGAGGAGGATGGTAATATATTTGTCATTTGCATTATCTTTGTAGGCTTTTCTGAAGTTGGGATTACTGCAGCGTTTATATCTTCAACACAACAACCTAACCAGCATCCCTCCGAACCTCCCTCGCACCCTGACAGACCTGAGAATCAACCACAACAACATTGAGAAGGTAATATTTCACTGGCATTCATGCCAAGCCCCTCTCCTTTTACTTTTTGCTTGTACACAGTAGAGACATTGGACTTTAAAATCATTTCCACTGTTGCCTAGGTAACGGCTGTAGATGTGGAAGGGATGGATAACCTCACCGTTCTGTATCTCCATGACAACGCTGTCACAGATATGGGCACATCATTGAAGGCACTGAAATCCCTTACATTGTTGGACATCAGTGGCAACAAGTTGACAAAGGTATTTATATTTGTCTCTGTGTCTGAACAAGTCGATGAGCAGCCAATTCCTAGCCTCTATAATATTTTCATGAACTGATCTTAGGTTCCTACCGGACTGCCTGAACATCTGCACCAACTCTACATGGAGTCCAACTCCATCGATTCTCTACCAGAGGGCTTTCTGAGCAGCTTTACTCAGCTTCAGTACATCAGGATAGCACACAACCAGCTCACTGACAAGGGCATCCCTCCAAACACCTTTAATGTGTCAGGGCTGGTGGAGCTGGACCTGAGCTTCAATAAACTGGAGAGAATCCCACCCGTGAGCGCAACACTAAGGCACCTCTATCTGCAAGCCAACCAGATAAAAGGTAAGGGTTTTTTTTTTTGTAAAAATATTTACAACTTTTGATGTGTCTTTAAAAATGTAAATTTAGCTTCTACTAAACCAGTAAATATATAAACAATGGACGTTTTTTTGTACTCATTGTAGAAGATGTTTTCTGTGGGTCTTTACAGGCCAGGTGGTAACATTGGATGTTTGGGGAAGATTTTCTGTAGGTTCTAGGAAGGCATGCAGCAATTCTCAACCACTTTTCATTTATCCCACCAGAGTTCACTCTGGGTAGTTTCTGCACAGTTGTGGACGTGTCCAACTTCTCCAAACTGCAGACCCTGCGACTGGATGGGAACGAGATCAGTCGACAGGACATCCCTTCAGAGTCAGCCGTCTGCCTGCGTCAGGCTTCCACCATTGAGGTGTAACCATCTCAAAGTGTGTGATAAGATGTGTGGCACGCTGCTCATAAATGCAGCTCAGTTTGTAGGGTGTGCCAAAAGTGTTACAAATTTCTTTAATGACATGCTAAAACCAAAACCATAATATCTACTGTTCACATAAAGCAAATCTGAGGATCTTTCCATTAAAAGGCAAGTGGAGGAAGCAGATGTTTCATACTTTGCTGTGCATCCTCTATCAACTCATGGGTTTCATACGGCATAACATTTGCATCACCATCTTTACGACCTACCTAGGACCAGACATCAGTTCATAACAAAGCATCAGGACCACCTAACTGAACGAGAAAAATAGGATTTGGGAGTTTGAGTCTTGAAATTACAACAACAAATCTGTAAACTACTGAGTCAAGAGTCAATTTTTCAATATTTTGAGTATGTGGTTAGCCTGTCTATTGTTTTGAAGGAGAAGATCGAAACAGCAGCTATAGTCTCCTGAGCTACACTGAGTATCTTGGAGTATGTTGATAACTGAACGTCAAGTGTTTTAGCACATCAGCACAGCATTGTCATAAGAATCTGGATTTTGAATCATTTGTGTAAGAAACTGATGTTTGACTGAAACCTATGAATACAGAAATTAGTTAATCTTCAGGACTTTCTCAAACAAATCTCTACTGTCAATATGTTTGGTTTTATTTGATTCAAGCCTTTTTTTCACAAACAGCAGTCTATATGTCTAAAGATGACATGTGACAGTGTTTAATGATTGTTCTAGAAAACTGAAAATAATCTGACTTCTTTCCTTCATTTATGTTGCAGTGAGGATCAGTGCTCTCCATTATCACTGTTTGTTACTGTCTGTGTCTTTTTTTGCTATTGTTAAAAGCATGCTGTCTATTCTTCGGTCTTTTTAGATGATAATAAAAATATCGTGTGATATGATATACTTTATTTGAAATAATTAGCTAATGTTGAACAAGTCAACATCTTCATTACTTGACAACCCTTTCTCATCGTCATATCCTGTTTCAACTGGACAGTTTATTTTATCTTACGAACGATAATGCTGTGAACATGTTCTTTTCTAAGCGGATAACCTCTCTTTAGTGAAATTCATCTTCTTCAGAGACCAAATCTATGCTCGAAGTGTACTTTTTGAGTGTTGTACTGCAGTAAATCAGACATACTATATGTTCTTCTTGTGTTAGTTTATGTATTGCATGGAGTAGTTATACTGACAAAGGGTTAATGTTTACATGCCTGTTGGAGAATGAATAAAAATTGGGATTTTCGACAGTTCCTTAAACATTTTGTCTTTTTGTGGTGCTCTGAGTTAATCGTATACGTGTTTTGTATTAGATTTTATTGCACAAACAAAACAAAAAAAACAAACAAAAAAACAAAGCATGTTGTTGAATAACAAACACCAGGATAAAACAGACCTGAGAGATGAATTCACAGTAGTTAAGTATTAACTTTAGTGGAAGAAAATGTGCAGGAGCAGCCAACAAAACACTTCCAGGGCTTATCAAGTAGCCCACCACAAAGGAAACATATTCAACATGCTGATACGTGTTCAATGTAGGCCTAATCCTCAGTTTTATGGACTTAAGTGGGTAAAAAGTTTGATTTGGACACAGACATGATGCACAGGCATAACAAATAACATTCCTCCTAAATTTCTTTTTCTAAATTTTAAATTATAGAAATTACATTTCTTGTTGCAGTGGTCACCAATTCAATTCTTGGCCACAACCCTTTACATCTTGTCTCCTACCACTCTCCACTCCCAAAATGCTCAGAAATATAACTTAAAACAAAGCATGAAGTCAATACAGCAGTGTGTCACCATTACCCCACCCCCATACAGACACACACACACACACACACACACACACACACACACACACACACACACACACACACACACACACACACACAGTCATGCAAATATATTTTAAGGTTTGATGTAAATGTAAGATTTTGTTTGAGATATCTTTGGAAAACATTAGAAAAGATAAAGTGTACTTTTCCTCGAAGACTTCAGTGATTCATGTCAGTAATTTGGCAGAGGATGTGAACTAAGTTATTTCAGGAACTACTAGATGTTTTGGAGCTCGAGACCTAACCTTTGTACTCTCTAAAAAGGTTTGGATTGGTGATCTCTCCCTGGTCAAATGAATCTTTATTTACTTTCTGAACAAAAGATGCAAAGAAAAGGCAAAACATCTAAAGGAAGGATAAGGGAGAGTCAACTATTGGCATGTTTGCTCACTAAATAGACTCAATAGATAACACAATCATTGGCTGTTAAAGAGGCAGAGAAAGACAATAAACTAAAAGAGAAAAGGAAAAAAGCTGTTCGACAACGCAACCATACCAACAGAGTGTTTTTAAGAGGTGGAAAGCATAGTACAGGGGAGCTGGTACAAATGTTTCAACCTCAAGAAAAGGCATCAGTCATTACAAAGATTAAGATGTTTTCCAATAAATAAAACAACACAATAACCCGCTCTGTGAGGTCTGTCAGTTTATCACTTTTAAGTCCTGAGACAGTAAGTTTCTAACAACAACTTAAGTTGTCCTTAAGTGATTATCTGGAGAGCAAATCCTTTTTGTAAATTCATCCCACACTCTGAAAGCATGAATCAAGTTTTCTTGAAATAGATCAGTAAGTGATTGTCTAACTGTGACATTGTGAATCATGACAAGCTAGTGCATTTGTGTGTGTGTGTGTGTGTGTGTGTGTGTGTGTGTGTGTGTGTGTGTGTGTGTGTGTGTGTGTGTGTGTGTGTGTGTGTGTGTGTGTGTGGTGGGGGTATAGAGGGAACTGAGGCTAAGTTCTGCTCACATGAGTGTGTCATCATCTTTTGTCATTTGTGGCCACACCACTGATACTGTCATCTCAGAGGTACTGTATATAATACGCTGACAGTGGTTAGGTTGTGGAAATGCATCACTGACGAAAATGGCAAAGAAAGCATTCAAAGACCGCAAAGACCCACACGCTGTCTGTGATCATGCTAAAGCAGTCATAATACTATTCACTCTTTTAAAAGTCTGTTTTATTCACCTTTTAATGCCTCACATAATGATAAAGTTGGTTATTGTGAATAATAAAGGCCTAATAAATGATATTGTAAGTATTATATCACTACAAATAATTTAAAAAATAATAATAATAATAAAGTTTTATAATTGAGCCTTTTGGTAGATTTCTGCTTAAATGCAGTTTGTAATCTATGAAAATGTTACATCATTGACACAAACAGCATTAATATTTACCATGATTCATTAGGCCCAAGAACATTTGTTGGGTTGTCAAAACATTCCCCTGAAACATCCACAAGGATAACATCATCTACAGTGATGACATAAACCGTTTTTAAACCTGCTGTCTTACAATTTTTGCTGCATTTACCGAACTCCAAGTGTGACATATGCACGCTCTGATTATGATCAAGCTAAACACTGCTCATTTCCTGTTCCTATATGTCATGTAACAGCTTACTTTATTTACTCATCACAGATATGCTTGTACATGAAAATTCTTAGAATAACATCCTGCAGTGGTTTTGGTTATCAAAACTGTGATAAGATCATTTAAAAGAAACAAGATTTTTTTTGATGAAGGGTAGGAAAATAATGCAAGTTTTCAAATGACCTCTGGAGCCGGGGAACTTGACAGCATTGAATAGATTTATAAAAAGAAAGTAATATGAAAAAACATCTAGTTAAAAGGTTTAATTTCTAAGTGAAACTGTACCCAGGGAGTGACTCTGGGTACATATACAGTATATGTTGTGATATAATAGTAGAAGTCGTAGTTGATTTGCAGCTGCAGTTGTAATAGTCATTGTTGTAGTACTGTTGGGATCTACAGATATCATTCTGTTCTCATTCTTATTCTGACACCTGAGTATTTTGAAGTCTTAGTAAACGGAGGTCAGACCAGTGTTATATCCAAAGTATGAATGAAACTGGTGAAAAAACACCAGCTTTAACTTTAACCAGGTGTCTTGATTACATGTCGTTTTTGTCATCATCGAGAGATTATTTGCTTGAAACCCATTCGGTTTATTGACAAGATTGGGAAAAACTTGCATTAATGTATCATGCTATTTAAAGGGATATTCCGGCATAAAATTATGTAAGGGTCAAACACACCAAGTTAGACACCCCGTCGATGTGTTCTTCCTTGAGCTGCGTCCCCCCACTGCAGTCGATGGACTCGCCCGGAGGTCTCCATACAAACAAGCGGCTGCAGGAAGAGAGTAGGTGAGTTGTGTTTAGTCTCTTTGTTAAAGAAATCAGGCAAAGCTAAAAAGATGTTTGATGGCTAGTACTATGGCTGGGACCCTAAATGTACTGTTGATGACGTTAAGTGCTGTTATGAGCATTATCTGTGGCTATAGAGTGGCGTTTAAGCTGAGCGTGTGGCTGTTTGTATTGCTATTTGTGGTCGTTACTAAAATTGGTATAACTAGAGAAGCAAGCGGTCGACAACATTCATCTCTCCACAGGGTGCCTAACTCTAACTTAATTTTACGCCGAAATATCCCTTTAAGAAAATAGGAGTGTTATTCTTACTTGTATATGTTTCTGTTTACCAAGGGTCACCATCGGTGGAACAAATGTTGTAATAATCAGTTGGATAATGAGCAGAGCAAGACTTATTTAACGTATATTTCAGTCACTAGTCATGTCATTTGAAGGTCACCAGAGCAGCTTGTGATTATGGGTGGCAGATGTGTGTATGCTTACAATTAAGTGACTATTGGTTGATGTCACTGACCAAAATGAGGTCTTTCATGATCAGTTTCAGCCATGATGTCAGGGAGTGGTTTTTCTGACATGGTTTTTTGTACAGAGTCACACACCTGAGTCATTCACACTCACCAGCTGGTATTACAGGACCCTTAGCTCATCAAATTCACTGTTTTTTTCTCTATTCATCAATGCAATAAATATGAATTAATATTATCATCACATTTAACACAGTTTAAAGTGGGGAGTCATGTTGAGTGCTGGTGTGGAGCCTCAGTGAGCTCTGTAGGGTCAGAGATGAAACCATTGCAATGAAAGCAAAGTTGACCAACTCAGTATCAGTCTAACCTGGAGCCATTATTTCCATTATTAATGCTCATTTAATCATGGTCATCTGGTTTAAAATTTGAGACAAAACACACAAAAATAGCTCATTGTTGTCATGGAGGAGGATCTGACCAGGTGATTGGTTGGAAAACATCACTCCCTTATCTCCCAGAGGGTGGGGGGGACTTTAAAACAGACCTACCTGAGAGTCTCAAATATCAATACAGACCTTTAGGTGTAAGGACATGAAGAAATACGGCTGGGACAGTTTCAAGGATTTGATTTTTAGAAATCCTGCAGTTGTTGATCAGGTAAGATAAGAAACCTGTCTGACCAGGTTACAACCCCTCATTAAATTAGCACACAACAGATACACAGAAAAACTTGGTATTTGTCTCTCTATCAAATTGTGCTTCTACACCTGTAAGGCAAAACAAAAATCAGCTGAATGTTTAAGCATTGCACATATTTATGTAAAACAGTGGTAATGTGATGCCACTCCACTAAACAAACTGTTAACTTGCAGGTGCTTTCACAAGAGTGGAAATCATTTTGAAAAAACCTCACAATGTGTTCTGTTTTTATGCATTATGTCTATCTTTGTTGTTGCAGAAGTAATTGCTTTTTTGCAAAGCATAATGAAAATACTTTTGTAGGTTGTAATATCTGTTTTGTGTAGTGTTAGTGACATTTTTGTTCTACAAAAGCATTGGTTCTCCTCTTTGAAAAGCAGCCTGTAGTTAAACAGAAGAGGCAGTGGACTCACTGCTTGTTTTCTTAATTTAAGACAATAAAAAGAAACTACAGCTGCAACTGTTATGATATCTGTTTGTTTCCTTTTTAATGTATTTGTCTTGTAAACATTACATACATTTGTTTTTTCTTCTCCTCTTAAAAAGAAACACACAATGCCTGAGACATTTAAATGATGTTTGCAGCTCACATAGACCTTTTTCAATGAGCAGGACCCACAAGTGGACACTGGCGATGAAAACACTGAGCGTGGGAATTGGGCCAGTAAGCGGGAGTACCTCCTCTCTACCATCGGCTATGCCGTTGGACTGGGAAATATCTGGAGATTTCCGTATTTGGCCTACAAGAATGGAGGAGGTACAGGCTACTTATATTAGTTATAGCAACTCTGTTTGCATTTGAGTTATATTATTGCATGATTTACCTCCTGCTGTGTCATTGTGAGCAGGTGCCTTTCTTATCCCCTACTTTGTGATGCTGGTGGTGACTGGAATTCCTCTTTTCTTCCTGGAAAGTGCTTTTGGTCAGTTTTGCAGCCAAGGTCCAATCAATATATGGAGAGCAGTGCCACTCTTACAAGGTAAGACAACAGCAGTTAAGCTTTGTGAAAGACTAATCAGAGACATCTTAAGGTGAAGATGTAGGTCATGAGGGATTTATTGTGGCTGTTGGTTAATAGTCAACTGTGGGGGCAAAAATCCATGTTTTATCACCCCTTAACCTCAGGTATTGTTATGCATCAAGAAAAAAGACGGAGCTGCAGGGTTTACGTGTTTTACTTCACACTATTTGTTGATTTTGGCAGCAGTGTGGATGAAGTGGTACATCTTATCTCATTTTTGATCCTCTCTAAAGATCCCATACTTCTTTTAACTGTGAAACACACCTTTAAGAACAAAAATTTGCCTTTAAAACTATTCACACAGTCCCCTTTGTTCTGTTAATAAATAATGTTAATACTACAAAAAAATCCTATCAAGTTGATTGACTGGACTGTGTTAATAGATCAATACAAGGTGTCATTAATAAACTGGGACAGCACTGTAGTCAGTCAAAAGTTGCTCACAGTATGCTTAAATCTAATTGACACTGGTATGAGGCTTCAAATACAGACACATATAATAATCATCTTAAAATATCACCGACTGATTCGTAAAAAAAAAAAAAAACATACATGATGTGCTGATAATAAGAGTGTTTTATTGTGTAACACTGATAAAAGTAAGCATTTGAAATAAATGATTAAACATTAATCAGTCTTAGCAGCAGGAAAACAAAGTTAAGCTCACGACTTGAAATGAATTTAGATAGATCTATCTAAAACTGCATCAAGATATGACGACTCCAGTAGTGCTGGCACCAATATTCACAGTCAAAGTCAGTTGAAAACATCTCTTTTTCTGAATGTACCCCCAAAAGTTGGGGTTGCCATAAAGCTGAGATGTAGCACTTCTCTCCTCAAAGTAAATACACTCAGAAAGTGGAGTGCAAAACTCCTTTTACTGGAGCAAATTATCTCACGAGAGTGGGACACTACAAAAGGCGTCATCTGGTTGTGTGGACATTCAGTTTAAATTGTAACCATCTGCACCCAGAGCTCAACAGGTTAAAGAAGACTGTTTAAATTGTAAGTGGTGTTAAACTAGATATAGATATCAGTGGGCCTAAATATGACACTCAACATTGATTAATTAAATGACAGATTTATTCATTCACAACAGGAAAGTCCTAGAAAAGAGTGAGCTATATGAGCTTGAATTTACAGAGTGAGCTATAGTTTGTAGGACGGGGACGATTTACTTTATAAAACACTTATCCAAAAACAAATCTCAAAAAAATATTTATTTTATTAATTCTCATATTAAAACAACACTCTCCTCTCCACCAGGTGTTGGCATCTCTATGGTTTTGGTGACTCTAATCGTGTCGGTTTACTACAACGTCATCATTGGCTACAGCCTCTACTACATGTTTGCCTCCTTCCAGTATCCTCTGCCCTGGTCCAACTGCTCCAGCTGGTCTGATAGTAACTGCAGTGTTACACCTATAGGTGACTTCTTCTATCTCCAGTTATTTGTGGAAAGCTTTAGATCAAATCTGCTGTTTAGAGAAAGTTTATGTGAAAAAGCCATATAAATCATAAAGAAAATTCTCACTATGTAGACCTTTTGTTTGTACTTCTTTAGTGAATTGCAATGTAAGCGGTGTTACAGTGGCTAACTGGACTCAGGAAAATGGCACATGTCCTCTGCCTGACTTGGTCAAAGTACCCGTGCAGAGCCCGAGTGAGCAGTACTGGGAGTAAGGAACAGACTCATATAAACAAGCACAATTACACACTGGTGTCGTCACTGTATACCCACATCTCACTCTCCTCCACCTCAGCCGTGTGGCTCTGCAGAGATCCAGTGGTCTGGATGAAACAGGACCAATAGTTTGGCACTTGGCCCTCTGTCTGCTGCTGAGCTCTTTAATTGTTGCTGCTTCACTCATTAGAGGGATCAAATCTTCTGGCAAAGTAAGTCAACATCATTCTCTATACAATCGTGTGTTAACTTCAGGCCAAATGAAAACTGCAAGTCAGGAGCAAAGATCATTAAACAAATATTTTATTGTTGATTAAAAAAGTTTCATGTTGTTATAAATTGTTTCAATCTTCCTAACTTACCTCTTAGTTGGGAAGCAAAATAAATCACACAACCAAAATGTTATTTTCTTTTCAACAGTCTTAGAGTAAAACTGAGTTATGATTAAAATACTGTGTTTTTTTATCTTAAGGAAAAGAAATAGGTTTTTAAATACTCACTGTTTACTTTTCTTGTCTCCAGGTTGTGTATTTCACAGCTACATTTCCTTATGTGGTGATTCTGATCCTGCTGATCAGAGGTGCAACACTAGAGGGAGCTAGAGACGGGATAGAGTTCTACGTTGGTTCCCAATCCAATTTGACTAAACTGACAGAGGCACAGGTAAGGATCCAGAAATCAGATTAGCTGTTACCATGAGGAGGTAAAAGGTTATCATGATTCTAGAGGTCTGACAAGGGTCAAAAACTCTATCTAAGCATTAGTTCTTTGTTTGTTTTTTTCAATTAAATTATTTCAATTTTTTAATGAGGCTTGAAATCCCTGGCAGCAACCCTGGCTAGCTGTGCAAATTTGACTGCAACCATTCAGTAATTACAGCAAAATACAAAACTCTACATTGAATTGAGGCATAACAGTATTTCCTTTTTCCTTTAGGTCTGGAAAGATGCAGCAACTCAGACCTTTTACTCTCTCTCAATTGGCTGGGGAGGAGTCATGACCCTGGCCTCCTACAACAACTTCCACAACAATGTGTTTAAAGACTCATTTGTGGTGACACTGACTAATGCAGGTAGGAGCTAATCCAACTGTTTTATATAGGCTCTTGATTTTAAGTGGTCTAATCATGTATCCAATGGTTCTTTTGTTTTGGGTTTTTTTTTTCACAGGTACAAGTGTTTTGGCAGGCTTTGCCATATTTTCCATCCTGGGTCACATGGCTCACATTTATAAAATGCCCGTCAGTGAAGTGGTACAAGAAGGTGGGTCACGCAAATCATCTAAGCAAACGTTTATCGAAAGTTTGTTCAATACCGTGGTTTTCTCTGATGTTTTCTTTCTATATCTCTGTGCAGGATTTGGTCTGGCATTCATTGCATATCCAGATGCTCTTTCCAAGCTTCCTGTTTCCCCTCTGTGGTCTGTTTTATTCTTCTTCATGCTTTTAACTGTTGGCCTGGACTCTCAGTTTGCAGGAATAGGTGAAATCTCTTTTCCAATCACACTAAAGCATTACTGTTGCGATGGTTCACTGCAGCCTCATATCTCTCTTCTTGTCATCAGAGGTGGTCACAACATGCCTGCATGATGCCTTTCCAAAAATCTTCAAATCCAAGCGTGCTTTATTGACATTAACCACAAGCGCCATCCTCTACCTGCTGGGTCTGCCGTGTGTCACAAGGGTAAGTCTGTCATAGTTTTTTGTTCCCAGTTTCTGTGACAGGTTTTGTTCATCCTCTCAGCCCACATCTGTGTTTATGTGTGTGTTTGTTACAGGCAGGAATATACTGGGTGACTCTAATCGATCAGTTTGTGGCTACATGGGTGCTGCTCTTTTTGGCTCTATTTGAGATCATTGGTGTTGCTTATATTTACGGTAAATATGATGGTTGGATATATGTGCATGTTGAAGTGGCAGAGTGCTTTAAACTGCAGCTGTGTTGCATCCCTCTCATGATTTCTAGGAGGGAATCGTTTTATCAAAGATATTGAGATGATGCTTGGAAAAAAAAGTTTTGCATTCTGGTTTTGGTGGAGAGCATGTTGGTTCTTCATCAGTCCCTGCGTCATTGTGGTGAGTCCCACAACAGACATCTAATTAATCCAAAAATACCAAATCTGCTCAGCCTCTAAAATCAAAAAGTGACAGTTTTTTACCCAAATCTCCAAGTCTGATGTTGAATTACATAGGTACATTTTTTACATCGATGTGAACATGTTGCAGGGCAAATTTTCAAAAAGACAGTTCATGAGTCTCAACTTGTCTGTCAATTTGTCTTTAAATGTTTGACTGCTGATTCTGTTATGTAGGTCATCTTAGTCTGGTCTTTGATAACATTTGAATTACCGACGTACGGAGATATCCAGTTCCCAGTCTGGGGCTTGGCTCTGGGTTGGTTAATGGCTCTGTTCATCCTTCTCTGGATTCCTGGCATCGCTGTGTATAAACTCATAAGAGCAGATGGGGGCCCTTGGAAGGTGTGTCTGTGTTTATCATTTCAGATTTAGAGCCGTTTCCAAAGCACTTCATTTTGTATAACATGAGATGGTTTTCTTTAACTAAATCAATGGCTATCTCATTTTTTTTCTACAGCGCTTGAAATCATTGTGCTCTCCAGCTGAAAACTGGCATCCTTACCTGAACATCCATCGAGGAGAGCGTTACTCAGAAGAGCGTTGTCGCCACAGGACGAGCCATGGCAAAAAAGCAAAAGTGGATGTTAATGTGATCTCTAGCTCCTGGCTTTAATGTTTGTTTTTGTGAATATTGAATAGGCCATGTGCTGAAGGACTGTGGTCTCTGTGCATTTGGAGTGTAACTTAAAGAGATATTCCTGAGGGTCAAACACACCATAACACAGAGTTAGACACCCCCTCGAGAGATGAATGTTGCCGACCACTTGCTTCTCTTGTCAAACCAACTTAGGTAATGACCGCAGGATAGCAATACACAGCAGTCTGAGGAGCCATAATTAAACCTCAACCAAACGCCACTCTATAGCCACAAATAATGCTCAGAACAGCACCTAACTTCTTCAACAGGACATCTAGGGACCTAGCCATAGCACTAGCCACCAAACATCTTTTTAACTTTGCCTAATTTCTTTAGAAAAGAGACTGAACACAACTCATCTACTCTCGTCCCGCAGCCGCTTGTTTGTAGAGAGACCTCAGGCCAGTCCATTACGGACTGCTGCGGGGTGACGCAGCTCAAGGAAGAACATGGAAAGAACCATTAAGACTTGACCACAAACAACTTCAAGATAAATTTGTTTTTAGTATCAAAAAGTTTGTAAAAAGTTAGAAGTGTTAAACTATTAATTTTTAATCACAAATAATCACATGATAACTCGTGATTAAACACACATTTTTATTTATTTTTACTATAACATAAAGGGATGTTTGTAGAGTTTATAATTAGTTGAAGCAAAATGAGAATGAACCAAATGTTTAATTTATATAACTGTTAAAAGTGTTATAATTATTGTTGGTGTTATTATCTCTAGTATTGCTCTTATTTTATATTTTTTTACATTTTTAACTACAATTAGGACACCACTTGATATATTGGCACTGTCTAGAAAAATTCTCCAGAATAACTTCATGGGTACTCCATGCAGAGAGAAAAACATGATCAAGTCAAGCCCAACCAGCAACAATAGAGGCTCCCACTGACCGGACTGTAACAGGACAGGGCGATACTAACATAAGATAGTGTCCAACTTCACACCAGTAAAGCTTCACTATGTTGTGTTCCTCCCTCAAAGTCTTTCAATAAATGATTTCTTTAATATCTCAAACAGATAAGGAGAAAAACTAAATCCAGTCCAGTGCTGCTTTAATGTTACAGCTTTTTTTTTATTTATACCATTCTCAGTATCTCTGTAATAGTTCGTAAGATGATCATTTTGCCACAGCAGCAGGTTTGTAGTAGAGTTCAGTTTTAGGGCTCTATTTTGGTGCCTCGCCGGAGACGTGCCGCAAGCGCAGCGTCAATCAGATCCGCCGCGCTGACAAGGCGTTCCCAAGCACATTTTGGTATTTTGGTGAGCCGCGCAGCCCGGCGTAAGTATCCCCCCTCCCTAACTCAGCTCCTCCCGGCAGCATAAATCATAGACGGGGAGGAGAGAGGGCGTACACTGTGTTTAACACAGCCGAGACCTGTTTTCACCAATCACATAAGCTCCTCTCCTTGCCTTTAAATCCGCCACCGGCGAGGCGTATTACTATTTTCATGAAGTAGTCAAAGAGATCAAGAGATGTCTGAAGACAGTTATGCCACACGATGGCGACAGAGGGCAGCTGCTCAACAAGTGTCCTCCACACTCTCTCATCTGAGCACAGATGGATTTGGTGTGCGTAATGTTGGACCCACTGGTAAGACAAACACCCTTTTCCACAAATAAAGACACTCACATAAAGTTGCATATATTTAAACCACACGTGACAAAGGTGGGTTTAGCGCACAGATCACAACATAAACTCCAAAAATGGCATTAAAATCGGAACCATCTGTGCGTAAATGACGCATCGCGCTCCGTGGCCTGGCTCTTTCTTTCATAGATGTTGGCATATAAAATAAATTTGGCCCACAAAACTGAATATTATAATATCCGTGTGTCGGCTTAAAGTAGATAACGCATCTGAGCACTGAAACAAATCATCTGTTCAGCTGCAGCAGCAGCAAGACGGACAGAGGACACGGAGACGTGTCCAGGTCGAGCTGTGCGAGAAATAAGAGGAAGAAAGAAAAGGAGGGAGACACATTACGTATCTTGTTAACTTCATCATGTGTGTTTATTTACTAGATATTTAATTTAATTTGATGCAGTTTCAGCTGTATTGATTCGGTCAGGTTGTGTGCCCAAACGCGTGCCAAACGCGCTCATCAAATCAGATATAGATCAGAATATATCGATATAGATCTAAATGTATGTGCTGACTCAGATTAATAGTTGTTGATGATTATTTATTGCACTGAAATCTGCCTGACACTGTGGAAACTGCCGGTGAGGCATCAGTGACGTATGTTGATACGCCGCCGGTCTACCAAAATACTACTAGACCAGCTGCGTTCCGCCTTGCGCTGAAAGCTGACCAGGTTTGAATCGGCGAGCTTTCAGCGCACGTTACACGCCGGTGGCGTGCACGAAAATGTCACTGCGCCAGCTGATTCTGTCAACACCTCCCCCTGCCACGCCACCACGCCCAGCTTGGCGGATCTCGGCTCGCCTCCGTGCGACTCAGTCCACGAAAATACCAAACTCGCCTTACACCGGGCTCCGCCAGACGAAAATACAACTGCGCGGGGCTCGCCGCCCTCCGCCGCCTCGCCGGAGCGAACGAAAATAGAGCCCCCAAAGTTCATTATAATCCTGGTTAACCCATAAACAAACTCATGATTGAATGGAATTTTTTGTTTGTTTTCATGTGGCTGAAACTGTTTATCTAAACTGAGCCACAGACAATGTAACATAAACATAATGATGCTGTAAAGGAGCAGTTTCCCATCCGGAGAAAAGCTGTTAAACTAGTTAACTGTGTTTGATATTTACTGATCTGTCATCACATGTTGACAGATGAACTGCTATATTTGATCAAGCCTAAGGCCTCACGTTAACTGTTAGATGAAATGATTCTTTGTGTATTTTTGGCTCTGATCAAATTGTAGGCTGGGCCATGTTTTTAGATATATTAGAGTTTTGTGTTTATCTTCACTATCACAGTTGTAATTGTCATATTTTTGTCACCCTGTCAAAATGTAATTAAAGCCTTAAACTGTGTCACCACTGAACAAGTCACGTTCAAGAACTGAGGTCAAACTAGAGAACAGGGAGACTATTCAAAGACTGCTAATCTGAGTGGATTGATCATTTACTTCATTTAGATAACCTTAAAGCTCCTCTGGTGAGTTTCCAGCTGCTTGTGAAAAAGAATCAAACGAGTGTTGATGTCCTTTTATGACCTTAAAAAAGAGGTGCACAAGCCACAGGAATGACTGCAGCCTTGAGAGGATTGTCAAGAGAAGTTGAATGAATACATTTGAGAGCTTCACAAAAATGCTCTGAGACCGGTGGGAGTGTATCAAGAGCCACTACACACAGGAAAAAGACTCCAGGGGCCTATTCTACGAAGCAAGTTCAACCTAGCGAGGTAGCCTTGGAGCTACCTCACTCAACTGAGCGCGGTAGCCAGCGGTCTCGCTAACCGTGTTACGACGCTGGTTATCAACCTCATAAGTGGTTCCAGCTTTGCTATGAGCACAGAAAACGGGGGGGATTTGATATGAATAAGAAAAGATAAGAATAACTTTATTCATCCACGAAGGGAAATTCAATTTTCTGTAGTCTCATTTGTTCTTATGTCTCAAAAAGTCGTCTACTATTTATAGAAGAATTATAGAGTCTGATGGCTGTTGGTACAAAATAATCTTTTTGTCCTGCAGCAAAGAGAGAGGAGCCGTCAACCACCATTGGCTCTTTGGTCCATGAAGGTGTTATGAAGTGGGTGATCCATGTTTTTTAGAATAGTCTCCACCTTCCTCAGTGTAGATCTCTCCACCACATCCTCCACTGAGTCCAACTTGATTCCAACCACAGAGACATTTTTTTTTTAATCAGTTTGTTCAAACGAACGACAGATCTTTAAATTCTGGCAGCAGATGGTCTCTAGTTTTCTAAATGATACATCTATACAGACAAACGCACACAGGTTTTTGCGTGCATCACTGTACACCTGGTGATTTAGGTTGTGTGAGATGGCAGTAAAATGAAGACAGAAAAAACTAAAAGCTCATTCCATAAAGATTTATTTTAAGGACATTTTGCCTAGGCTAACCTTTGTAATAAGTGTATAAATGTGTGTAATGGATGTTCAAGCATGTGAATGGCACATGCTCAGGTGTGTGTGTGTCAGTTAGTGTTGCTCGCTCTCATGTTTGTTGTAGCCTCATACAGCTTGTTTGCTAAACTTCTCCCTGTGTTTAAACGTAGCTAACTATTTGATTAAGCCTGAGGCTTTTCAAACGGAGCAGCTGACTGTGAGTGAGTGAGTGCGTCTGACTCTAGATTTCTGTCTGCCATCATCTTCATCATACCAGCTGTAAATGTGTTTTTAATGCTGATACAACACCACCACATCATCCAGATGACAGCCAGCCTGTTTCTCTGAGAATTCATTGGTGGGTGTGACTTCAAACCTCTTTTTCAACTGATTCGAAGTTTCCTTAGCAGATTATCAGAAGCGGATGAAAAGAAATGAGCAAATATGGCTCAAATCTTGCAAGGGATCCTGCTATTCTCACCGATCAGGTAAGATTGTTATAACATTGATGCTAACCTTAAGTTTTTCATGAGGGAATGCATGTGGTCTTTAATTTTGTCGCTGCTACAACTAAAAGTTAACTGATTTTTTCATTAAATAACATTTTTTGAGAGAAAGGGCTGTTTTACCAATTACAAACATGGTAGTGGGTCAGTCAAAGGCACAAGGCTGAGTGCTACATAAGTATTTAATGTTAAACCTTACCAGTCATAAAAAGAGTATTAGCTCATGTTTTGGTGGCCAGTGTTATTCTGAGGTACCAGCCTGAAAAACTGAAGAAAGGCTGTGTACTTATGCAATACCTACAACATACAAATGAATAGTTCCTTGCTGGATTTACCAAAACATCGATATGTAAACCCAAAAAGCTGCCGCCAGAGTGTGAATAGGAACCAAAAGGATTGAGCCTGTTGAACCAGTGATGAAAAGTTTCCAATGGCTTCCAATTTAGTACAGAACTGAATTTAAAACACCACTGGTAGTTTATAAAGCTTTGAATGGTGTGACATCTCAGTATTTCTCTGACCTTAACTCAATCAGATCCCTCAGATTATCAGATTATCAGGTACAAGCCTCCTGAGTGTACCTCAAGTCAAAACATAAAACGATGGAAGCATATCTCCTCATATATGGCACTATTTTTGTGGAACAAGCTATCTGCTGATCTGAGGTCTGCAGACACTTTAGAGGTCATGTGAATAGTTTTTGTTGGGCTATGAAACTGAAAACAGATAGTGTGTGAATAACATAAGATAACCTGACAAAAAAAAAAACTTCCCTGGTTTGAACAGACTGAAGCAGATCTTGCCAATGTCACTGTAAAAGATCCTGTTTGCTCACGGTGACTCTTCAAATTTATTATTATCTTGCAAAAAGAATAATTTTAGGAAGTTTATTTTGTGGGACAGTTTTCACCTCACATTGGCAGAGATGGACTTCAATAGATGTCCGAGAAAGGGTTAAGTGTCCACACCAAATTTTTCAAGTTTACTTTTTCCACCAGACTCCACCCTTGTTCAACATGATGGCAGGCATGTGGTGTGGTACACTGAACCTTGAAACTGCACAGAGCTCTGAATTCAAAATTGATGCATCATTATGAGGACAATGAAACCAATCCAAAAGATTTACAGTGACAAGAATCCATTAAGCTTTTCTTCAGATTGGCATAAAACAAGTATTCAGATTCTGTCCTTAGGAAGAGGATCTAAGTCTTGACTAAGTCTTGGGAAATGCCGCTGACTGGAATACTTTAAATTACTTTACAGTACAACAGAGGTATGTAAGTAATGCTATTTGTAGTTGGCAGATATGGGGATAGATTATAACTGTTGCATGCTGACAAAATGTTCGGTACATGATACTTGTATTTGGGGTTTGGGGTATTTTTTATTAAAAAAATGGTAAATTCAAAAACTTACACTTGTTACTATAGCAGTTTAAGAACTGCAGATCAGATATATTTTTCAAATGAGGATTTGTCAGTGAACTTAGAGGCTCTTTGGTTGTACAGTAATACTGTTAAAAGTGAAGAATATCTGAGTAATAGTATTTACTCCCATGAGTTAATTGAACCCCAGATAACCTCTCATAACTTTAACATATTCTTCCTGATTGGTGCAGGACGGTCAAACTGAGGATGGTGATGAGAATCCAGAGCGTGGGAACTGGACCAACAAGACAGAGTACATGCTCTCTATGATAGGCTTTGCTATCGGCCTGGGAAACATCTGGAGATTTCCATATATCGCCTTTAAAAATGGAGGGGGTATGTACTTGGCATCACAGATGATAGCACTACTCAAATTATTTTGATTATCATTGATATTAGATTTTATCTCTGTGAACAGGTGCTTTTCTCTTTCCCTTTTTCCTGATGTTGGTCTTGTGTGGCGTTCCTCTTTTCTTCTTGGAAACTTCCATCGGTCAATTTTGCAGCCAAGGTCCAATCAATGTGTGGAGGGCGGTGCCAATCCTGCAGGGTAAACCATGAGAAGATTCATTTTCAAAGATTTTCAAGCTCTGGTTTTCAGATTGAGCACAGTCGCTGTAAAGAAAAGAATCTAAAAAATATCAAGATCTGAGATATACTGTGAATAAATGCGTTCATTATGCACTGTCCTCTGCAGGTGTTGGCTTTTCCATGGTGATGGTGAATATATTGGTCTCAATTTATTATAATGTCATCGTGACCTACAGCCTCTACTACATGTTCGCCTCCTTCCAGTCTCCTCTGCCCTGGTCTAAATGCTACAGCTGGGCTGATGAACTGTGCAGCAGCACACCTTTAGGTGCTTTTTCAGTTTTTTTGTTTGTTTTGTAAAAATAAAAGCTGATGTTGGGTTAATACTGATCCTAAAAACCACTAGATAAATGAAATTTAGTATTTCTGTGCATTGACTTGAAATAGCTGATTAACGAAGCTCTTTCTTTTTTAGTGTATTGCAACATAAGTGGTGTTTCAGTAGCCAACTGGACTCAGGCGAACAGTACATGTCCTCCGTCCAACATGATCAAAGTTCCTGTTCAGAGCCCAAGTGAGCAGTACTGGGAGTAAGAATCACACTCATGCTAAAATGGAAGGACTAATCCTTATTTGACTGTGTTTGTTCTGAACTCATACCTCTCTCTTCCTCAGCCGTGTGGCTCTGCAGAGATCCAGTGGTATGGATGAAACAGGACCAATAGTTTGGCACTTGGCCCTCTGTCTGCTGCTGAGCTCCTCAGTTCTTGCTGCAGCACTCATCAAAGGCATCAAATCCTCAGGCAAAGTAATTTACTCTTCATTGACACTCAAATGCATCTTTTCTGTAAATAAAATCAAGAATCTGACATTTAAGAGACAACATCATAGTAAAGATTCAACAATATATTTCCTCTTTTCAGGTTGTGTATTTCACAGCTACGTTTCCTTATGTGGCGATTTTGATCCTGCTGATCAGAGGTGTGACACTGGAGGGAGCTAAGGATGGGATAGAGTTCTTCATCGGCTCCAAATCAAATTGGACTAAATTGGCTGAGGGACAGGTAAGAAGAGCCTCACAGTCAAATACTTCAAAAATTTTTAAGTCTAACTTAAATTCACATACCTTTTTGTCTGCTTACTTTACCTCAGAGAACAGGAAGGCTAATATGGTAGCATTAGCACTTAACATTTCACATGATGAAAGAACTGATTGTTTGTTGAACATATTTTTGTTAGCATGTTAGCATACTTACATTTGTTCATTTATTTATTTATCTATTTTGTGTTTTTCAGGTTTGGAAGGACGCAGCCACTCAGACTTTCTTTTCTCTAAGTATTGCTACGAGTGGAGTCTTGACTCTTGCTTCCTATAGCAACTTCCACAACAATATGTACATGGATTCGGTTATTGTACCCTTGACTAACCATGGTAAGAAAATAAGATTATGGTTGATTTTTTTCAATTTAAGCAGTTCATTTGAGCTTATTTAACAGTTTTAGTTTGAGCTAAAAAAAAAACAAAAGTGTGTATTCAGTGATTATTTACGTTAATATGTGTATCCTGGCATTGACCTGTACTCCCTGCAAGTGCCATAGTGACTTGGTGGTGGTTTAATCTTAGAGTTTAGGTAATGACTTAAGTGCCACTCAGTGGTAATCACAGCCGTTGAGGAGTTTTATCCATTCAGTTCTGTAAAATAATCTCTTGTTTTGGAGTCTGTGTGTCTGACTTTGTGATCTTTATCTTCTCATAGGTACCAGCATCTTTGCCGGCTTTGCCATCTTCTCTATTTTGGGTCATATGGCTCATGTCTATAAAAGGCCTGTTGGGGAAGTGGTAAAAGAAGGTCAGACACATATGTACTAATTTAATTTCTTTAAATTATAAATCTGTTATATGTTCTCTCATATGTTGTTTCTCCATCTTTGTAAAGGATTTGGTCTGGCTTTCATCGTGTATCCAGACGCATTAGCCAAGCTTCCCGTTTCCACTTTCTGGTCCATCATGTTCTTTTTCATGCTTTTTATTGTGGGCCTGGACTCACAGTTTGCACAGTTGGGTAAGACTTTCATCAAGGAGCGCTTCAGCATCTTGATCCTCAATTCAAAGTTTTAAAACATGTTTTCAACAACTAGAAGTTTACCTCTGTGAGACTCATCACTCTTCTCTCTTCTCCATAAGAGGTGGTTGTCACCTGCCTGTGTGACGCCTTCCCAGAAATCTGCAAACCCAGACGAGCTTTGGTAACATTCGGAGCGGTAGCCATCCTCTACCTGCTGGGCCTGCCATGTGTCACAAGGGTACAGTGACTCTATAACTGCTGTCTGACATGATCACTTACCTGCAGTCTCTCATGTTTATTGTTTCGTTGGTGTTTGTGTGCTTCGTTGTAGGCAGGCATATACTGGGTGACTCTGATGGACCAGTTTGTGGCCAGCTGGGTGCTACTTGTTCTGGCTCTCTTTGAGATCATTGGCATCTTCTACATTTACGGTAAATATGAACAATGGAAAAAAGTTTAAGTAATACTTGACATCTGATATATTTAACTTTACTAGCCCAATGCTTCACTGTATTTAAAGAACTTATTGAAAGGTATTTAAGGAGTGGGGAGTAGAGACTCAATACAGTCAGGTGGGTCATTCCATGTCAATTCAACCAAGAATCTCCACTCACGTCACAGATTATGATGAAATTTGGTGGAGTGATTGGCCTTCAGGAGAAACTGTCAGAGCTCAAATATTTTTGTTCAAAGCCATCTAATTAGTGAGATAGGGGCTAATGAATATTTGGCTAACTAGCATGACATGCGTTACAAAAGTGTTCATATCTCTGGAAGTATCGCACCTAGAGAGCTGATTCGGGTGTCATTTTAAAGCGCTCTTCAAGTTCAAGCTTCCAGAGATACGAACACTTTTGTAACGCATGTCATGCTAGTTAACCAAAAATTCGTTAGTCCCTATCTCACTAATTAGATGGCTTTGAACAAAAATATTTGAGCTCTGACAGTTTCTCCTGAAGGCCAATCACTCCACCAAATTTCATCAAAATCTGTGACGTAAGTGGAGAATCTTGGTTGAATTGACATGGAATGACCCAAATGTCACTTTGTCTTGCTCTGTAATAAAAACTCCTTTATACAGTTATTTAAAGTTGCTGAAGGGACTGCACATTTTGTACAGGTTGCAGGCTGCATATTTTATCATATTATTATTATTATTATTATTATTCTCAGGATCAAGTCTTCCAGCTAGATGATTTCATTTTGCTGTAATAAAACTGAAAAAAACATCTGAAAACTTAATCATATTAGAAAAAGTAGAAGATGAAACACTTTTTGGTGAGGAGGGGTAATTAGTTGTTGAAGAAGAGTGATTTTTTTACTGTATATGTTAAAGCAATACTCAGCATGGTGTGAAATATATGAATCACAACATTATTGTGTAATTAGGTTTGGTAAGTTACTAAACCTTAGTTTCGCAACTGATGGGCGATGTCCGAATTATGGGTTGTAAAGCCGTTTTCTGTGGCGAAAAGTCTTAGCTGCATAACTACTGTGAGAGACATTTTTTCTTTGAGTTACTGTACTCGCAGTATTGGGGTGGTTAATTCATACTCCAATATACTGGATGGTAGTAGCATCTCAAAGCTGGTCATTACTGATTATTAATGACAAATTTGATAATTGGTTGTTCCTTTTAGAGCTGGCGATGCACCCTCAGGCTGAATGGCTTTGAAACCTCTTTACATATGTTTTCTTACAGTTACTTGCTTTGAGTAATTAGCAATTAGGGACTTGTGAATCCCTGAAAAACAAGATGAAAATGGTCATTGTTCTCCTGAGTTGCTAGAGGTGTATTTAGCATCCAGACGCACTACCAGGTCTTTTTTTTAAGTTTACTTTTAGGCTTTACTGATATAATGGGACAATGGATAGAGTAGAAAACTGGAAGGGCGAGCAGACATGAGGAAAAAGGCGACAGGTTGGAAATGATCCTTGGCCATTCGCCTCAAGGATTGCAGCTGTAGATAATAATACTGATGCTTCTATATAAACTGAGAAAACAACAACAACAACACTAAGAATAAGACTGAGTACTCATCAAGGGTGATTTTTTATTCCTCACATTAAATAGGTGGGATTGTGAAGGCCAGGCACGTTTTTGTTTTCAGTATTCAGGGAAAAGATTTAAAGTGAAAGACACTGGGAGTAGTCGGATAAATAGGGACGCTTGTTTTGTTTTGATCAGAAAACACATGCTCAGGACAGGATTGTTGAAGAGATTAGACATACTGCTCCTGAGGTCACCAAGCCTAATTCATAAGAAAACACACAAAAGACCACTTAAAAATGAAATGACTGAAATTCATCTCTGCTCTGGGAAAAACAAACTCTATGGGACCCTAGATTATGAAAGATTTATAGATTCAACATGTTTGACATTTTAGTTTGTGAAAATGACTTTGATCGTTACGTTAAATTCTCTGCTAAAAGTTGAGTTTACTGATTTTCATTTTGGATCCAGAGGTTTTATTGCTCTCTTTTGATTTTTTATTTTAAGTCTGGACTTTTTCCCACTTTTTTGTGCAATACAGGAGGGAAACATTTCATACAAGACATTGAAATGATGATTGGAAAAAAGAGCTCTCGCTTTTGGGTATGGTGGAGAATGTGTTGGTACTTCATCAGCCCCTGCATCATTGTGGTGAGTGTGACCTCTGTGTACTTACCTATTGTTATTTTCCTTTATATCACACTATTTGAGTATAACATAAACTCCAAGTATGAGGAACTATCTCTTCATAGGATAATTTAGTGCCTTTTATGTGACCAACTGTGACGAACCTTCCATTAAACTTGTACAATGATTTTAGTTAATTTAGTTTTAAAAAAAACCTCACAACAGACAAACTGAGATCTTTGGTGCTCCCCTCACCATAAAAGTGTCCTAGAATCCAGGTTAAGAACCAGTTCAGAGGAGTAAATCCTTCAGTGCAAGACTCATCTTCTTGACAGAAGACCTTTTAGGATATTAAGACCCAGAATGTCTGTATGACTCTAATCAGACATCACTGCATTTTCTGCCTAGGTGGTCCTGTTGTGGTCTCTCATATCCTTTGTTCCCCCCACCTATGGAAAAATCCAGTACCCAGCTTGGGGCTTGGCTCTGGGTTGGTGCATGGTGTCATTCGTCCTCATATGGATCCCTGTAGTGGCTGTGTACAAGCTGATCAGAGCAGAGGGGAGCTTCTTGCAGGTGTGTGTGTTGTCTGATACAATATGAGACTTTAAATCAAGAAGAGATTTTCAGCTAAAGTTTAGAGCTGACCTTTGACCTGTTATAAAGGTGTCCCCATATTTGTGACCTAAACTGTCTCCAATTTTTACAGCGTGTAAAGTCATTGTGTGTGCCTTCTGAAAAGTGGCATCCCTATCTGGAGATCTATCGTGGAGAACGCTACTCAGAGGAGAACTGTCGCAGAAGAAGCATGGTATCATCATATAATAAGCAAATGTGAATTTAACCTCCATGTTTTGAGACTGATTCGAATGCTGAGGAAATACACTAATGTGTGAAAAGACAAAACAAAAGTTACATTCAGCTGATAGCATCATGTAGTTTGAGTGTGTGTGTACACCAACAAGGTCACAGTCTCATAGCTCTGCTTTAGACAGGGACTTTTCTGGATCATGTGACATGGAAGGAGTGAACCTTATTTATCTATGCCTTATCTTAAGCTGGTGTAAATCATAGATATCAACATTAGATACCTCAAAACCCATATAAGAGAACAACAGTCCATACATCAAGACCAGCGCCATCCTGGGGTGGTACCAGTGGATGGTGGTAAGCGTGGTGTTGAATGTAAACAAATGCTGTTGTCAGGGTAACCACAAGCTTCCAAAACTTCAACCCATAGAAAACCATTGACGAGCACCACTCCACGATGGCAGCAGTTTTGACGCATCCTGGGCAGGGCAATGAGGTTTCTAGTCATATATGATTTGTGAACTGTGCTGTGAACACCCAGGGCGCACCAAAAAACAAGTCTCGATCCAATTATCCTTCATCCTTCTTCCAGGAGCCACAAAAAATGACCAAGTTCCCTAAAAACATTCTCACCATAAGTCAAGTGGCTAAGCTCCCAGAATGACTCTAAAGCAATGTCAGGGGAATCTGCCTTTTCTGGAGGATATAGGGTGCTTTATGTCAAATAACTGCAGCATGCATCAGTGTTTTTGTCTTCCATGTGCTTTCAAAGACAGTTGCATTGTTAAAATACCTCATTCCTTAATTTAACTCAGCAACATCAAATGACTATTGATTGAAATGCTTGATAATCCAGAATGTTGGATGTGAATGTAGAAAAATTCTCTGCTAGCATCTCTAGATGTCTACCTTAGACTCTAAACCCTTGCTTTTGGCACTGCATTCTGTATATTTCTGCCTTGTCCAGAAAATCTATTTCATCGGACAGCTAGTCCCTTCTACCACATCTTTTGCTCCTTTTACCTTTTTATGTTTCTGTCTGAACTCTCTCTAATTTGGCAGTCATGAAAGATACTTGTTACTCTGTTAACTCCAATATGAGAACATAAATGCTTCATAACAGTGAACCGGCCTTTTTATATATAACTAAGATATAAGATATAAAAAATAACTCAGCCGAACACTTAATTTATGTTTGCTTTAGCACCACAAAAAAAGCTGACTATAGTTGAATATCCTGCAAAATAAATGAAAGGCAGAGTGAGAGCCTCTGCACAAACAGTTAGCATATTTGTAATGCACTTTGTCCTTAAGATGTGAGTGAGTATATTCCCTTTTAGAGTGTATTGTACGTTAAAATGCAGACAGGTTTACAGCTGACTTCATGCTGCCGGAAGTTATCATGACAAGGATTCAAGGAGTTAGGAGGTCAGATCCCGAAATAACATTAAATGCTTCTTTTAAGAGACTTGTGTAAAAGTGTGTTGAAGGTTATACATTAACTTCAGATTGATACTGCGGAGTTCAAAGTGAAAGATGTGACCCTTAAAATATATTTTTATTCTATTTATGGGTGCCAGTCTGTTAGCATTATGCGTAGATGCAAGCACTGATTAGCTTGAGTTAGAAACTTATTTAAATCACTTTTTTAATATGTTCAAAATATCTGTTTGAAAATAGTAAAACACACTGGATTTGAAGTTATTAACATGGTGCACCTTTTTTTTTTTCCTTCCTCTTCTTTTCTCTTTAATTAATCTTATTTCTTGCAAGCAATTATGTAATAATGTAGGGACAAGCTGTTGAGACAGTATTTATGTTGACAAACTTTAGTAATAACGGATAGGACTTTACTTTTAGTACAATTGTATTGCAGTGAGAACCATGTGTTGTCTTTCTTTACATATTTTCCTATTGTACTGCTATTTAAAGTTAATACATGGTTGAATAAACAGTTTTTGTTGCTTGTGATCTCTCCTAAAGGTTTTTCTTTCATCATATTGTTGACCTTTACTTTACCTGGTTTGACAGAATTAATGACAGGAATTTCAGTTTTGATGAAAGTTTCTATCCCTGAGCCTTAGGATTGATAATTAAAACCTCAGTTTTGTCCTGGTTATGCTGTAGGAAGTTTTCTGCCATCCAGGATTTAATGTCTGGGATACAGCTAAAATTGGCCCCGTGTCATCAGGAGACATGGATATGTACAACTGTATCATCAGCATAGCTGTGAAAAGTGATGCCATACCTCCTGATAACATCTCTCAGTGAAAGCATGTATAAATTAAACAGTGTGGGGCCTAAAATTGAGTCTTGGGGCACACCACATTCAATGTTATGAATCTTTGAAGAGCAAGTGTCCAAACTTATAAAAAATTCTCGATCTGTGAGATAGGAATTAAAGCATTAAAAGGCAGTACCAGAGAGGCCTACAAGGTGCCTTAGTCTACAGGCAGGAAATCTTCATCACAGCAGACTGGGGGCTCATGGAGGCACTAGATGAGATGGAGGAAAGCTAAATTAGTCACAGGTCAAAAAACAAAAAGCTGGAAAGCTCAAATAATTGTAGAATTACAGGAAAACTCTTGAAATTTGCAGATACCATATTAGATGCGGGAATAATCTGGCACTGGAGAAGCCTCACAGCATGGCTTAAATGCAGGTGGTAACTGCAGTAATTAGGTATAGGTGTGAAGGTGCAGGTGGAGCCAGTGCAGGAGGGAGTCACCCAATCTCTGTAAAGAAGAGAGAGACAGACTCCACACAAGAAAATAACTCCAGATAATGCCAACAAAAAAAGCCAAAACATGTCACCACAGACTGAAGGTTACAGATAGATTCAGGAGTCAGTAAAGAACATAAAAATGGCAATTCATGTAGCAAGGCTGCATAGAGAAAGTCATTCCAGTGCTCTAGTCTGCTGTTATGTAAGGGAAACAAACAGACTCGCTCATATTGTGTACCAAAACCAACAGATCACAGAACATTACGGTACACTGAGTCCAACATTTTCAGAGAGAATGAGGTAGCATTTCACCACAGTTCATTAGATTAAAAGGCTGCTTGGATAAGATTTATCCAAGCATAAAAGTTGTTCATGCATAACCTTGACTTCACATTTTCAATTCGATTTTTTAAATGCAGAACATGATTTCATAAAACCTTTTTTATCCACAAAAGAAATATTTAACACCAGGTATGAGTGATGGTCATCATATTCCAGCGGAGGTGGTGTTTTGTCCTGTCGGTCCTTGAATGTGGACCTGCTGTTCGGCACCCACTCACCCTAGTGACTGACAATGAGTCATACATGGTCCCAGAATCAAACAGATACTAAGTCTAACGTCTGAAGCTAAAACTGTGAAAGCTGAACTATTAATTGATTTATTTGTATTTTTGTTATTGTATTGTCATTCATAAACAATATCTTCGGCCCAAGTAGGATTGCAGATCACCATTATTAAGACAACAGCAACAACAGTAACTAAGAGTAATAGCATTACAGAAATAAACCACTGTGATGTTCTTCAGAATAAAAGTGGGCAAGTTGAGGGCTTTATGATTAAACAGTTCCTCCCTGCCATCATCAATACATGCAAAACGTAATTAGCCTTTGGACACAAAAGACAAAATAATCACATGTAAAAAAAGGTGTTTACTCATCAAAAAGGACAATATCAAAGAAAATGTCATTAATTTTTGTTCATAACTTAGATCATAGTCAAAAGATCTCTGAAGTGATTTTGGCCTATTCTTCCACACAATCAGTCTTCAAATCTTAAAGGCCTCTTCTATGAACTCTGAGCTTTAGTTCAACTTTCAACTTTATTTTATTTATATGGCACTTTTCCTACAAGTTGTAACACAAAGTGCCTTACAAAGCATAAAAACAAAATGAAACATTAAAATCCCCAAGAAAACCCCAAACCTCCCACCCGCACAATTATACCCATACACACACCCGTGAACATAGACATACAATTCCACACACACAACTTCACATACATACGCATCTACACAGTTAGCAGCTGACAGTTCTATCCATAGATTTCCTATTGGATTCAAGTCAGGTGACTGGCTGGGCCATTCTAGCGCCCAAGTGAGAGTTTCCTTGGCTGTGTGTTTGGGATCTTTGTCTTGCTGAAATGTCCACCCTTGTTTCATTTTTATCTTTTTGAGAGATGGCAGTAGATTTTTATCAAGGATGTATCTGTACATTTTTCCAATCATTCTCCCATCAAGTATATGAAGTTTGCCAGTATCGTATGCTGAAAAACAGCCCCACGCCACAATGTTCCCACACTGTTGGTTTTTGGGGTGCAGTGCCATTTGACCTCCAAACATTGTGTGTATTATGGCATCCAAAGAGTTTAAAAACAAGCTTCAACATGTTTTTTCTTTAACATCTGAGTCTTGCTTGGTGAGTATGCATACAGGCCATGGCTGTTGAGTGTGTTACCTATTGTTTTCTCTGAAACAATTGTACCTGATAATTCCAGGGCTTTCTGAAGCTCTCCACAAGTGGTCCTTGGCTCTTTGACAACTCTTCTGATAATTCTTGTCACTCCTCTGTCAGTAATCTTGCGAGGGGCACCTGGTCAAGGCCGGTTGATGGTGAAATGAGGTTGTTCCCACTTCTAGGGCATGGGCCCAACAGTGCTTCCTGGAACATAAAGAAGTTTAGAAATTCTCCTTTAACCAATGCCATCAGTAACAATAAGGTTGCAGAAGTCCCGAGAGAGCTCTTTGCTTTTACCCATCATGAGATGTTTCTTGTGTGACACCTTGGTAATGAGACACCTTTTTAAACACCATCAGTTGGAACTGAACCAGCTAATATTAATTAGCACCAACCAGGGGAAGGATTGCTTTTTAATTACTGATAATAATACTAACATGTGTTAAATACTTTTCCCCTCTGTCATTCTGACATCTGGTGAAAAATTCATGTCTATAGACGGGTTTCTTGTGTACAAACAATACTAGGTGCGTGCGCAACCATGGGGCAAAATCCTGCTTTGGAGTGAACTGATATCAATGAAGATGCAATATTGTTTATAAGTTCTCCTCAGTTCAGTTCAGAGCAAAACTAAATTTCACAGGAGAGTTTCAGCAGAAGCACCACAACAGCATCACTGTAGTATGGAACATTCAAAACAATATATTCTTATGGTTCCCTAATTTAGTGAACCACGGCACCCAAAGGCAGTTTTCTTGTGTTTCCCTTTATGTCAGTCAAGTATTTTTGACTCAATATGAAAGATTATTTAATTAAAAAAAGATGGCCAATACAGTTGGTATATGTTTTGTTTTTTTACAATGTTAGATTTTGCACTACCAAATCTCAGCACCAGGGGGAGTTAATAAGCCATGTAGAGCCCCAGACAGTCCCTTCTCTGTGAGCTAGTCGGTATTGTGAGACTCTTTATCCTGGATCGGCACAGTGCCCCCCCTCCAGTGATGTCATCTGCTTTTATGCAATGGTCAAAACTTTCAAGTGGGTGCAGATTTAATAACCCCTTGACCTTTGCAATAAAAGATCCTGTTTTCTTTGCTGAGGAGATGCATAACACTGAACTTACTGAACCAAACACCAAACTCCTTCACCATGGCAACCATGCACAGAGAGCTGGCTGATAAACACAGACCTGTTGCCTTTCACCCACGCAGTACACACAGCCGCATACCACACACACACACACACACGCACTCATGTCCATATACACACAAATACACTCGCATAAATACACACTGTGTAAATTCATTGAAATATGGCACACAGAGATGAAAAGTAATCACAATTTCTCATGTTGTCCTTTGTATTTCATGGACAGGATAAAGCCCGAAACACTTACCAGTTTTTGTGCACACAAAGAAGAACATCAATGTGCTGCTTTATTACAAAATGTATGTCTTTTTTCAGGTCTTTGTTAGTCAGGGAGCAGGTGTGATTAAGTTGAACGATTAGCAGTCACAGTAAGTATGTTTTTTCTTTGTTTTTAGTCTGAGCAATCGAGCATACATGAGTCAGACGGCTCAAACTGTCAAAATATGAATACTGTGAAAAAATGTGAGCAGAACTCAGCCTCAGTTCCCTCTATACCCCCACCCCCACCCCTGCACGCACACACACACACGCACACACGCACACACACACACACCACAGAAGGCAGGCTCCTCCACAACCCGTCGCTAGTAGATACTACTGGTTCTTGTCACCATGGCAGCAAATTCTCAATCATTTTCTCTCTGCCATGTTTCCATGTGCACACACACTCGCTCACACACTCATGAACACATTTAGCTGTGATGTGGGAGGGTTGTCCTTGAGTCCTTGAGTGTTCCCAGGTCCAGCTGGGGAGCAAGTCCACCTGTGAACAGAATTCAAATGCAGTGGCAGGAAGGGATGCTCGTTCACTTGCAACCTTTTACAGGACATCATGTACAAATGCGTGTCATCGTGCAGTGCATGGAATTTACAACTACACTGTGTGCATGCAAATATTTTTCATAAAGCAGACACAAGCCTCCATTTAAAAGACACGTCTTCTTGCCAAAAAAGTCTTTTTACTCATAATAATACTGAATTTGATGGAAAGCTTTGGCTCACATACATTAAAATTGTACTTTGAGAGTATTTTTCAGAGTGTGTCAAAAGGAGGACTGGCGGTCTGTGTCACCATTTCTGCAAGCCTGATGCATTGCTTCCTTTCTTTACAATATGTCACTGAAAAATTGTTATCTCCTCGCTCGGATTTACATTTATACTACTACGGAAACACATATTGTATGATAAATCATCACACATGACAGCGTATATATCTCCAGCCATGTTTCAATATGTAAGTGCTTACAGGAAAACAACGTGACTTGAATTTTCATGTCTCATGTAGTTGTTCCGAGCTGTTGACGTCAGCTCACGGAAGATGAAATGAAGGTACAGATGAAAAAAAAACTAAAGGTGAGAACAGGAGAGAGAAAGGAGAACTGAGAGAGTGAGAAGAAAGAAAGATAAGAGGATAGGCAGAGCTGATTTTCTTTCTCCAATAAAAGCACAACACCCCCCCACCTCCCACCCCCCCACGTTGCTATGGCGACCTCCTCCACCCCCCCACCCCCCTTCCTTTCAGCGAACTACCACTTATCCTTGCTGCCTTTCAGTCAGCAGGGCATGTGTGTCTTGGTGTTTGTGTGTCTGTGTGTATATGTACTTGTTTGGTGGCTCCTGCAAGATTCAGGCAAATTAAGGGGGAAAGCCATCAGAGAGAGAGACATGCCAGACTGTTTCACACACACTCTCAAACATACATGGACATTACAGAAATACAGATTAGTAGAAAACCCTGAGCGGCAAAAATACTGCAAAATTAACCAGCTTCTGTGTTCTTTGCTTGTCGTTAATTTTTTTCCAGTCTTTCAGAATATTCAGGAATACCTCATCCTTATCTTCTGTCTCTTTTACAAACTCTCTCCCTGATTTCACTTACCACACACCCACTCAAATGCGCACAAAAAAGGAAAAGGGAAATATAAGGATACATAGAAAGCTACAATTAAGTCTGCAACATTTTAGTGTTTGACCACATCACATATCAAAACAGCAACCAAAATAAACGAATACACAGACACTTTCTGTGCACGCATAATTCTCTCGGGGTCAAAATCTGTGTTATTTAGCATCAGCAAAGGTGTATTTTTCATCACTGGCCTGAGGCTGTTTCAGCACACCTTTCTGCACTATTCACTTATTTTAATCTCCCTCTGCGCTAGAATAAAAAATGTGCAGTCATGCAAGTTTGAGATAGACCTAGCAAGGATGTAACTGGTATGAAGCTGAAGCTGAAACTGGTATGTGATGGTTAAAGAGTGTTTGAGAATGTAAATGTAGATAGATAGATAGATAGATAGATAGATAGATAGATAGATAGATAGATAGATAGATAGATAGATAGATAGATAGATAGATAGATAGATAGATAGATAGATAGATAGATAGATAGATAGATAGATAGATAGATAGATAGATAGATAGATAGATAGATAGATAGATAGATAGATAGATAGATAGATAGATAGATAGATAGATAGATAGATAGATAGATAGATAGATAGATAAGTCACACTGAGACATGGGCATGGGCTTTCAGTTTACACTATATACCACCAGGTAACTTGGAATCTCTCTCATAGTAATGTTTTGTTTCTGTGGTCCACAAAGTCTAATTGTACCTTTATATTACTCATGTTTTAGACGGTTATATTTCTGTCACTACAAAGGCCTGCAGACCCAAACAGCTGATCAGTATGCTGCAGGCAAAAAGAACATGTACGGTATGTGCTGCATCTGAGAGCAGAACACAAAAGAACAGGAGCTGCTTAAACAAGTTTAAGCACTACACAGCGTACACTCACACCAAAAGTAGTGCTTTGGCTGTGTTTGCAACAATGATTAAAATGACATTGTTGCTGGCTGCATTTGTAGCAGTTGATAGCCTCACTACTGTTCAGGATCCCAAACCACAACAGAGGGTTCAAGCCAACCTGATCACCTGTGGCCTGCACACACACACACACTCACTACTGACTAATTCCTTGTGCAACACTGCTTACATAAATTTACATTGTGTTGGAGTCTGCAATGGTTTTATAATTAACAAGGCAAAGATTTATCTCATGTAAGGCTTCACACAGACACCGGGCCATTAAGATAATCATTACCACTAAATTTCTCACTAATTGCTTTAGCTTTGGGTTTTCTCTGATAGACTTTCTGCAGACAAAACAGCACAACAAACAGCAGAATCCCTCTCATGCTCGCTGCAGCTTCTGCTGCTTTGTCTTTCTTCAGTACATTGCCATGATAACTTTTCAGTTGACTTAGTGGATTCATTGTGTTCCGACTCAAGGATTTTTTTTCCCCGCCTTTAAAAGGAGTTGCAGCACATGTGCACAAATGCACCCACCATTTTATTATGTCCTCTCTTCAGCTTGTTGCTGCTGAATTGTTCTCTTTAGCTGCATTTTATGGTGGCTTTCTTAGTGGTACCTCCTGCATCAGAATGGATGATCTGATCATTTGATCATTTGAATTTGATAAAATAGTATAATAGGACTGATACATGATAGATGCATGTTACAATGAATGACAGTATAATCACTATCATACATTTTTCTTGCATCTCTAAGTTTTACCAAAGTAAAACACCCTCAAGATAGATTTATAGAATTATAGCGGACCGACTGACAACTCATTCAGAGACAGATGTGTGACACACTCTCATTGTATAGGACTCCACAAGCTGCCTTTATTTCCTGTTATAAGGTGTCACTCCACTTAGTTTACAAGCTCCTCTCAGCTAACATTTACTCTCAACCACTATTTTCATAACAGGCTCTTTTTTGCACGGACCAGCACTTCAGACCCAATCTTCACATCATTTGTACAGCATGCAGGTTATTTGCTGCATCTGCACTATTCATCATTTTTTACCATTCTACCGCCTTAAAACAACCACAGAGTTATACCTGAGTCAGACACTACTGGTTTTGTCATTTGTCACAATGAATAGTCAAAGTAATGACGCAAGTCATTCCTTACAGAGCTATGGTGATGTTATTGGAAATGTATGCAGGCTGCAGTAAATCTGAGAGGCTCTCCACATTTGTTAGATTTATTCCTGCTCTTAAATGCATAAATTACCACCAGTAACAGTCACCCCTCAATTCAAGATTGCAGTAAAGCCAGTTATACAGCACCAGAAGGCCTTTGAAAACAATTACAGAAAATTTAGATTCTTTTATGGTAACCAATACAGAAGATGTGCTTACTTTTGGGTATTCACTGTTGAATTTTCATACATCCAACAGTGTTAATGCTGCAGTCTTTCAGAAACACACATTGCAAAGTTAAATTGAGCAGAGCAGGTTTGAAAGAGTTTGGACTTTCCTCCTCATGATTTTTAGTGGTTTTATTCTTTGGCATGGGTGAATACTTGTGTGTGGAAATGCAATTAAAATTAAGATAAATACTGATCATTACAACAAAAGAAAAAAAAATTGACATCCTGAATACTAAGCCTTATTAAGGTCAAACAATGTTCAGAGTTCAACAAGTGTTCGTTGAAGAAATGAAGCAGACTCAGGGTCTGACATGAAGTTTTACAACATCACTGAACTTTGAGAGAAGATGAGCTGCATAGAAAATCTGAGGTACCAAAGATACTGAAGTACAAAAAAAGACTGTCATAATCATAATTTTTATACTCTGCTAGCTGTGACCCAGCAGTAAAAGCAGGTCTTGAATGTGCAGACGATGGCAGAAAACTAAAATGCCACCAGGAGCCAGAGAAAACTCTTCATCCAGATAAAGTCACACACTGTAACTAACACAAGAGGTTTTCCTTCTGCTGACGACACAGGGAAAAAAGAAAGAGGGAGAGAGTGAAGCAGCGATAGAAAGAGAGGAGGAGAGATGAGAGGGACTGAAGCTCTGCTGCAGAACATACCTCATCTCCATTTTAGCTGGAGGGAGAGAGAGGGGGAAGAGAGGGAGAGAGAAAGAGAGAGAGAGAGAGAGAGAGATCCAGTCTTTGCCAATTTGCTCCTCAGCTCCACTGACAGCGAGGGGAGCACTGGGGAAGTGATATTTCAGGAATCTTAAGAGATCCACAAACGTGTGGCTGCGAGGAAGGACAAGACATAAAAAGGGGGCACGTGAAGCATCTGAAAAGAAAGACTGGCAGAAAAAAGAGGATGAGAGGGAGCGACAGACTAAGATGTGGTCGGTGTTTCAGCTGCGGTAAGAAACCTGAAATATGTTCATGGATTTTTTTCAAGGCAAACAAGACATTGCAGCATTTACACAGGCATGCAGTCACCACTACACACATGCAGCTGGATGGAGGCAAATTCACTCTGATGAAAGCACCATTGATGTAAGGTGTTGGCAGCAGGTGTGTGTGTGTGTGTCCCTGTGTGTGAGTGTGAGTCTGTGTTTGTGTTACAAATAGAGGAGCTTAGGGGTTTCATTTGGCAGAGGGTGCAAATGATTCATAAGTTTGTGTGCATGTTTGTCTTTGTGCATGCTGGCTCACTAACAGCTGCAGAGCAATGCATTTTATTATTATTATTCTCATTATTATCCAGAACTGCATCCAGAATCTCTCTCTCTCTCTCTCTATAAATCCTCTCTCTATATTCCGCCCTGTTGCAGGGTTTCTCTGTGTCGAGCTGCACAATACAAACAAACCTTATGCAATGAAACACTCCATGCATGCATGTATTTTTACTCTTTCCCTTGAATTTCAGGCCTTAAAGGTTTTCTTTAGCTCCATTTGGCACTCTCCCTGCCAGACTGGAAGAAGCACAGCCAAATAGAGCCAGAGGGAAGGCATTTCTGATTTCAGCCTCAAAAAGGCATGAATATGACTAATTCCTTATCAACACAGACCTTTAATTTCTGTCTTTCTGCCTCTGAAAACTTCCTAATGGTAGCCCATTAGAGAAACGACACTGTACTTGCCCATCCCACACTTATTCATTCAAAATATCAAATTCAAATCTATGTTTTTAAAAGGATGGTTTAAATATATTTGTGAGAGTGTGTGAAGGTTCTCCTCTTGAGGTTTGCTTTACTGCATTTTGTTGCCCTTTTTAAGTGTTACATTAGTGTCAGACAGGTTTAATGGTTGAACTCACTTAGATGCAGAATCTGTTGTATTTGTGTAAATGAGGTGCATATATCACCCATCGAGAACTGCAAAGAATGTGGAGAAAAGATTATCTGACTTTATCAATGTCAGGTTTTTGATATGTAGAGCAGGAGTTTCCAAACTTTTTAGTTTGGGACCTCCTGAATCTACAGGGAATGGCTGCCCCTGAGGTATCTGAGCATCACTCCACCAAATGTTGACATATATAGGCCAATTCAAAAACAAAAATTACAACGACAGACGAACATCCATGAAACTATTTGATAGCATTTTTAAAATGGCTACAGCCAAAGCTGAAGCATGGGTGAGTCTATAAAACCCTCTGATTTTACACTGGCTTAAATTAAGTGAGGGATAATGTATGATAGTAAGCCGTGCCAAATGATTTACCAGGTGAGTCGACCACTTACCACCTCTTGACTCCATTCCTCTGCTGCAAACTGCTCAGGCGTTTAACACCCATTTAAAGTTTTGTGCACTTGAAATTGAATGTAATCTTGAAAATTACCTGAGTGTCAACCACATATATATGTATATATATATATATATATATACAGTATATGTATACAGTTATAGAAAGTGTTTATAAGTTTCTTATGAGTATGTGTATTATACTTGATAATAAAATGTTGATTATTCTTTTATTAACACTTATTATCGCTTATCAACTATTAATCTATGTGTAAGTGTTGCCTTTGAAATTATTTACTGTTTTGACCTATTGCATTTGTTTACAACACAGCCAGATGACAGGTGAGCACTCAGCCACTGTCACGGTCAGGCAAAACCCATTCAAACCCATCCAAAGCCAACATGGATTAATGAGGGAAGCTTGTTTTCCAGCTGTTTGGCTGACATCAATGCAAATCAAACAACACAACTAAAGTCTAGTGTGCTAAACAGAATGTCATGCTTGGTTGAATGCAGTAATTCACATTTACATTTTAACAGCTCGGGGCCATGAAACTTTGTGTGATTTCTAAGGTCACACACAGTTTAACTGAGCTTTGATCAGGGCTGAAAATAATTTAGGAGGTGTGGGGTTAGTCAGACCTACATAGGCCACAATTCATCAAAAGAGGAAAGCAGCTCGAGGTTATAATGCTATTAGCTGCTACTGGCACGCTAACCTAATACATCTGAGTCTCAAACTTAATTGTCAGTGGTCAAGATGGATTGAAGGTACTGTATGCTGATTGTCTCTAACAAGACAGGAGGATGCACAGGACATTTTAGGGAAAGAGTCTTTAATGAAATTCGATTGATAAGGAAAAAAGAGCTTTAAACTGAATCCTCTTTATGTACGTGTATCAATCAGTACAACAAACAAACATAGAAGGACTCCCTAAGGGTTTTACCTGCATCAAAAATACTAAAAGTCAACAGAAACATTGCAGAAACAAGAATTAATCTTTAACTGTAAATTTCTAGATAACATGCACCTGCAGCCCTTTAAACCGTTAATAAACCTATTTCAGTTTTAGAGAACTGCAGTCAGTGAAGTCGCCTTCACCAAAACTGTTCATATAAAAATTTAAACTCAGTGGAGTGACTACTTCTCCCTCAATACTGTGATTGAATAAAGGTCAGTGATAATCGGTTCATGTGTATTCATACTAAACTCAAAAAAAAAAAAATCTGAGTCACACTGGGTCAGAGAAGAGGAGTATTAATGGTCACTGAGAGCAAAACTATTTTCTATTTATCCAGAGCACAAGTGGACTCTGAAGCAGGAAAGAGACCGTGTTATGAAAGTGGCTGCTGAGTCATACGGATCTATTATCCTTCTCTTTTCTAACCAGTTTAAATGACAGGGCAGCACAACTCCTTTGAACACTAAACACACTTAAGCATTAAGTTCAGCTTTATAAAAACTGGCAGAAAGAAATTCTGACTCTCTGAAAATTAATTACAAAAACATCAAAATTAAAAAATGGATTAATTATTTAGCAGGTTCAGGATCAGGGAAAGATGTGAGATTTTAGAGGGTGAGCTAATAGAAGAGTGAGACGAGTTCAAAAAGGTGAGATAAGTTTTATGTTTTGGTGTTAAAGCTAAGACCTTGAAGAAGACACTGCATCTCTGCACCCACAGAGATACATGAGGATGCTTTGCACTAAACTACATGCTGCTTATGAGTGCTGGCCTCTTTTCAATAACTCTGCTTAATTAAATCTGTAAATTCATGCCCCTTATTTGTGAAAAAAAAAAAAAAACTGGCAAACATCTCGCCACACTCTTTCCCCTTTCGCTTTCAGATGCCAAAGCCTGCAAAGTTTCATATTATTTCCAGTTAGTCACGTTGACTGCAGATGTCAGTTTAATCACGCCAGCTGCCAGGATGGAAAGATGTAGAAAAGGTTCATACTTCATCTCATGACCACTTTATCTACAACTGTACAGAATTTCTTGAAGCACCCACAGCGATTAATTGGAGAGGAAGTTTTGCAGCTTAAGAAATGTAGTCATGATGTAAAATTTGGCATCAGTGTTGTTGCATCTGTGATCTCATCGTCTGATACGCAGATCAGATCAACACAAATTCCAAAATAAATCTCAAAATACAGAGACAGAGTGAGGCTTGGAGATTTGTTTCCATAGCAACTATCCAGTGAGCCCTGCACAGCTTCTCAGCATTTGTGATACCAACAGTTCTTAATAAAACATAAACCTTTGATTTTTTTTATCCTCATTAGGGTGAAAAAAAAATACAATTTTTCTGTGGACTACCTTATACAGCCAAACCTCAATAACATTGTCACAAAATACGTTTTAGATTGAAAGGTTAAAGGTGAGCTGGATGTCTGCAGGTCAAGTTGTTGTCAATGCAGCGATAATAATTTAATTTGAACAATAAACAGACCCCCCCCCTTCCAAAAGAAACAGCCTAAAATTGAGGTGAAGTGAAACCAAATCACATACTACATTTGAGTCAAACATACTGACAACATTTGGAGCTAAATTCTGCCCTGGAAGAGTTGCATAATTGACGTTTTGTTTCTCTACAAACAAAATCGTACATTTAAACAACTGAATAAATTAGAGATCATTCCAGCCAACAGCTGACTCTCCCGGCACTAGAAAGCTCAGCGATTCCTATTTCAGTCAGGACTACTTTAGTAAAAATTAATTATTTATTACAAGCAAACATTTTTACTTTGGCAGTATGGCTCTGTTCTGAGAGTTCCCTGCCCTTCCATGTGCTTGCATGGAAGGGCACAGTTATAAGAGGGGAGAGCTCCACCCCTCCCTTTCATGTGCATACATGAAAAGCCAAGGCAGAGAAAGCAGCAGCAAATAAATACAACTAAGATAAATAAATTAAAATACCCCCACAAACCAAAGAAAGCATCAGTGACAATACATATGACACTGGTAAGATTAGACACAACATAAACAGGGGGAGCTAGGGTGGAGGTGGGTTGCAGAGTGGTTGCAGCAGGCACAGGAGGCAGGAGAAGCAGTTTAAATAGGGCGCCATTTTGAAATTAGCCAATCGGATGTGTAAAGGGCGATCACCTGAGCTGTCAGCTGACTGAGGGCTGGCTTTAGATCAGCTGACTGTAGCCTTTAGCTTGACTCCATGTCCTGCCTGAACTACCACTATGCATCATATTCCTAATCACCTTTTTTTCTCAAGCCTTCCTCTACACTGATTCTCCAGTGGACAGTGCTTCAGGATCCAAATTTGTCAAGAAGCCTGTCAATCATTGTTTATGATTCCCAAATTTTGGCTTCAAATAACTAATTAAAACTCGAATTCTGAGAAAAAAAACTACCGTCAGAAATCACCTTGAAACAAAACTAACTACTCTGCAGGCTCCATCTTTTTCTCTGCCATGTGTTTTTATTGAGTTTGGTCCATGTACGGCTTGTTAACATGGAAGAGGAAGATTTCAGACTCTCACTGAAGTTGATAGAAGGAGTTTTGCATGTGCCCACTTCGCCGCACCGGGATGACAGAAACAGCAGTTTACAGCTGGTACGCAAACTTTCCCCTGTGCATTGTATGTAGGCTACATTTGCTTACCGTGTTGCCGCACGTCAGTTTGCACTCTGCATTGTAACCTTAGTAATCCAATAGGACCATGCTGCTTGCGAGTGAGTCGTAGTTGCTTTCGCAAACAAACAAACTCGGGGGGCGCTCAGTGCGCACTTTTGATTGGACGCTGGTTGCCTAGTCGCCTCGGACTGCCTCCCGCCTTTTGCGGAAGAAGGGAAATTTTAAAGAGACAGCTGCTTCAACCTTAATGCAGAAATTAAACAAAATGCAGAGAAATTTTGATTTTATATTCAAGAGAAAGTGAGATGCAGCAGATGATGATACTGTGGCATCAGAATCAGCTCCCCATTAAACTTGGGTGTGCTCCTCTTGTACAAAGCCTACGGGTTCAGTACCTCCAAGAATCTTATTCTACTTTCACCCCTGCATGTGCCCCAAAGTGGCCTGAAGACCAGTTGATCCTGGTTTAGCAAAACTAGGCAATATATTTTTCTAGACCAGGATTTGTTTGTTTTTTTAAACACAAAATATTTTGCACAGCTGTTCAGTTAATTATCTAGTTTGCCACCAAATGTCCACAATGTGTTAATGTCATAATGTTGTACTGTGAATACTGATCAGAAATGTCAGCTGTTACATACATATGAGAGTCTGCCAGATGCTGTAAATGTAAGTCTGATGTAACTGATGCCTGTGCCTCATCCTGTGTGTGTGTATGTTTCCATTTGACTGTGCATGTTTGTGTGGACAGCCACATTCACAAAGCCTTTTCCATAATAGCCTTAAGTACAGAGTGCTGATAACTTAAAAGATCCTTAGGGCCTTTTTAGCTGTTACATAATAAATAACAATTATGGGCCACTATGCTCTAACAGGCAGTGAATGTGCGGTACCGATATAAAATATTAAAGATACACGATTTCATAACTCATGCATATTCACCATCTTCTGTCGGCTGTAAGAGACACTGTAGATTACTACAGGGAACAGTTATCTCATTCATTGTGTTGTTGAAATCTGTTTAGTCTTGCTCTCATTTTAAATTTCACTTTAACGGTCTGCAAATTCTTTGATCTTTCATTTGACTTCATATTGACATCTGCTGTTTGTCAAACACGGTTTAGAGAAGAAATTGCTGAGGCATGATGTGTAATGTGGTTTTCTGAAGGTGACAATCTGCAAAATCGAATCCATGTTCATGTTGGTTTCTTGCATTCCTCCGCATCTATTCCTTTTCTTTTCTTGTGTTTTGACAGAACAGTGAGACGCCATGCTGTGAGCCATGAATCCTCCACCTGTGGCCAGGATATGAGATTGATGGTGTGACAACATAATGGTGTTATCCAACTGAAGCCACCGCCCAGGCCCTGTTTCAGCACTGCAATCTAAATTACACACAAAAAAACAACCCTCTTGGATCAACACAGTTTTTATCTATAAAGGAAATTTTTGACATTTTCAGTTTGTCTAGTGTTTGAAGCCACTGTAACATGCAACCTACAATATAGGTGCTCCAGTATTTTAAGGAAAATTGCATCATACCAGCTCTAAAACAACTCCACACTCCGGTCTGAATGATTCATCCAAAATCGTCATAATCTCCCCTTGTCTGAATCAGCTCCTGTGACCTGTAAGGATCATGAGGCCAACACTAATATTCCTGCAGACACAGTTTTTCCTGTGTGTGTTTGTCAGTGTATGTGTGCCAGCTGTTGTTGTGGGCTCACTACCACATGCACTACCATGGCACGTCTCCTGCCCCGTTCGGTGTGTGTGTCAGATCAAGCCATGGTTCTCCCCCGACTCAGTCTATCATGAAGCTCCCACTGTGGACTGCAACGACCTGCTGTTGACCAAGCTTCCTGTACCCATACCCCTCAACACACACACACTGCGCCTGCAGAGTAACCTTCTATCTGAGATCAACACTGCAGCATTGCATGGACTACCGAACCTCACAGACCTTGATCTTTCTCAGAATCGCTTCAGTCACATCAGGACAATAACTAAGAGCTCCCCTCTTCCCTCTCTTTTGTCTTTACACCTGGAGGAAAACCATCTCGGTCATCTCCCTGATGCCTCCTTCTCCTCACTGCCAAATTTGCAGGAACTCTTTCTCAGCCACAACAATTTACACTCAATCACACCCGGAGCATTTGCAGGACTGGACTCCCTTCTGCGTCTTCATATCAACAACAACAGACTCACCACAGTCGACCCTCGATGGTTCAAGGCTTTACCTAGTTTGGAAGTTCTTATGCTTGGGGGAAACCCAGTGGAGGCCTTGCCTGAACGAGGCTTCCAGGCCCTGAGGTCCCTACGGAGTCTTGTCCTTGGGGGTATGGGCCTGCGAGGCTTGGCTGAAAAGGCTCTGGAAGGGTTAGAAGGCCTGGAAAGCCTCTCTTTCTATGATAACAAACTTACAAAGGTCCCCACTCAGGCCCTGAGGAGAGTGCCAGGACTGAAGTTCCTGGACCTCAACAAGAATCGTATCAAACTGATTGAGACAGGAGACTTCAAAGACATGGTCCACCTGAAGGAGCTTGGCCTAAATAACATGGAAGAGCTGGTGTCCATTGAGAGAGGAGCCTTGGAGAACCTTCCAGAGCTCACCAAACTTGAGATCACCAACAACCCACGATTGTCGTATATTCACCCACAAGCTTTCCTCCGGCTGAGCAGGCTGGAGAGCTTAATGCTCAACTCCAACTCCCTTAGTGCTCTTCATCAGCACATTGTGCTCTCGCTGCCAAGTCTACAAGAGGTCAGCTTACACTCCAACCCACTCCGATGTGATTGCCTCTTCCACTGGGCTGCCGACGAGGCCTCTCACTCTCACATTGAAGAAACACAAACCTCTCGGACAGTGCGTTTTATCCAACCTCAGGCTACGCTGTGCTCTGAACCCCCAGAGCTGAGAGCTCGTAAGGTTAGAGAGGTTTCCTCAAGAGAGATGTCTGCCTCGTGCCTCCCAATGATCCCTTCCAGCTCTCTTCCATCCTACGTTGGAGTAAGAGAAGGAGGGAAACTGGTCTTGCACTGCCGTGCTCTTGCAGATCCACAGCCTGAGCTGTACTGGGTGACTCCCTCTGGGCTTAGACTGGGTCCTGTACCAAACGTTGCATCCAAGGGTTCACCAGCTCCTGATCCCTGTCACAGCATGACAGTCTCTGAGGGATTCAACCAGACAACTGCCTCAAGCATCTCCACCAGCTACACTCAGGCTGATACTCCCTGTAACCCCTCCAAACACTATCAGCTACTGCCTGAGGGGACACTGGAGATGAACAAGGTGACCCTTGCCGAGGCAGGGTTGTATACCTGTGTAGCTGAGAATGCATTGGGTGCAGATACACGGAGTGTTACTGTGGGAGTGCATGGCAGAGAGAAGAAAAGAAAGAAGGGGGTGGATGTGAATGTGAAAGGAGCTCAGCCTGCCAGCGCATTTACAAGGTTGGAGGTGAGAGAGGTTGGACAACACTATGCTATCCTCTCCTGGCAGAGCGGGCACAACCTCCCTTCAACTCGCCTCTCATGGCAAGCCATATACTCAAATGCACACACACCTACATACACTACACGTATCCTGGCTGGTACACAGAGCTTCAACCTGACCCACTTGCAAGCAGAAACATTTTACAGGGTGTGTCTACACTTAGGGATCAGTGAGGGGGACAAGCACGCCGGCAAGAGGTCGAGAGAGAGCAGAAAACCTCAGTGTGTTTCGCTGAGAACAAAAGATATACCAGAACCTCAGCCCAGTCTGCAGATTAGCCCTGAGCTGACCTCTACAGCAGTCACACTCTTGCTCCTTGCACTCATACTGATGCTGCTGGCAGGCCAGGGCTGGGACACGGAGCCCAGTGAGGAGGCTGGAAAGCAACACATCACCATTCTCCAGGAAATCAAGAGTCCCACGGCTTTGATAATCAATCAAAAAAGGAGTAATGGAAATCAATCAAAAGAAAATGAAAAATGTGTATTAGATCAGGACTGCTGAGACAATTGTTTGTGAATGATCAAACATAAACAAAATCCCACTCACACAGACACAAACACAAAATGTGAAATATATACACTTTGTGAATCAGAGTGACATGAGAGGAGGCATAGCTCAGAAAAGTGATAAAGAGAGAGATTTGTATTTATTTTATATACCGTATAAAGTATATATTGACATTGTTTCTGTGTAAAGATGTATTGTACAGAATGCCTAAACCCTAAACAGGGAAATAAAACTGGACAATCATACTCCTGCAAAACAGTGAGTAAACACAGGAGCAACAAATGGACCTGAGCGGTTCATGACTACTGAACTGGAACTAAAGAAAACCTGCTTCAATCCAGGGGCTGATATTCACAGAGGACAGTGGCTCAGTCCTCCAGGGTAATTTTTCATCTTTCCTGCCTAAACATGGCACAGACTTCAAGCAGACTGAATGACGTTCCTGCATTGGTGTTAATAACCTTTTTGCTTAGCTTTCAGTATCTTGGACTAGGTTGTCTACTTTGCAGTTCATACTCTCATCTGAATTTCCTGCTTAAAGTCCCACATCCTCCCTCAGCATAAAAGTGATCTTAAAGTGATTGTGTTAAATTCTATTTTGAGCTATTATACAATAAAAACTTTTTAATTTACACAATTTTGACTCGCTGTTGTTTTGTTATTGCTTTAATTGAGTGTAAAATAAGAAGAAAACACACTTATATGAAGGGTGATTACATCAATGAATGTATGTGAACACATACCATAGCAGGTGAGTCTTGAAATCTACTGTAACTGAGCCACATATCAGAGATTCACATGCAGAGATAACCTTTCAACTTTCTGTATGCACATTGTTGCTCCAAAGACAGATCGAGACTGATAATAGCTGAGAAAAACAAAAGACACAGTGTGTCCCCTGCTGGAGAAGACCAGGAACTGAGCAAGGTTTTTCAGCCTGGTCAAAGGGTCACGTCACGCCAGTCACAGTACAGTACTCACTTCACCATTTTTAGGATGAATCACTTTGTATCACAATGATTCTTCTTCATCTGGTTGGAATTGAAAATTTCCTGCCTTAGTGAAAGGTGAGAGGACAATATATGATGGTTAGACCTGTGCTCGGAAAAAAACGGCAAGATGGAGATGGATAATAGTTTTGCTGCTTTTCACAATTTTTCTGCTCAACACAGCTTCACAACAGCTACACTTCATGGTTATTAATGACATTACTGAATTTACCAATCAGAGGCTGAGATGACTCAGCAAGGTAACCGAAAAGATAATCTGGAAATTATGATACTTTCAAAGATGCTTCATCAACAGCTTAACAATATGTTAATCTGAACTATTTTACTAATCTTAAATACTGTGACCTCACTACACTTGGAATTAAAGATTTTTAGACAGACATTTGATAAATTTTACATTTCTTTTCCATAAATCAACTACAGCTACTTAATTTCACAGGGAAATGTTTTGGTACAAGATCTAGCTACCTTGAATCCACTGTTTTTTTGTTTTTGTTTTTCTTAGACACTGTGAATGCTTATTATTCATTATGTAATACAACTTTACAGTCCACTGTGTTTTAAAGGAGTCTGCTAAAAACAACAACCCTCTTTTTATTCTTTATAAATTGACAGAATGTACTTGAATAGAATAAGTATATACTGTATGTTCAAAAGCACAAAGATAAGCGCAGACTTTCAACAGCTTTCTTTGAATTTATTCACACAAAACATTATACATTTTCTTCAATAAGGCAACACAAAACTGTATGTACATACAATGAGCTATATGTATACCATATTTAGAGATTTTGTTGTTATTCCTCAGCTAACAACATTTTATTCTTTACTATCACTAGCAAGTGTAAATAAATAGTTTAGCAAGTCATGTAAAAGAGTACCACAAACTTCAAGTCATACTGTTAGTACATCCAATGCAACAATCCTTCACTCAGTGTGGTCGAGATATATTTTAACTGCAGCTGGGCTTTTCCAAGAGCAGCTACAAAGATATAAAATAACCCTTTAGGCAGGTAAAGGTAACCTGTGGAGTTTCTCTTACGAACGAACATGTTTACATTCAGTGTTACACACTACAATGCACTGTGTACAAAAACATGTTGTGTCTTTACTTCTTGGAGACATCTGACAGTATATTTTTTAATATCCATAACCCTGTATCAGGAAGGTCCATGTTTATTAGCCTCAGCTCTGCACTACCACGCAAGTTGCTGTGTATCATGTTCCACATTACTCCAGCCTGTTCAGAACAAGACTGTCCTGCCTCTCCTGCGATGAAAAGGGACAGAGGACAGAGGCAGGGTGGCGGGGCAAAAGAGGTTCCACTGTTGAGCCAGCAGCAGAGGGAAGTGACAAGGGCCGAACAGATGCAAAGCTCTGTCTGAGCCATCAGAACGGAACAGAGCTGTGTGTGTTTGGTGAAGTTTACACTTTGAGTGTCTTTTGATTCAGATTCAGTTAGATTGCTTTTATTTAAGTGTTGAGTGTTGATCTATGTAAAAAGACTCTGATGACTTGCTGCCAGCTCAGTGGAACAGAGAACGGGGATCAACTCACAGGAAATCAGTTTCTACCAGAGTCTGAAAACTCCGCAGGGGACCTTTATAACCTCCTACAACAACAGGAAAACACTTCTTAAAAAAAATAATCAAATCAAATCACAAACAGCAAAACCAATAATTCAGACGGTCAGCAATTCTAATCATTCCCATTAGCAGTATTATAAACATCAACAATGACATCATCTTTAGGTGCTGGATACCGAGTCATTCCTAAACAATACTGGATGCTTGAGGTATGAAAAAAAGTGGCTATTACTTTAAAAAGTGTGAAAAACAAATGTGTGGGTTTAGTTCTTCGTGTGAAACATCCTTTCACAGTTTTGATCATGTTGAATGTGCTGCACAGAGTAATGTAAAGTAAAACTGATCGCTTGGTACCCTTTGTCTTCACAGTTAATAGGATTGTACAGTCATTTACAAAAATAAAATTCTTTCTGCGAGAACAAATGCATATTGTCATTAGTACTTCAAATAGACAGGACAATAAATGGAATGAGAAGATAGACACTCGACATTACAGACTTAGAAAATGACATCAAGCAATATTTCTGTTATTTTACATCTTTTTAAACAGCACACGGTATCCTGTAGATGAGCAGAGCTGAGCTGCTCTGCTGTTTTAACCTGCTCCTGTTAGTTTGAGGATTGGGCTGCAACATTTAAGAGAACGGGCTAACTCAGCAGCTCCTTCATCAAAGCAGAGTGATAGAGATAAGCTGACTCAAAAATTTCTGGTACCACAAAAGGGAGATAAACAATAAAAACTCGACTGCAACCTGTGACTACAGTGTTCTTCAATCCAAACACAAAGACGAACTGAGGAGCCGTGCAATGAATGAATGAATGAATGAATAAATGAAAATGCCAGAATTTGAATCTTGCTGCACAATAATGTGGTATGCGGTTCATACATGTAAATGAATTTATAATCTGTGGTTTGATGTATTTACTTCAGGCCAAAATATGAGTGATTGGAAAGAGTTGGAGATAAACATTCTTATTCAATCTGACAATATTACACTGTTATAAAGCACTAACAGAAGTTTTCTTTGCATATTCTTACTGACATCATTGGACTCTTAAAAGCTTTCTTATTTCTGCTAAATATTTAATAGAACTTTCAAATACTGCTTTTTTTTAAAACCTTATGTTACATGAAATATAAAATGAGTCTATAATTGATAAGGCATGGAGTGATTATGTTTTATGAAAAAGAAAAAATCTATTATTCATGAATTTTTCATGTTGATGCTTTTGGCTCTAACTTTCAGGAGCTTCCGACTCTTTTAAGTTGTTCTTCCATCTCCCAACATACACATCCTACACAAACATCAAAATCTACACATTCAAACATAGACATAAAAAATGTCTCAAACACATGCTGGAGGTAAGGGCGATATATTGGTGTTAATACTTTAACGATAGAGCTGTAATTAAAATAATAACAGTAAATGTTTCAACTAAACAGTAGGTTAACAGACGATGGAGTCACAATTCTGTTATCAAATGCTCAATTTTTAAGTATTTTATATACGACAACCAAATTTATCTGGTTTCACAGCCTCAAATAAGACAGTTTTCTGGTCTATTACTATTATTTAAACCCCTTCAAAGTGTATTTTACTGGTTATTATATGAGCTGAATTCATACCTCAGCCTCTCAACCACCTACAACAAATTACACCATCAGGGACAAAATAGACTATTTCTATATTCTAACTTTTAAGGTTGAGAAGGGTGAGATATTTTACCAGAAAGGACCTATTACGCACGTACAAGATAAAATCATCAAAGAAACAGGAGGTACTGCTTTGTCAAAACCCGCACAAACTAATAGTTACTCTAAGGAGCTCCAAATACTTCCTTGAGTTCTTAGAAACTGTGATTGGTATTGTTCACTATTTTTAGTGTCTTAAATTTTAACCAGTCAACGGGGGAAGTAAATTAGCATTAGTCAACATTTTTGTCCAAATATTAAAGTATAGGATATTTTCCAACCTTTTCTGCAACTGCCAGCATGCGGTAGAATTTAATCAAGCCTTCAGCTCTTTTTATCACTGAATTTTAGCAATTTTCCCCCTCTATATTGTCAAAAACTAAGCATTTGATCAGATATCCCCTGTGACATCAAAAATCCTTTTTTGGGGAGTGGTATTGAAGAGGAGGCAGAAGTTGTGTGAGTGTTGTTCTGTGTAGCATTTCACTGTACCACCGTTTTGAGGAGCTAAAGCAGAACTACAAGTCAATGCAGTATTAGAATTTAAATGGTGGCTACCTCGCCGTATGTTGCCATGGAGACTAGACTGAGCAGATGATTTCAATTTGCCAGGAATACACTTGAGTGAAAACTAATTAACAGACTTGCACAGGTTTCATCTGTTTTTCCCATCAGGCACAGTGTCTCCACACCTTACATTCAGGTTTTACCTTTAAACAGCAAAAAAAAAGAGGAATATGAATCATCGTTGCCTGGAGACCACTGAATTCATGCACTGAATCTCTACCAGGTCCAGGAGAGATGCTCTACAGCAGACCCTGACCTTTGACTCCCCTGTGCAGCTATAAACACATCTGACAAACTGAAGAGAACCACAAACATGGACAGAGAGAAGCCTCCAGTGATCTGAAATGAAATGTAGATAAAAAATTCACACATCTGCAGCTAGATTTGAAAGTTCCAGAAATCTCCTCCTTGACAAAACACACATGCTGAGCCAAACACACGCTCACACACACACACAAACACACACACACACACACACACACACACACACACACACACACAAACACACACACACACACACACACACACACACACGAACGCACATCTCAACTGTAGTTGTAGGTGAAGTTGTACGAGCTAGGCTCCTTGGGCACAGGGGGCGGGGCTTCTGGGATTGTAATGTTCTCAAGGTCGAGGAGGCGGAGCTTCATCTCCATACTGATGAGGGTATCTAGGTCACTGCGTGTCAGGTCACTGCCCATCTCTCTACCCAGCAGCGCACACAGCCCGTCGGTCCAGATGCAGTACTGTTCCGAAAAAATACACACATGTACGGATTGATTTGGACTTAAAGTGAGAACACATGAGAGGACAATTCCAAACATGGGGTTGTTTGGAAATGAGAGTGGCCACATTGGACAATCCAGTGGAAAAAGTTTTTGTATTGATTAATTTTTAGGTTAAAGGAACATTTCTCAGATCTCAAAAAAAGTCCGAGGATGAAAAAAGAAGACCAAGGAATTTGTTGTCCAAGTGTTTGACTATGTGTCTGTCACTGCACCAAATTCAAATGAACCCTTTTAACCCAAGTGCTTGCCTTGAATTTCATTCAGCTGTCATTGTTCTCTTGTTTTTAGATTCTTAAAGACAAGACAGTGTTAAATCCTCAATATACTCTGAGTAATTTCATTTGAGCTATAATATTTGCTCATAGGAGGAAATCTATTTGTGAGGTCTTGATGAATGAAAACCATGAAGACTAAAAACAGGTAGGTACAGTTCATTGTGGTGTTTCAGGGAATATTCCTGAAAGCAGGCTTGAGGAGCTATTTGGGTTATCTTTTAGCAGTAACAAAAACAGAAAATAAAACATGAATAAATGTTGGCCAGCAATGGCACAAATCTGACATTTTTCCTCTCCTCTATGCTCACTTTTAGTCTAAATCAATCTGGAAACCCATTAGCTAACTGTCCCACCACAACACATTAAATGCCTCCTAGAACAACTTTAGACTTTTTGGGTGATTTACTTGAAAAGATAAAAAAATACCAAGGTGACAACATCTCAGTCTTGTGTTACCTTATGTGAATTTTTCTTTTTGTGAATCTAGGTTTGATTGCTCTACATTCTTTTAAGATTGCAGAGCTTCAGATATTTAAAAATATAGTTTTTGGTTGTTGAATGTTGAATACCTTCATCATTTATTGGTTGTTTTATTTGTCATATTTCGACTTTTTTTTTTTTTTTTGCTACTGCAAAGCCCTTTTTCTGACATGTTGAAGTGCTTTGAATATGTTGCTCTCTGACTCGTTCTAGTTTTGGAGTAGCAGAAGTCAGTGTCTTAATCTTCACTTGACTGACGGACACTTCCCACTGAGCATTTATTGGACTAAAAGAGATCTCATAGACGTCTAAATGTTGCCTTGACGACTGGTCTAAAAGGCTACCAAAGGTCAAAAAATGAAAATGAATTTTTTAGACATCTAAATCTAGACCAAATTTAGACTAAACCTAAATCTGGGCTATATTTATACGACACTGTATAAAACTAGATGTCTAATAGCTGTCTATTGCTCAGTGGGTTTGTGTATCATGTTGGTCCTGTTTTTGTATTTTGTCTTTTATTTTATTGCCTGCTGCAAACCAAATTTTCTTCAGCATAGTACTAAATCTGAACCTAAACTTGAACTCGCCTGGTCCTCCCACAAGAGAAGATATCCTGCTTGGTTACAAACTCTGTCAATCTAGGGGTTGGCGATACACAAGTAACATACTGTGGGTTTTGTGAAACAGTAGACTTCAGGTTTGAAAAACAACAAAAGTTGTTTTATAACTGTCTTTGGGCTTATTGATTGAAGCGTTTGATAGACAGACACATGGATGATCTAATAAATCATACCTGACGCAGTGATATAAATGTACACATAACAAAATAACAGTTCCGTTACCTCATACTTGTTTGGTGCCACAAAATTAAGAGTCTCATCTGGGTCATAGAGGACAGAAAAGGCTAACTCCAGCACCTCCTGAAAGACGCATAAAGAAGAAAATTGCCTCGTTTCTCATCACAGTTGCAGAGAACAATGAAAAGTAAAGTGGTGTGCAATGAAAATGATAAGTTTACCTTGTTTTGTTTCAGAGCACTTTTTTCCTTCATATGAGGACAGTCTTTCCCGGTCACCACAGACTTGATGTCAGAAACAGGGACTAGAAGGAATATAAAACCCACAACTTATTCATTTAGATCACTCAAAGGTCAACCCACTGACAGATGCAGCATGGCCATCGTGTAAATGTGTCATCATGTGCTAACAGGTAATTAGGAAAAGGGAAGGAACCGCTAGAAGAAATAAGATTTGAGGATTTCTTACTCTTGTCACTTAGGAGCTCAAAAGGCACTTCACCCTGAGGTGACTCATCCAGATCTCCATAGTGCAGCACTTTGTGATTCAGCGAGAGTCTGCAGAACCAAAACTTCTCTGCAAAGAGAGAGGCAGGGAACACAGCGCTCAACTGATAATCAAAACCACCAGTGTGAGCTCCCTCAGAAGTAAAAAAGCAGTGATTGTGTTGATACTGCATCTACCTTGCCTCCGGCGATTCCCCAGTTTACGGAAACAACTCCCCTCACACAATCGGTTCAGCCGCTGTTGCTTGATGAGCTCTAAGATCTCAGGCTGAATTCTCTCCCGCAGCTCACTGCAGCAAAAACACAGCATGAAGCAACAGGCACACAAGCATACAAATGTGAACAAGATTCTAATGTTTGTAAACCTAGGGGCTTAGCTGGTTTAGATTTTTCGACCTCGTAAACTCCAACAATAAAAGGATCAATCCTAATCTGGAGTTTCTATATCTGTAAAGAAGGACTTTAAGTACCCAGATATGAACGGATCAAAACTAACAGTACTAAGGAAGTTCTGTAATGTGACTGACATGATTGGTGGAGACTGGAAGTCATCCTGGCTCATTCTTTCTGACTGCCGCAGACGCAAGATCTCAGAATAGTTGAGTCCTCGCAGTTTATTCTTCAGCTGGTCCAAAGACGATGGTTTCATAGCCAGAGCTCGGGTGATCTGCTCACGCACCACCTGCATCACCTGGTTCAAGTTTACACACACACACACACACACACACACACACACACACACACACACACACACACACACACACACACACACACACACACACACACACACACACACACATACACAGAAGATGAAAAATGGTGGGAGATACTCCTGATAGACGGGCTGTGTAACAGGTGGAAGACATCTTGTAAGGTATGGTAAAGATAAAAGCTGTTCTGGTCATTTTGCAGAAATCTCCCTGCCACTTATAACATTTTCACAGTCTGGCTTTCGTTTCAAGTGAACCATAAATACAGTTAAAGTGGCAATTTAACCGTTATTTTCCCCATGAGACATCATTCTGCTGAGAAACAACTTTTCCCATTGAAAGCCTTTAAATAAATGTCTGTATGTGCAGTAATTTTATGTGATTATGTGAACAAAAGCACTCTGGATTGAAATAGACAGCATTAACATTATCGTCACTCTGTTCTATCGTAGAAAGAAATTTCCTCTCAGCTTTCTGCTTCAGGAAGCAGTCAAGTCACACACAGAGAGGAAGAATAAAGCAGCTCTTTTAATATGTTAACTCTAAAAGCTGGACTTATCTTGCATTCATACTAAGAGTACTTTCATGAACACATGGGAATTCTTGGAAATGAGAATGGCCACAGTGAACAATCCAATTAAACTGTTTTTGTACAGATTAATTTTGAAGTTAAAGGAACATTTCTCATATTCCAAAAAAAGTCAGAGGATCAAAAAAAGAAGACCAAGGGATTTGTTGTCCAAGTTTTTCATTAGTAAGAAAGCGATTGTGCAAATGACCTTTTTTCAGATTTCCAGGGATTTTCGGGAAGCATACTTTGGGTGTTTGACTCTGTGGCTGTCACCGCACCAAACTCAAATGAACATTTTTGCCTAAGTGCTTGCCTTGTATTTCATCCAGCCGTCATTGTTGACTTGTTTTTAAATTCTTAAAGACAAGACAGAATCTTCAACATACTCATATTTGTGAGGTCTTGATGAATGTAAACATGTCACACTATGAGAGTGCTTTAATACCTTATTGAAGTCCTCAGCCGTGGCTCTCATCTCTTTCCAGGTTTTATTAAGCAGCTGGATGCAAACACAGAAGAATTCCTCCCAAGCTCGGTCATGAGTGAAGAACATGGGGTGGTAGTCGTTGCAGCCCTCATTTGCTGTACAATGACAAATATTTTCCATTTTCAAATAAAACAGAAAATTCAACGAGAAAAACATTTCCCTGCTTCTTCCTCTTTGGCTATCCTTGTTAATCTTATCCTGATGGCGATTCTTACATAACGCCCTTTTAGCCATATTTTAAAGTGAAATAGCTACATCCCTTTAAATGCAGATCCACTTACGCAACTCTCCAACTTGGAGTATCTCGCACAACATTCTTGTGAGCTCAATAGCACACCGGCCAAATGGACATTCATGCTTGTCCTCGCGGCTGCTGTTCTCCAGGACAATCTGGAAAGAGCGAGGAGTAATGTTTGGAGACTTTCTTTCTCTGTGAAATGAGATAAATCTGGTCTGTTGCCAGAACTGACCCTGATGTATGTGTCCTGGTGAACCTTAGCCAGGTACAGCATGTTGTCCAAAGCCAACATCCCTGGAGGAGTCTGGGTGAAGTCCATGGCCGGGTTCACGTGGTTCTAGATAAGAAGGAAATAAAACATTACTTTACTGTATTTATACAGAAAGTTTTACAAGTACGCAAGTCAAAAAGAGACTTACAGTGAACCCCAGCATCTTATAGTCCTTGGTGTACATGGCCTTTCTCTTTTCGGTACCAGTGGGGTCATTTTCTCCATCAAAAGCGATTCTGCGAAGCTCAAAAATGATGTCCCTCTGAGTCTGGACCACAGACAACAAACACAGCATTAGCTTAAAAAAGGAACTTAGAGCAGAAAAATAATCAAAGAACACTGAAGTAGTTAATGTACAAGTAATAAAACAACTGCGGTAAATCAGTGGTTGTTACACAGCAGAGTATAGTTTTGACTGCACCAAACTTTGTCCTTCAAACTTTTATTTCAGTCAGGATAATTAACACGTTAATGTTATGAGTTGAAGGTTAGTTTGATAGTATAAAGCCTACACCATCTATACTGTAAAGAGGCAGAGCACACATTTGATTACATTTGATGTTTTTTATCATGGGGTAAAAGTTTAAAGCTTCTGTGGAAAAAGTTTAGACGCGAATACAGAACGCGAAATTACGAAATATTTGGAGGCGAATTTTGACACGCCTGACTATACACATCAAGCCCGATGCCATTTTGCAACTTTCCGGGGGGGAAAGACGTGTCCCGGGGAAGACTTTTCCCGGGGAAAGTCCCGCCTCCTTCGCCTCTGATTGGCTAGAAAAGCTGGAAACGTCATCACACGCTCAAGCCAAACGGTCAGCACTTCTCTGTTCTCCGACACGTAAACAATCAGCCGGTCGGCCATGTTGGATATACCGGTGAATCAGATGTCGCAACAACACGCAATCTGATTGGTCAGAAGTGGACACACAGTATGCGAAACTTTTGAAAAATCAGCCGTGATCCGAAAAAATAAATGCCGCAATATCACTGGACAGGAGAACGTCACTTATGTGACGCTTGTATTGACAGGATATGGGTTTGAAAGAAAATCTCGACGTCCGAAATAATCGGTGTGAAAGGACCCTTACTTTATCTAAAAAAAAATACTTCTAATATCTGAAACTGCTGTGGCAGGATAGGTGTCATCTTCCATTGCAAAGACTCTGGCTGAGTGATATTTAGTATTTGATGGTTTCATGAAAAGCAGAGAGAGACTGTTCAATATGTAGCAAAGGCTACTTTGTCCACAGGGGACACCAAAACTGATTCAAACCTAAAGTTCCTTACAGGAGCTTTAAACAGATGACATTAAGTTTTATAGTTAGATTCAGTAGTTACATATAAATACTCAAGCAAATGATCTCAAATCAAGGATATTCATTATCAATCTTTTACCTGGTCGTTAGGATCCATTTTGGTCATCATTCGTTCTTCTAAAAGGTTAAAGGTCAAAACCTGAAGCACATAAAGCTGATGTGCCATCTCTGCTTTGATTGGTCGATTTCCTCTGATCACATGCTGAAACAGATAGGCAATGATTTCAGAGTTAAGTCTCTATTTCAGGAACAATTAAACCTCAAACATACTGAGAAAAAAAACATCAAGATATAAACCGTGTATAAACTATAAACTATAAAGACAAAAGGCAGACAAAGCAAATCATCTACATCGACAGGTGATGCTTTTTTTTTGCACGACATGCTGTGAGAGCAGGTAAATAGGTGTCATCAACTGTGCGTAGACTCTGGGCTGCCTGTGCTGGAGCTGGTTCATAAGGAGCGCAGATTCCGCCTCGCTGACATTCAGCAGACAGTTCAGTCAGGAAGAGTCGGTGCCAAAGAGAATCATTTTCAGAGAAGATTATGGTCCACTTCACAGACTTCCTGCCACATCACATTTGCTGGTCTGTGTCAGAGTTCTACAATGAACCAAATCTCTGCACTTTCTAAAATGCTGGTCTCAGGAAGGAAACTTCTAGACACCAAAAAAAAAAAACCTCAAACTGCGATGTAGGATAGTTTTACAGAAGGTTAAAAAACACAAGATTGCCAAGTTACCATTGTTTTAACTACATCTTCTCTCAAATGCAAACTCTGGGAACTGCTAGATTCCTACTGTCACACCTGAATACTCCACAGTAGTCTTTAAGCTAAATAGCGAGCAGAGCAGAGAGATAACTATGAGGTGCAGATAAAATATCTAGAGGCGCTTTTTCTTGTTTCAGACTCTTTACTCACATTAAGGATGATAGATCGCAAGTGTTTCTGAGCCAAAGTGCTTGCCATTTCCTGAGGGAATATAAAGAGATATATCAGTTTAGTGTGCAAGTCGGGCAAAGAGGGATGCCTTACAACACAACATGAATTTAAAGAAGTAGTTTTTTTGGACTCATGCCGCAGTAAATGAGACTTTTTGACAAATTCTAAAACCTAAGTGAAATCTGAAGCTACATTTTCATGAGTTGTTTGTGTTTTTCTCTTTTTAATCTGTCTACACAGTCTGTCTGCTGCTGTAGCGAGTCATAATTTCATGGCTTACACAGCTTTCTATGACACACACATAGAGCAAGAGAGTGAAGGAGGAGACGGGCTGTAAGGTACAGAGGACAGTATGAGATGTTGAGTGGATGTGTACTCACAGTGAGGTGCTGCTCCAGCGGGTTAGAATACTCCTCCTACAGGTGCAAGGGGAGGGAGGAGGAGGAGGGACGTGGGTGCAACAGTGATGGAAACAAAGAGTGCACACAGAGACAATGAGATACAGGGACACATCACTGGCACAGCATGCAAAAGAATACGAAAATAAAACAAAATAATGTGTGAGAACAAAATTTAGCTGTTTGAAAAAGCCAACATGCAGAACCAGGTACGACTCAAGTGGATCCCTCTCATGGGTCTGTTTGTTCAGCTGAGGATTTTATTGAGGATTTATCACAGAAGACACTCATCTTTATGGGTTTTTCTCTTTTTTTTAATGTCAATAGGATCTCTCACAGTGTGCACTGCATGTCCCTCTGCTGTACTCACACCAAAAATGACGACTCAGTTCGCCCTCCAGTGGTCAAATAGAGCAACTGGCTAAAAAAGGTTTTTTCTTGAATAACTGCACGCCACAAAACACAAAGGAGGGGAAACAGAACGACCCTAAAAATTTGAGGAAAACACCCCACTGTCTCATCTTCTTAATAAACTCAGCCCTTTTTGCCCTCTCATTCATTTTTTTATCAACACCTACATTTTTTAATGTGGTTTGAATCAGGATGTTGCTATTAAAATATTCTAATGTGCCATATTCTTCTAGAATTAATGTTAAGTTATGTGCTAGAGAAAAGCTTCTGAAGCAAAGTCCACGGTTTGTCAATTGGCTGTTTCTTGACTGAAACCTGTAATAATTTTTTCATGAGTGATATTAGAGAAAAAAAAAATTTAACCAAAAATATTTTTTTATTTTGTCACTTCTTAAGTTACAACTTATTAAGGTTTTTCCTGCTCTATTCAAATTCAATTTCAGCCAAAATGTAGGGTCTCAGACTCTGTTCAATCTGCCATGTTCCACAATTTAAGTATTTGTTTACAACCAGGCGTAAAAGTGTCACATTTTTAAATACTGTTTACATATTTACCATAACTAGGAATTCATAGTTTATCATGGAGAATCATAATTACAAAAGGAGGAGACATGGGGTTAAAAATAGAGTAAAAACTGCAGTATGGTAGTGTGTTATATGAGCTAATGAAAGTTATCAGTGTGGTTTGAGCAGAGCACAGACGAATGACACATCATGACAGTGATGAGAAGCACACTGGACAGGCATCCAAAAGCGCGCTCACTTCTCAAGTCACTGCACATTTGTCTGACGATATTTCAGGGCAGTATGTATCCATTTTGGATACGTGTCAAACTGCTGAATCTAACTAAACCCAACACATATTTAAGTGTTTATGGATGTGCCTGAATCAATCTCTTCTACTTCTACCTACACTGTTTATAATGCCAGGTTTCACTGAATCCCCTTCAAAAAGTTCCTGGTTGGCTGTCTGGCATCAAGTGCAATCCTTGAGTTTTATTGAAATAAGCATCTGAAAATCAACCCTTAGTTATCAAGTTTTCCTTCAGACACAGCTTCCCCACCTCTTGGAATGGCTCTGAAATAACTACAGCATCACAAATGTGCAAACTTCAAAAGAGAGCGAGCATCATTTTGATTGAGCGCATCATTACAGCGATGACTGTCACACAGAATCTACAATATGACAGCTGGCAGACAGACGTTTCTTCACAGAATCAGCTTTAAGAACCAAACTACCGCTAGAAACACTAACCAGAGACAACCCGGTTTGCAGACACTAAGAATCATACAACTCTCATTAATGTGATAATCCTTGTGAATAAATGTCAGTTTGTTATGCACAGGTGGCTTTATGAGGATATAACCTGATTAGTACTGTGGTCATTTCTATCTATTATTCTGTTCCCTCTATTAGAGCACACTCTGATGTGGGCGCCGGGCACTGACCTGCCGCCTGTCCTCGGGTGCCTTCAGGAAAAGAGCATTGATGAGGGCAATGGCGTAGGTTTGAATCTCCTGGTTTGACCTGGAGAAAAATATCAAGCAACAAAACATCCAGTTAGAAGCTTCATGCTCCACAAACCTCTATCAGGTATTTCAACAATAATGCCCCAAGAATAGAACACCTTACTTTTTTCTGTATTATTCTTAAAACTTGTAATAGGTGCAGGATTTTTAATCCCACAGTTTTAAATTTGGATATTTAGACTCAAAATTGGCTTTTACTTCATTTATTTTTTCAATCATAATAAGCTAGTTGGTAAATCTTGAAAACTTTACAGGGCATTGCAACATCTTTATTCTTAAAAAACACCAAAATAAGCAAGGGATAGATCCTGTTGGCCATGATGGTAAAAATCTACAAAAACCTACTTAAGCTCCTTGTTGTGAAATTCATGTTTGTTTTATTACAGCAGACTTTTTTGGTCACAAACACAACTATGTTACGATTAAGAAGACCCTAACAAATATATTATTTCTTCCTTTTTTGAGTAATGCTTTCTTAATCCTTTAGAGATTTATTTACATCAAACAAATCTAAGATTCATACGTTTAATATTAAATGAAGGACAAACAAACAGGATAGAGTAGACACACAGAGATAAGAGGCTTACATGGTGTTAGTTTGTTTTATTCGTGGACGTTTTTACACCACCAGCCTCAGTCTAAAAGCATCCAGAATTCACCCTTTAAACTAAGTTTTTTATACACCCCATGCTGTCATATTTATTTCATTTCTCCTCCAAATATATCAGAGTGCGTGAAGCCCCTGTGCGTGTGTGTGTGCTCACACTTGCAGGTGCCCGATGAGCTGTCCCACGGTGATCTCCTGAGCCACGCGGTGGTAGAGGCTGTGGCTGTTGAGCACCATGCTCTCCAGGATGGCAAGAGAGCGCTGTAGGATGGACACGTCCACCATTGGCTGATTCACGTAGCCTGCGATCTAAATGAGGACAGAGAAGACAAATAAGTCCCATGGAAATTGGTAGCTCTAATTTATAATCCACCTCGGCAGTGTCAACCTTGTAAAAGGTACCAATCATGAGATGAAATAATCAGAGGGACAGAGTGCTCTGAATGAAAAATAAGTCTAGCTGAGAAAGAAAAGTTCAGAAAGTTTTCCAGAAAGAATGACTGTCAAGGTTGAGTGAGAGTTTCATCAGAAAACTAACCACATACACACACTGGAGGAGCTCCACATAATGGAAGATGTTGCTAAGCAACCACACCCACATACATCTTGTGTGCAGGAAGACAGAAAGGTTAAGTAAATAAATAAAAATGTATAAATAAAAAGAATAAAGTGTACAGAGGATGAAGGTTTAACCATAGACTTTTAACAATAGGGACGAACTTAACAGGCTCTCTGTGAAACTACAAAGTTCCTGATTAATTCCTCAGTTCTTCAGGCGAGTACCTGTTTGATGAAGGAGAGGGAGATAAGGTCCCAGGAAACAATGCCGTGATCCATGAGCTCCAGGAAGGCAGTGAGAGTAAAGGCCAGCATTTCACCAAAGCTAGAAAAAAGCACAGGCAGTACAGGCTTTTTCAGGTTATCTAGCCTGCTCCACGTCAAGAGCTTAAGAGAGAGGTCTAGTCAGACTCTTCCTCAGCAGCTTTAGAGGTAATCTAACACATTTCTATCACATCTGGGAGGATGAGAGGTTATAACTGACATTACTTCACACACACATGGTCTAAAATGTAAAAATATTATCATGAAATAAAGTTTGTGCTCACTGGGTGCCACTCTCCACAAGACGGGCTAGTGTCCCAATGCCCTCCATGTTGATGAACTCTGTGGCAAAGGTCGGGTCTGCAGACAGCTTGGCGAGCTCTTTTAGAGCCTCCAGGCGAGCATCAATACCGTGAGACTGGATCCTCTCCAGGAGCTGACGAGCTGCACGAGCCTGTCAGAGAAGAAAAAGAAAAGATGGTGTGAATGCTGATTCGAGGGGGTCTTTAGCACTTGTAAAATCTGTTAATGGAAACAAATATTGTGTCTGGTTATGTCTTCATGTTTAAAAATACATATCTATTATAAAAGGTTTTATTTGTGTAAGAGAACAATGGTCTTAGAGTCCCAATGGTTTCAGCTGGTTATGGTTGATGATGTCTGTGTGGTAAATGTTTATCACCTACTATTTAGCAAAGAGGTTTTCAGCTCGAGAGGAAGACATAAGGCTTGTGGTAATTATTTAAAATGAACATCGATTGCCTTGCTGTTGTTTGTCTGTGGCAAGAAATAAAAAACTGCTTTTAATTGGTCAATGCTGAAACTATCTCAGCTTGTTAGTTTGATTATCATACAGCACTGTTCTGCTGCAGTGCACACTGCACTCTGATGTTTTGGTCATGGAGGCGTGGGTTTGCACTCACAGTGCACTCAGAGGCAGGGTGGGATGAGGCAGAATGTATCATATATTATTACTGTGTTAGTTTGAGGCTGGTATCAACCACAGCAAATCTCATCATCTCCCTGCTAACTTTAAAGGCAAAGCTCTCCCCCTAAGTCAACTGACAGTCATTTTATGGAGCACAGACAAGTCAGTCTAAAAAGGAACAATGGTAATGCATAGGGAATATGAAAATGTAAACATTGAAGTCTGTTGTACGGAGTGAACTTACAGGTGATATTGCTAATCGAAGGATGGTCCCATTCTTAATGTCGCCACGGCTCTGAAAGATGATAAAAGAGAGTTTTTCTACGAATCCAACATATTATGTAAATTTCATCTATGAAGCTTGAAACATTCAGGCTCACCTGCTCTGTGATGTAAAGCTGAGGGCCATCAGCATAACGCAGAGCAAACTGCTCAGAGCCTGACAGAGACCAGCTGAGGACAGGAAAACAGTGTTCAGATCTAAACTGTATGTGAAGTGTTTCACAACCCCTATAAAAGCAGAGGGGTGTAAAGTAAAGTTGTTGAAAGTTTTACTGCAGCATACTCCATGCTGGAACAAAAATGTTGTTGAAAGTCAGAGCAAGTCCCTCCAGCAAGTGTCAATACTCAGAGATTGTGGAGGAGAAATATTCAGTGGGTGTTAACAGGAAAGTGCAAAGAATGTTCAGTTTCAAATGGAAATGGGAGGCAGTGGGCAGATACAACCACAAGGTGGAGGGGTGAGAGCAAATTTCAATATCCACCTCTGTAGCACAGGAGAAAAGAGAAAGTGGGGGGAAAAAAATCCAAAATCATGGAAATAGACGTGATGTTTGATCAAAGAAAGAAATAATGGCTGGGAAGGGTTATGTAAGACATATTCAGACAGGATCTGTGTGTTTGAACCCACAAAGATGGTGTGATAAAACTGCTATGAAAAGACACGTCATGATCCACCATTATTTTAAACCTTTCAGTCCTACATCACAGACATGCAAACATTTTAATACAAGACGATCTGAGAACCAAACATTTCACATGAAGGTAAAAACAGATGTCACAGAAACTTTATTATAAAAGTACTCCAACCAACTATAGAAACTGTTTTTGGGATGAAAATCTAGTTTGTTGCTGTTCTTTTTTTATCCATTAAATGACCAAAAATGATCGACCTGACAATATCTCCAGCTCACTTTAGCAAATCTTAATAAAAGCTTCACTGGGTTCAAAAGGGAGAAAGACCAAAGATATTCTGTTGTTTTACAGATATTAAATCTGTCACTAAACAAACAGAAAGTCAAGAGATCACACAGAACATCAAGAAATTGTCAAAATGCGTTTGAATGATGCTTACTTACCCATCACATACTTCCCGTATTATTGAAGACAACGGCCTTTTCTGTAAATAGAAAAAAATACTAAATAAAGACAAAATACAACTGCATGCTTAATTCGACATGTACATATTTATATAGCACTTAAAGTAAATAAGTAAATCAATAAATCCCAGACTGGTCTTTTTAAGAAACTGACATATAACCCATCAAGAACCTTTATGTGGAAAATGTAAAAATCAGTTTTGATTGACACCTACCTAACTCCCCCCTCCCCCAACATCAGCATTTCCAGGAATTAACAATTACATGGCAGAAGTAATTAATCCCCCACTCAACAGTCTTGATTGCTTTGGAACCTCATAAAGAGGTATCATTATTCATTTCAGTCTGTTTTATAACCAGTAAAAAAAAGCCTCTAATGAGCTTTAAAAGAAAATTAAAATTGCATTTCTAAAATATTCTGCTCGCAAAGGGTTATTTTCTTTGCTCCGTTCGACTAAAACAAGACCCATTCCTTCTAAATCCAAAACAGATTACAGCTAATGCATGCTCCTATTCTTAGTAATTAACATCAAATATTAAATCAGGTGCAAATGCAGACCTGGTCCATCTCTATGAGCTGAGCATTCGCTCCAGGCCATTCAATAGCCACCTTTACGATGTCAGCTGGGGGCGGCATGTCTATCGACTGTCAACACACTATGGAAGAAGAAAAGAGATTAGTTTCCACACACCGACCTTCCCCTGATGTTGAAACATTTCCATTATCTTAGAGGGATACCTGAAATGTATTCTCTGTTTGATGAAAACTGAATATGGTACACCACCTTATATTGAGGCGTTGAGGGGGTCAATCACTCTCAAGGCTCAGCTGAGTAAACCTCTGTGTCAGCTCCTCTGCAAACACACAGACACACAACAGTCACAACCAAACCCTTATTTTCCTCAAAGCCCAAAGCTCTGTTTGCTGCATCTTTTTTTTTTTCCTCTTCACTGAACTGAATCTGTCAGCGATCCGATTGATACACACAAGTGTTAAGAAAAAAAACACACAAACACACACACAAAGAAATCTTGACTGGTTTGAGCTTTCTGCCTGCTGGGCTCAAAGTTGGATGTGTTTTATTTCCTTCCACAAGTCAGATTTATTCAGACAATAAATACTGTATATCAAGTTTCTTCACATCCCATCTATGTAACAATCCTATTGGCATTTCAATTTGAAAGCATCCAGCCTGATTTTTTGTTCCTATTGATTTCGTTTTGGTTGTGGTTTTTAATTTCAAAACATTACCTAGTCTCTAATGGAGCTCATTTTCAACTCAAACTAAAATCACAACTGTGCTCAGTATTTATCTTGCTGAAACCTGGTCAACAACTAACTCAAATGTGTGACATCAATTACTGCATTCTTATCATTTTTTTTATAAAATCTTCTGTATCAATATTATAAACCTAAATGACCCTTTAGGAAAAACAGAAAACAAACTTTATGATGAAAAAACATTTCGACAGCATATTTAGAAAACCTCAGAAGTTTGATGAAACAGGATACAACGCTCTGCCATCTGCTGTCAAGCTGCTTTTCATCCAACTTAATGATATTTTTTTGTGATTTACCCACAAAGCTTCTTTAATTTGAATCTTTTATCCTCATTCAAACATTCCCCGATTATATTTGAAATCATTTTTCCCCACCTTTATACTGAATTTTAGTCATGCACCTGTGCTTGTTAAACCTTTTCATCTGCAAAAACTGCACTTACATAAAAAAGCTAGAGAAACACAGACGGCCAGTAATGTTGTTTGGCAAGAGAAGGACATCTCCTCCTCTGCTCTGACATGAAGTGAGCATGAAAAGTTTTCTAGCAGATGCAAAGCTAGTGACTGGAAGAAGAAAAAAAGACTCTGCTGCTCTCCAGGTGGCTACCCGCATCCAGGGTGGTTTTAGTAAACAAAAGACTTTGTGTGGCTCACAGCTGCTCAAATGAAAAGAAATCTTAATCATTAACAAAGTGATGGCGGGTGAAACCAGCATGAATTAAAAAGCCATCTTCCCTTGAGATTTAAAAGTGCCAGAACTGCAACTCAAAAACCGAGAGATTGCCTGATTTTATAAATATGTTCAACTCTGAGTTCACATCAGTAGCAGCTCTTTGATCACTCATATCATAAATGAAAGGATATTTATTCTGCTATCAAACAGGACAGCACGCACTCATATGTCGGTGCATCGTTGTACTTCAGCTTGACTCCTACTGGTGAAAAAAGCCCAAAGATGGAAAAATAATCTAATTCCGCTAAAATTACATCGAGCATGCTTGATTCTTTTAATGATGACATATCTGAGATAACACCAAATTGTTGCATTCTTCCTTTAATTACGAATTAAACAGGTGAGCAGATCGCTTAACCACATAGCTGGTTCGTTAACCAGCTATGTGGTTAACGAACACGGGCAGCAACAAATTACAACAGACTGCAAATGATGCAGAGTGAAAACTGCCAATTACAACCAGATACCAACGAGCAGCTGTCTGATAGAGAGCCTGCACCACCTCCGCATCCTCCTGCTGACCGTTAGTCACACTGCATAATGTGTGAGCTCAGAGTCTGCCCTGCACAAAAGTTTGTCCTCATGTGAAAGGAACATGTTCAGTGAATATTTTCCACATGCTCTGATATTCATCTGAATTTCATCAACAAACGTTTTAGCTTCTGATTCAAACAATCCTCAGCAGTGTTTTGTGAAAATCATCACAATGCAGGTTTTGTGCATTAAGAAAGAGTATTTAGGATTTATTTGCCAAAAGATAAGTTAAATAAAAACTATGAAAAAAATTTGATGTTTGATTTTTTTTTTTGTAATTTTCTAAAATAACTGAAAAGGCAGCTTGAAATATAAATAATTCTCTGTCTCTACAACATCGATCAAATGTAATCAAAATCCCTTAGTCATTGAGGTGAATGCATTACTTCCACAATGCCCAAGGTTGTCTCATTTTTTCTTCTTCGTTAATATGAACATTTTAAAATAATGTTTTCAATTTAACTGCCTGATTGACTCTGGAATAAATTTTACTTCCACACGGAGCAAAACCACACTTTAAAGGTAAACTACAGATCTATCATCAGTCTTTACAAAGCAGAAGTACTATGCTGAGGTGTATGGGGTAAATTCATCTAAACCAAAGACAACTGCACTGCTGGATCCTTACTAAAAGTTGCACCCACATTTATTAGAAACTCACATTTTAAAGCAACATGTTAAAGAAATCTTTAAACCTTGTAGAGGCTTTTAATGCTTCACTACAGAAGGTGGTCACAGAAATAAAGCTAAATGGAAACATACTAAAGTTGTTTCAGACTGTAGTACCCTAACACACTGATCAGCTAACAGCAAACAATCTTCAGGTCAGGTCAGGGCCATCACACATGGACTCTAGCCTGGCCGGGCTATCCTGTTGCGTGAATCACTTGATGTTCCTTCCCACGTCAAGTGATTCACGCAACAGGATGGCCCGGCCAGGCTACATGGACTCTACTTGACCCCTGAAATTGTGCTGTGGTATCTGACACCATGACAGCAGAACCTTTAAGTCATTTAAGGTGTGGGATGGGGGACCCTCCATAGATCATACTTGTTTGCCCAGCACATCTCAACAGATGCTTGATTGGACTGAGATGTGGGGATCTGGAGACCAAGTCAACATTGCTGTGTTCCTCTACACCACTTGCCCTGTGGGCCAGTTTTGATGTTTACATATCCCCTGTACATACTCTCAGCAGTTGACAGGGGTCAGCATGAACACTTTGGACACTCTATAGCCATATAGCTTAATTTACAACAAGCAGCAATTCACTGCATGTTGTGACACCAGAACCATCACAACCAGGATTAACTTTTTCAGCAGTTTGAGCCCCAGCAGCTCTTCCATTGGAGTGGACTACACAGGCTAGTCTTAACTGCCCAATGCCCAATACCGGGCCTTGGCCACCCATGGCCTTGTTGGTGGTTCATTAAGTTTGCTGTCTTGGACCACTTTAATAAGCTGACCACTGAAAACTGGGAACCCCACATGAGCTCAAGTTCCAGTTTTCCAGCCATCACAAAATTGACCCTTGACTCAAATTCTCACACTTTGATTATTTTCTCGCTCTCAACACACCTTCAAAGACAAAATAATCACTTTCTGTCTGACAAATCCCACCCATTGACAAGTGCCATTGTATGATGTTTCAGCTGATCACAGAAAGGTTTTTTTCTTTGGTAACTGGACCATGTTTCTGTAAGCTTCCTCTAGTCCTCTTGACCCCTCAAAGCGCTTTTAGGTCACATATTACATTCACACACTTATGGCAGAGGTGACTATGTAAAGCGCCATCAGTTTTTGACCAATCCCCTGGGTGCAGCCAGCAGAGGCAGAGGCAGGTCAGGTATAAGTGTCTCACCCAAGGACACCCCCAACTTTCTGATTGAGGGACAACAGACTACCGCCAAGTCACAGGCCCCTCCTCAGATGATTGCTTGTTGTGGTTTACACTGCCAACATACATGTTATTTTACAATGATTAAGGCATAGACTGTATATACTATGGACAACTTGGTTCCGCCTCCCGCCTTCAAATCCCGGATTTGAAGCCAAAAAGCTCTCAGTATTTCCGGGATTTTTCTTCATTTCCTGAAACCAGAGCTGCGCAGTAGCGATGCGCGCATTCGGCCAAGCAGTCGCCGAGAGTCGCTGTGATGACGCTCGGCTCAAACGGCGTATCCCCAAGTGAGCTACGCAATCCCTGAACGCCAATAGGCTGTATCAAGTGTCAATCATAGAAAACATGAACCCCCTAATAATCTTTAAAAACGGAGCTTCACAGAAAAAAGAGGATTTGAGCACAAACCAGTCTTACAATAACTGCATGTCAACATCACAAGCAGGGGGAGAGGAATTTATGTTCTATGTAATAAATTTCTAAAGTTTGTCCACAGCTCCATAAGTTTTGCTGGCAGAGGTGGGATTTATGACCTATACTGCAGCCCATCAACAGAGGGTGCTGTTCTCGGAGTGGCTTCACCCAGCGAGGAGGCAGACGCTGTCCATTCTTTATACAGTCTATGGATTAAGGGTACTTCTAATTCAGATTAAATTGAGATGTCACTCATCGACCTTATTCTATATAATGTAGACACCAGCTTTTTTAGTCACTGTTAACTTCGTGATCTCTCAGAGGCTTCTCAGCAAAGCTTCTCAGTGCACCATTTGATCATACCCACACTCTTCATCAGAGCATGACACACCAACAAAGCCTTTTTACACAGTATGACTAAAATTAGGCCCTTTGTGTTCATGGTTGATGCAGGAACCCTGCAGACTTTCATCTAGACTGCATTATTATTTTCTGTTGTGCTCGTACTAAAAGTCTACAAATTGTTCTGTTTACTGCTGATAGTCTAACCTCAAATCACAAATAAGAGCACGGACTAACCTTGGTATCCTTTCTCTGGCTCACCAACCAAGTCAAATGAGAATTCAAAAAGCTACAAAAATCTCACTAAATTGTAAGCCTGTGCCCTTTCAAACCTGTCTGACTTCATCACATGTTGTATTTCTTTGTGTACTGCTCCAAGAATAGTGAACTCCAGTCTGTCCTCAGGGCCAAACAACAAGACCCTCATCTAATGACATGAGTCTGTGTGACTCTGATTATGACAATATTTTCATCATCCGTTTAGTAGGCTCTTCATCTTAATTACCTCTAGCTGGATACGTGTCACCATTATCTTTATGGCAAGCCTGTTTCTGTCTTGTGTAGTATTTTTCCTCAAATCCCTCATGTATGCTTTTAATCTACTCTGGAAGACTACAGCTTTTTCTTACATTTTGAGGATGGGAGGATTTTCCCTTCCCCAAATAGCACAGAGTGGGTTGTTTGCTGCTGAGGCTGTAAATTCCCCTTGAGACAACCTTTTGAAATAGGGCCATTAAAACATAAGTAAATGTGAGGTTGTGTTGTTGTTGCTGTTCTGGCGGGTACTGTTTGTGCCTATCACCAAACCCCCTTTTTGATATTCAGTATGACAGCACAGCCTGCTTTTTGATATGGTTAAAATATTACTCATTAGCTGTGAGCCATTAAAATATCTGTCCACATCCTTAAGTCCAACGGTGGAGTTTCAACTCTTTGCAATAGGAGGGAGCGGGTAAGATGAGCCATTTTTTATATTTGTGATCACTACATCAAGGCAATCATGGTTTTGTCTCTAACTAGTGTATCTGCATGTTTCACGATGTTGTGCATCCCTGCAAACCAACAGAATGAGTGTAAACCATAGACTGTATATACTATGGTCAACTTGGTTCTGCCTTCCACCAGTATACGTATTTGAAGCTGAAAAGCTCTAGGTAATTCCGCGTTTTTCCTCTATTTCTATCTCTATTATGTGATGACGCTTGGCTCAAACAGCGTATCCCCGGGTGAGCTACGCAACCCTTGTACGCCAATAGGCTGTATCAGGTGTCAATCATAGAAAACCTGAACCCCCTAATAACTAAAAATGGAGCTGTACAGTCTATGGTGTAAACATAACTGTCTTGATAATATAGCATGCAAAAAAAAGTGGCCTCCTATGGTCAACTTACCCTGTGAATGGGGTAAGTTGACCACAGGAGCAGGGTAAGTTGAGTCGTATCCCTACTACCCCCACACTCTCCACCCCAGCCCTCCCTCACCTTCTCTCTCCCTAAATAAAAGTCACTTCTTCACATCCATGTGTATTTTTATCTATTATACGTTATTCAACTGGTACAATAATTCTTTTTATTATTATTACATATAACAGCTAAAAAGCTGTTTTGTAAAAAGTCATTTTAACATGAGAATGTCTTTAAGTGATTCAGAACATTTACAGCTGTATTTTTGAAAAGAAAAAGTAACACACTTCAACAATCTGAACTGAAACTCTGATCCTCTCATCAGACTTCTTTACTTTCTCAGTTGAACCACTGGCTCAACTTACCCCAGAACTACTATGATGACTTTATTAGTCCTCTAAGCTAAAATGGTGGACTTTTATGTTAGGTTTTTTGACCTCATGTTGTAGCTCATAGATACCACAACTGATTAGAAAACAAATTTAAAATGATCTTTTTTGGATTGAACACAATTCTAATAAAACTTATGACAGACTAAATTCACTTTCAAGAGTGAAAAATGTATTTTTGTAAATAAATGTCTAACCCCTTCACCCATGAGCTTCACAGACTCCATGAATTGATGCCCATCTCCTAAATATTTGGTAAAATGATCAATTTCTTTTACCATTTCCAAGCAACAGGGGGTGGCCCATCTTACCCCACTCTCCCCTACTAAATAAAACATTGAGATATAATTTCTTCCACATTATTGAAGCACACTTCTTCTCTCTCCTGAACTGCTGGTGTTTCCCTTTTTTTGTATCAGCCCAGTCATGTAACTGGTGCATGAGTGGGTACTGGTCTCCAGCACTGTGGGCTTTTTCCACTTAGCAACAGTTATTAAGCTGCACGCGCTGTGGTGGTGGTGGTAGCATAGCAACAACTGCTAAAGGAGCTCGAGCCTGAAAAGAAGTCCCACGCTGTGGTGGTCTGGGCTTCCTTTCAAAAGATTACCAACTTATACTGTCCCCCCACCACACACTTTTCACCGCGACCCGGATGTTTCTGACGCCATTTTACGTCTTTTATAATGTGTTTTTTTATTTTTGTGGAGGGCTGTCTCATATTAAATATTCACATCTAAAAACTGTGAACGTCTAACTTTTAACATAGCGAGTTAGCTGGTTAAATATGCGGAGTGGCGCCCCCCTTAGTTATGCTTAGCAAGACATGACCACTCCGTGTAGTGTGTAAAAAACTGAATAGCCTTTTTAAATTACATTTTGAAATTGCGACAGACTAACAGAATAGAAGAAAACGTGACCTAAGCAACCCGCATTTATGTCAGAGGATGAGCCGAACGGTTTGATATTTGCAGTTATCTCATGGACCTTCACGGCCACTGTTGACCGTAAATTCACGCGTCTTTGAATGTAACTTTGAAAAGGTTTAAAGCCTCATTATAGGTGATTGATCATGCTAAGCTTCAGCTATCATGACCAAAGGGAGCACACGGACTGATGCAGCAGGAAACCTTTTTAGCAAAATCAATCACCACCCCCGTTCAAATCAACAAATGAGACAACAGCTGGCACAGACGGGAGGCTAAATCATCTTTATCTCCATGACAAAATAAATGCTGGCCTTATCCGCTGTTACCCTCAGCACCAGTGCTATCACTCGGAAGGTGGCTACTGTTATTCAGTCACCCAGCCACAGTCTCTTCGGCTCCTCCATTGCAGTCATGATGCAGCCCGTCTCTCAGCAGCTGTTCACCGTGTCCCATCTGGTTCCCCTTAAAACATGGCTGTACTAAATATTCCCCAAGACCACTAAACTAGATGTTAATGACAATGCTTGTCGGTACTTACCCTGTGACTGGGCCATCGATGATGCTCTCAGTATCCCTCTCTCCCTCTTCAGCCGAAGAGTTTCTGGAAAGGAGACGCGATTCCACGCCTTGTAGGCGGGACACAGTGGAAATGTCACAGTCTGCGAATATGGTAGGCCCTGTACCTCCATCACAGTCAAGCCGACATCTCTCTAAAATTACAGCTGGAATCACGGCACCTTAGTGAGTCATGACTCTTTCTGTACGTGGTCGGGTAAGTGATCGATGGTGAGACTTTTGACAAAAGAACTGTGGGTAAAACTCTCAAAACATTAAAGTTTTCACAGTTAAAAACAAACCCAACTGTAGACATTTGTTAACACGCTCTTTTTCCTTTTTAAATCGGATGAATTTCTTTTTTCTTTTCAATAAGTGTAGATACCTTTCAAGCCAAAGTCAAAACAAAAATAAACATATAAGCAAAAATGCCAAATCAACAACAAGGAGTCAGTGATTTTGCAAGTCATGACCAGGTTTGTGCAGATGAACTTAAAGGGATATTCTGGCGTAAAATTCATTTAGGGTGAAACACACCATAACACCAAGTTAGACACCCCCTCGAGAGATGAATGTTGTCAACTGCTTGCTTCTCTAGTTACGCCGACTTTAGTTAGGACCGCACAATAGCAATACACAGCGGTCTGAGGAGCCAAACACAAACCTCAACCAAAACGCCACTCTATAGCCACAAATTGACACAGCTCAAGGAAGAACATTTCTGATCATTTCTTTATCATTTCCTTTGAGTAATAATCACCATATGAATCGTTTTGCACTGCAGACACGGTAGTTCTTCCACCTTAGCATCTCGATCTGATTGCATTTCCCTGAAGAAATGATCATAAATGTTCTTGTGCTGCGTCACCCCGCTGTAGTCGGTTATGGACTGGCCCGAGGTCTCGCTACAAACAAGCGGCTGCTGGAAGAGAGTAGGTGAGTTGTGTTTAGTCTCTTTGCTGAAGAAATTAGGAAAAGTTAAAAAGATGTTTGGTGGCTGGTGCTATGGCTAGGACCCTATATGTACTGTTGATGAAGTTAGGTGCCGTTTTTTTTTTTCATGTTTTCAAATTTGAGGAACTGTTGTATTTTGGTTTGTCACAATGCTGACCAGTACAGTTTCCCCTAAGATTCAATTTCTGTCGTAAATTCTGCCAATTCAAGACAGGGCTCTCCTGTTTTAGACAAACAACAAAACAATGTGATAAGCTTAACCCGGGTGGGGGAGAAATATGGATTTTTTTCTCTCTCTCATCAGGGTGAACAAAAAATAGATTCCGTATCAAGCAGGCGGTAAGTAAAATGCCATTGTATTCACAGCACAATACATTTTTATTGAACACAGAAAACCAGTGGTACAAGGAAACATCCACAGCCTCAGCTGAATAGGTAACACTGGCTCACCTCACCAGATGGCTGCTGGTGAAACTTGAAGGGGATAGCAGACAACCACGCTCATTTCACGGGAGGGAACAGCTTTCAAAATTTAAACAACAGCTAAATGTTTTTATCTCCATGTTACATCTCATGCATGACATCAAAAATAGTATTTCTGACATAATAGTTTGATCACAAACCGTATACATACCCCATTCTGAATTTTTGACAGGCACAGACACTGAGCATAACTGCTGCTCTGGAAAATTAAAGTTAAGGATTAGATGATTTATGATTTCTTCAAAAATCATCACCTTAAAATAATGGGATCTAAGTTAGTAACACATTCTGCCATTTATCCTTGAATCAAGTTCATCATTAATCTGCACTGAACATTCACTAATAAAATGTTATCCTTGAACAGAGCAACAAACATTTTGGATTAATTACAGAAAAGAGGCTGTTCAAACATTTTCCATGAGTCTTTCATTCATAAAAAGAAAAACTGTCATCAAGCTTTAGGAATACAAGGAAGCTAAGGGCAACAACATATCATTTGACTTAATCTTCGATGTGAATGACATGAACACCTCACCGCATCAGAAACACACAGGCACACTGACATCAGCATCAACAGACAGCAATCACAGCTGTGTAAAGGTTTGTAACACACCACCGCACATGAGCACATCGACGGCAGGGATCAGCAACACAAATGTTCCAGGAGTGATCTTTTCTTTTTTTTTGTTACATCTCTTTGTTGCTACCAAAAACACAACTAGACTTCTCCTTATAACTTTGCTTAGCACACTTCTTTCAGAGAGGAGAAATGAAGCCTTCTGTGGTTAAGTCTACAACAAAACAATGCTCAGAGTTAATAAAACATTGGCAGTAAACAGAACATTTCTTGGAGGTAGGAAGTGGACATGAAATGAAGTTCCCAGGTTTAACCTTCACATGATGTTACAGTTGATAGAAAGTGTGTATTCGCTGATTTTGATGCCCAATGAGAACTTGCTCAAACAGTACGACAAAATAACAAACATAAATTCAGCAGCTGTATTGCACTGGTACACCACTCTGTGAGCAGTTAATAATTGGCTCCTGGCCGACAGATACGAAGTCTATAGAAATCAGACACCAAGCACACCTCGCGTGTCCAAATGCTTTTGAAATCAGACATCAACTAAATCTCACAAACACAGACAAAAACAAACCAAAATGTGGAGTTTTGATAAGTTAAGCTATCATGAACTTAAGCTTAGGTGTTTTTCTTTTGTTTATAAAGATTTCAACAAGTTATTACAAGTGCTAACAAGTTAAACTTAAAAAGCATTTGAAATATGAAAAAACCCACAACCGCCTAAGTTAAACAGAAAGAAAGGCCACAAAAGGAAGATCGGTCCTGCAAAATGTTCTCAGTTATGAACCTTGACAGTTTTTTGAATTTTAAACAGAATATTTGGAAAATAACCTTATTTGCCAGTGAAGTACATTCCCATATGTAGAAATAAAGTTTCTTGTGTTACATATTTATTAAACACAAGCAATCTGCTGTATGTGCAGCTACTGTGTCATGAGATTTGGGATACATTAGGCTGATTTAGTTCATTTATACCAAGTGTTTGAGAGTGGTGATGGTCTTAGTTTCCAGGAACAAATGAGCCTCTTCCACAATCAAACTGTAAATAACGAGTGACACTGAGGCCTCACAGTGTGATAAAAACATGGTGCATTAGCAGATGAGAGGACAGAGTAAATACTAAGTATCCTCACATGAGATCAAATTTTCAATTACTTGTTGATTAAGATGGTTTCAGGCTTACAGAATCCATTTCTGACTGTTGTATGCTGTTATAAGAGAGGGTATGTATGTTTGTCAAAATGGCTTGTCCATCAAAATCCACTAATAGTGAGTACAGCCTGCCCTGGTTGATTGATGGGTAAATGTGACTGCGGCCTGCACAAAGTTTTTATTTATGCATCTTCATGTAGAGTCAAAAGAAAAACAAATTTGCATAATATTAAAATAACAATTTTCCTGTATTGTTATGCAGATTTTACCATGATTTAATGCTGATGAATTCAATTCTTTGTCCAAATGCTGGAATACTTTGACTTGATCATTTTCAACCCAAACAGGTCAGGTTTGTCATTATACATTATTCTGGACATTGAATATTAACTGGAAAACTTGCATTACTGAAGAAAACCCTCAAATGGTTCAAAAGATGTCATAAAAATACAAATTGAACCTTATTATTATCACTGGACAAGTATGAATGGAGGTCCCAGTCTAGTCTCAAGCTGTTTTCAACAACAGCAGTTTGGTTAAAACAACAACAAAAAAAACACATACTCACAATATTATGGCTACCACTCAAAATGAATTTTAGCATCTGTTCAGTTTTTATTAAATACATCCATTCTGAGAAAAGCTAATTTTAGGGCAGCATGTGTTTCAATATTTACACTGAATTTAACCATTTTCCTGGAGGGGCAATTGCTAAGAAATGAAATTAGTTTAGGACGTTAAAAAAAATCTTGTAAGCATCCTGTTATATTACCACTATTCTTTATGGCATGGTGTTGCATCAGCAACAGCTCTCTGCTTTCAAACCCCTCGACTATTTGCACTTTTTTTTTTTTTTTACAAAAAGCAACAATAAGCTGATGCTGCTTATAATTTAGCCACAGACTGTTCCAAACCATTCCCCCATTAAATTGTAAATATATACATATCTGTACAAACTGTTCTCGTCACAGTGGGTATGTTCCATTTAATCTGACAAACCACTTTGTTACTTGAGTCTTGAAAGAAAAAAAAAAAAAAGCTTTTTTTTTTAATTCAAGAACTAAATGTGCAAAAGGTCCAGGGGTGGAAAAAGTATATTTTCTATTGAACCTTGAAAGTGATATTAGTGTTCAGCCAATCATAATGTAATAAGAATTTATATTTACAACAATAGACTTTCTTTCTCATGCATAATTTAGTATGTAGTGACACCATGATACAGAATGGACATTGGCTTATTCTCTCACTTGAGAAGTATCTTTGAGGACGCCAGGATGCACAAGATGGCCGTATCTACAATAAATCTTTTGTGATGAAGGTAACGATAATAACAAAATACAGGTCAGGTCAAAAAATTCAAACATTTTAGGAATATTCATTTAAGAATGGCCTCGCTCTTCCCTGGGCGTTGTTATTTCTTGGATTAATGAAAAATCTATTTGAATGGATCAACCAGAACTGAGATGATGCAGCTCTTTCCCTGAAAGTGCCAGTGAGATGAAAAAAAGAGAGATGAAGAGGAAAGGCCAGAGTGGGGTACAGGTGAAGAGATGAATGGTTCTAGGGTCACTACCAGTCTGCATTGTCCCAGGATTCCTCAGCAGGTTTCGTGGGGCTCTTCTTTGTCTTACCATCTGCGTTCTCCCAGTTGTTGTCCCAGGCCTCCCAGCTCTCCCCTGTGCTGTTTTTGTTGTTGGATGCTGCTTCGGAACCCCAATTGTCCCAACTGTCAGAGCTCTTTTTTGCAGAATTATCTGCAATGGTCCAGCTGTCACTGCTGGGGGATTTCTTAGCCTTCAAGGAAGTGTTGCTGCCAAAAGTTTCCCAAAAGTCCTTTCCAACAGGCTGGCTAGAGCTGCCCTGATACCCCTCAGTGGCATCCATGTTCTGGTAGCTCTCTCCAGCAGATCTGAGTGCAGACAAATCAGTGAGAAACTAGCCTTGAACTGGTTTATATATAAAATCACAGTTTACAAATGATTTGATAAGTGGGAGATTAAAAGTGCATTAAGTTTTTTTTTAATTACCCATCTTCCACTTTTCCAGAGAAGAGATTTGTCAGCTTTGCACCAGCTCCCTGAACCTACAAGACAGAGAACAGTTTAGCTAAAGGCATTATGTAGCTGTCAACAAGCAATAACATGCCTTTTTTTTTAAATAGACATTACAAAAAAGCCAAAAGCTAGAAAAAATATGACAGAAATATTATTCTAAAGGACTTAGGAAGCATTAATATTATCAATATGTAACACAGTATCAAAGGTTAAAATTAAAATTCATGCAGTATTTTTTATCTTTATTAACAGTTTCAGAGGCAGTTCTAGAAAAACTGCAGTAAGATGTTTGTATTTTTATACTTTACATCAGACAAGTCATTAATGAGTACTCACCACCACATTAGAAATGGCAGCGAGAAAAATGAGAGATTATATAAAATTAGTAGTGTTCAAACATTTATCATAGGAGTAAAACCAGTCTCCTTCAGAGTAGTGGTGCAGCCTGTGCAGCTTTAAGTGTTTGATCAGCTGCAGTTTATACAACAGGAGACTGGTTTCACTCCTTACAGCATGGCAGGGGTCTGCCTTTCCTACCTTGGTTGCCAGCCCAGACATGCTGACGGCCATTTCATCTAGCAATTTGCCATCTTTCACCTGGATGGGCCAAACCATTATTACAACCAAATACGAACGAGATCTTTCTACATATTTTAAACACAACATTGAATGAGTAGAAGTTTGATTTTTGATCTTGTCAAAGAAATAATTTTTGCTTTGTTAAGGCTGCTGCTGATCAATATGAGAAAATATTTAGTCTGAGTCAAACAAAGCGTTATTCGTGAAGAGGAAAAAGAGGTCCAGAGTGGTGCAGTTAAAATCAACAACAGCAAGCAAGAAAGAGCATTGTTACAAAAGCACATACTGCATCTTAAATCACCGATACCAACTTTACATTAGAAGACAAAAAGCTTTGTTTAGAAGCAGTCCCTGGGATCTTCACTTTTATTAGTCAAGTGCACAGAGTGACCGAGAAGAGATTTTAGAAAGAAACTCTCATTTTCCTTCCTCTTTCTGTATGAGGTTATTGGATATCAACATGTTCCCTTTTTATTCACAGCCAGGAACTGTGTAACTGACAGGGAGCGTTAGAAAATCTATGTATGAGCAGGAGTTTGTGAATACACATTGTGACCTGAAGGATATTTATAGCAAACAGATAGATTTTCGTCATGCATGAGCTCAAACATAGCAGCTATGTGACACTATCAAACGATTAACTCTCCCCTAAAACGATGCGGTTGAGCTAAGTAGTGTTTACAGAACTCAGAAAATTCAACAGGACAGAAATCAAAGCTCTGGATTTTTAGCTTACCATACAAATTCATGTGAAAATACTGCTTTACAAACAGTTTTCCTTCCTCCTGTAACCGTCTACGGCACACCTTAAGCGTCACTTTATGTAGGCTTTAAACTGGAGTTGAATGTGTCGTGCGAATCTGTAACATAATGTAAAAACAGGCTCCTGCAGATAGCCTCTGAATTAAGTTGGAGTGCTCTGTCAAAATCTTTTTGTCGTGTTACTATGTGTTAAATGAATTATGCATGTGATGAGTGAGACAGATATCCAGACAAAGGCGTTGGCTTTTAAAAAATGTGAAATATGCCTCAAGCCTAGTCCAGTAACTGAGCAGAAAGTCAACGCTGACTCACACCAGTTCCCAAATACACAGTTCACAGCTATGAGATCCTGACGAATCTAATAGCTGAGTCACAGCTGGGAGAAAAACAAAGCTCTGATTTTTGTTCCGTTCTGCTCCTAACACAGCTTTTATCGTCCAATGTAAGCCGGCATAAAGCAGATAAAATGGCACAGACAAGCAGTGTAGAAAATAGCACATTCACATCTGAAGCTGTTATTGAGTCTCTAAAGCGCTCTAACCCAACACCAAATCGACAACTTCAAACATCAATGTTACCTTTTCTTGGGTGGGTTTGATAACATTCTCATTTAATGTTTGTCCTAACTCTGTGGCCTAGTTGAGAGTCAGAGGGGAGAATTCACTTGAATGAAACACAGTTTAACATTCACAGTAGAGCAAGACACTGAGCCGCTTGTTCAGTAGTCGTATGAGGTAGCTGATCATTCACATTCACCATGACACTGAGCAAGCACTAGAGGGTGTTATGGTTCAACAAACAGACATCACTGGTTCTCAGCATATCACTGCATCTATGAATTTAGACTCCCTATATTACATCAAATATTTATGATTTCTTTCAAGGATTGTGCCAAGATGTATCTGAATTTAAACTCTTTTACAAACCATAACACCGCTCGAGCTCTGATATTAGTCTACACAAAAACTTCCATGCATGAATGGATAACCCTGAACTGGATTCCCATACAATTACAGCAATACAGTTACAAACTAGCCTGTCTGGGCCATACTGTTGCGTGAATCACTTGCCGTTCCAAGTGATTCATGCAACAGGATGGCCCAGCCAGGCTAGTTACAAACTGTCTTTTCACAGGTTATCCAGCAAAATTAAGAACATGTACAAAAACGATGCCTTGTTTTTGATGCACCCAAGCAAAAGCAATGTGAAACCACCGTTATGCCCTCGAACCGTACGAAAAAAACGAAAAAAAAAACCTGACAAGCTGAATAGAAAAGGGAAATGGATTACATGTGTTTAAAATAAATACATGATGCAAAAAAGTGCCATGCACCTATTATCTGCTTTACCGGTTCTGGGGGTGCTTTATAGCCCTTTAACTACATCCACAGAAGGCAAAGAGATGTTGGAGTAGTGACACAGTTATTATGGCTTGAAATTTTACACTTAAGATATTCATACAAGCAAAAATTCATACATTGTGCAAACATTTCCTTAACTCGCTAAAATCAAAAGATAGTACTGAAAACTAAAGATAGGACAGGAGAGGTTAGAGAAAATGAATCCTTGTGTAAAAACAAACCTTTGCAAACAGTTCTGGCAACAAGCTCCCAATGATTGTCTTACCTTTAAAGTTGCTTGGTTAGCCAGTTTAGTTGTCTGGATAAGAACAGAAAGAAAAAAAGACAATTCCAGTACTTTGACTACTCATAAAAGTTATTTTTAAACTAAAACCCTGAGTCAAGCTTGATACCAAACAAATATGCACTTACATTATCTTTAGCAATGGAAGCAAACTTGCTAGCTCCAACAGTAAAACTGCTCCAACCCTGCCGAAAAGAAGGAACATTGTCACATGGATGCGCAAGTGCAGTCAAACATACAACACAGAAATAAAAGATCGAGAAAGTGACCTACTGAATAAATTGATGACATGGCATTGTTAATGAAGTCATCCTCTTTTTTCTCTGGAGTCACAGTATTGCCAAATCCAACGTACCGATTTTCTTGATTTCCACTATAACCCCCTCCGCTGAAGAAGTATTTGAAAAACATTATGATGAGAAAGGGTTGAGGAGACTTTCCATGTTTTGAGTGTAAGGTGCGCAAAAGGCTCTTACCTCTGATACGAGTTGACGTCATCACTCAGCCAGTCTTCAAAAGCTTTGTCGCCAGATTTGGCTGCGCTCTGTCCAGGTCCTCCAGAGCTTTGAGACAAAAACATGAATTCCTGCTTTAACGCCTGTCCTGTTAACTGACAATACTCACAGATATGTAAGTAAGTGTGATCAAAAGTTCTCGTCCACTCTTACCGGTGTGAGGATGAAAGGACAGTTTTAGGCTGAGGAGATGTCCAGTTTCTGGCAGGGGATGTCTCCATGGACCACTCCTTACCCTCAGCCAGAGTTGCCACCTGTCACATAGGAAGAGTCGGGGAATGAGACGGAAATCTGACACAAGTATCAGTGTAAACTAGACGACCCAACAAACAAATAGAAAATCTGCCCATCACACCTTGTCTCTGAAAAGTGCAGCGGCTTTGCTGTTGTATTTCTCCTGTAGGTTCCAGCATGGATCATAATCATCTTGGAGCTCAAGAAACTGACGGAATTTTCCATTTCCTCCAGCTTTCATTTTCTCAAGCTCAATGTCTTTCCACTTGTCCATGGAGACGGATCGCACAAAACTAGAGACAGCAGAAGAAATAAGTGTATAAGTAATATATGAGTGGCAATTAATAGCATGCATACGCTGAAAATTCCTAAACATTAAAGGGTAACTTCATCATAGGTCCTTTAACTAGTTTCATTTCATCCTATAATCATGCATAAAATATGAGTGAAAAAATATATCAATGGTGATACAACTATCAGTGTCATCCTGCAAAGTCTGACAACATGAAACCTAACACTCTATTTACCTGAGATGGACTCCCAAGCCTCTGTGCTTGCCAGAGCACTCCAGGCAAATCCAGATCCCATAAGTCACACTGACCCATTGAGGATTGAAGGCTCCACACTCGAAACAGAGCTAAAAAAAAAATGACATTAGCACAATTACTGCACAATCAAGTTTTTTCAAGTATCTAACCTATTCCATAAACCAAATATTACATTTATTTATATTATCCACTTATTTTAGGCCGGACGCCATTATATCTGTTCTGCAGTTATTGCCAATGATTCAGGCCAACAAGATGTTCACTGGGCAGAGAATTTTACAGCTAAAAGGACTCTCTGTTTATTTGAACATAGATGAAAGCAGGGGAGTCTTGTGAAAGTAGGAGAGTGCTACATAACAAGCCTCCCAAACACCTGCTACTTGCTCTGTGGATTGTGAGGTTCCAGCGAGCTAACATTATTTGTATGTAGAGTTGAAAGTAAGCCTAGAGCAAATAAGACTTACATTATTCTCCTCTTGAGTTCTCACTTCCTTCAGAACTCGTCTGGTCCTTGGACTCGCCATGATGACCCTCGCTGAAAAAACTGTCACAGACAACATCCTTAAGTACAACATTTAGTTCTCAAAGTTTTAACAAAATTCATACTGAATAGTCTGGCAGCAGATAAATACTCATAGATTCAGTTATGTCAACAAGCTACACCTTTAAGGGTAAGCCTATGACTGAGTTAAGTCTTATCTACAGTTTACCTAAATCAGAGTACTTTTTACATGACAATTTTTAACCCTTTTTGGACTATTTCCCTAAAACTCCACTTTAATGCAGCTTAAAGCACTGTAGTAGTAAGACATTTCCTACAACATAAACAAGAGCAGATTCTGATTTTGATTCCCTCCAGTCTCTACTGAAGCTGAGTAGCAGTAAAGGAAACTGTTTAGATGTTCTGATCTAAGAAAAACCTGGACCTGCTCCTTAGACTGTGGGCTTATGAGGGATGAACTGTGCTTTGTCTGGCAGGTGTATAAAAGCAGCAGGCTGAACCAACTAAACAATGCCGAAACTATCTTGGAAGAATGATACGAGCAGTCCACTAATAATTATCATCAGACTGCCAGGTAATGGTGATAAATCAAAAAAAAAGTTTATGTTTCTCAAAAGTCCATTTGGTTTTTATGGGTCATAAATGTTTATTGTTTGGCCATGTGAGGGGTTCTTGAATATATATATATATCATTCTTGAATAACTTTTTGGAATGTTATAAATTTTATATAAATAATAAAGTCATAGTGAAATATCAAAGATGATTAAACTACCGTTGTTGCCAACACAACTGTGACACAAGAGCAGTACATCAGCACCGTGTACAGACATTTAACCAGCATGAATTCTGCTCTCATCACAGATGGCTTTTAGAGAAGCTATAGAGCACAGTGACTGTAGCTATGGTAATACAGGTTCTTGAAGACATCTTTAAGATATCTAACATTTCCCGGGCCTGAATTTCTGTGCAGGGTTGAAGGTAACGCACATAAAATATGCAAGTCTGGCACTCGTGATCCAAGAAAAACCTGCATACCTAAAACAGCCTGTAGGAACCCCATATGAGACACAGGAAATGTTTGCAGTACAAAACGGCCTGTACAGTCTGTCTGAGTGCAGTAGAGACTGACCCACCATATATGCCACATCAGCACTACAGCTAGCTTCCTCTGTCCCCCTGCACTTATTTGGGCAGGTGAGATTTGAGCAGGAGGAGTCAATGTTAATGGATTTAGCATAATCCTGCATCAGAGCAGTCACAGCAGGAACATTTCAAGTGTAACTTATGACATTGCCCATGAAAGCTATTTACAGCTATCATAATTTTAATTTTTTTTTCCCACATGTGCTTTTCCAACTGTGAAATGTCCAAAGGTTCTTGGTGGAAAAAGTCCATCCTCTTTTAACTAATACCAGACTGAACATCAACAACATTCAAGTCTCAGCTGCTGTACTGATCAATTATATTAGATTGTATCCAACAAACCAAAGGAGCCACCGTTTAAGGAGCACAGGGTCGGAGCAACAGATGGTTAAAAGTGACAATTATATTAGATTTTGAATGGCTCTCGTGATGGGCAAGGCTGTGCTGGTGAAAGGTACAGCTGAGCAGCTTCAGTTGTCTCAGGATTCAATTTGATTTCAATTATCTCGTCAATAATTTGATTTGATACTATGTCGTATCACGATGCATCTCATCCCTCGTACTTCTTTGTTTTTTTAAGTGATTCATGTAACCAAAATTGATAAGCTGTACCACTCTGCACAGGTTAATGCAAGAGCTACAAAGAGCTCATTAACCCTCTACATGTGATTTGTAGAGGGATAAGCGAGTTATGAACATAACTCATAACTCAAGTTATGAGTGTCATAGTTTATTGTCTATTGTAGCTGGCAATGGAGGCTAAATAGCCTATTTTGGATAGCCATATATTATTTGAAATATACAACTCTGTTTACAGAGGATTGTTTTCCACAACTCAGCATAAATCCCTACATTGATACTGACATTAATTTGTCTTTTACCTCACAAAATATTATATCTGCTCTATGGACTTTGGTTCTCCCCCACTCACACGACTAAAGCTCACACAACACATGAGCTATATCTAATTATCTTCGGTCGCTGCATTGATGCAGAATTGTTGACATCTGCACCATAATTCATCATTAAAAAAATGAATTTTAACATCCCCATGAAGAGGACAGTAGGGTTTGTTTGCAGTGAGTACCTGCACTGCCCAGATTGACACTTTAGTGAGGCTTTCTCTCATTTTGAATGATTAGATGTTTAGCACAGGAGTAAATTATAGTGCACCACTGATGAGTTTTTGGCTGGTTATAAACTACAAACGATGCGGACTGAAATTGATAATAATGCCTGTATGAACCCTTAATGCAAACAAGACCACCAGCAACAAGAGCCTGATGATTTCACTATATTCATTTTGAAAGCCTCCAAAAATAGGCAGAGGTAGGTGTCAAATGAAGGGATTACAAACATGCTTTTAACACAGACATTTTACATTATAAGAAGATAGGGGATACAGTTCAGTCCATATTTGAGCAAAGCTTAAAGTTACTCTAGCTTTACCTCATCTTTATTGTAGGGCTGGGTGATTATGGGAAAAAGTTTATCATGATATATTTTTTTCATACCAGTCAATATTGATTTATATCACAAAAAAAAGACATTTAGCAGTGCTTACTGGTAGCATGTCTTTTGCAATACAATAAGCTAATTGCATCTGTGAGGTCTTTTTGTCTCTTCAGTGTTTTTCTCGTAAGATGTTGCACTAGAGAAAGCGGACTGAATGGTTGGCTGTATCAAGTGCTTACGGTCATTGTCTTGCTGCAAAACAAACTTATGAGCCACAAGTCTGAGTCCAGATGGAGCAGCATAGTGCTGGAGGATGAGTGGTACTGTTCCTTCTTCATGATACTCTTTACGTCAAACAAATCTCCTACTCCATCACCTGCAAAACATCCCCATGCCATGGAACTACCACCTCCATGCTGAATTGTGGGTGTAACACATGGTGCTTTCAGACGTTCACCAGTTTGTCTACGGACATAGACTCTGCGTTTTGAACCAAACAGTGCAAACTTGTTTCTAGTCATTATAAGTCCAATTTTTGTGAGCTTTTGCCCACTCATATCTCTTTTTCTTGTTCTGTTGACGAAGTAGTGTTTTTTTGCAGATACACAACCCTTCAGACCAGCCTATCTCAAACGTCTTTTCTCAGTTGTCAGAGATATGGGTTTTGACCTTGTCATGTTGATTTCCTCCCTTATTTTTGGTGCTGTTTTTCGCCGATCTCTCTTACTGGTGACAATGCTATGTTCGGCCTGTAATGGCCTTGCTTCCAAACTTTTGGCCTGTAGTGTATATCATAATCGTTTTATCACCCAGCCCTACTTTAATGTAAGGGTTGAGGTAAACTGCTCAAAGTGTATCAGCTGACTTTGAAACCCCTTAGTAAACATGCCTTTAAAAGGGGAAATATTTATGAGTTCTTCCCACAGTTGAAGGAGGGCCATTAGCATGTTCAACTTACTGTCATTGTTTGACCACTGGTTCATCACCCGAGTGTGCTTGATTCAGGAAGATAATGTGATAAACTATTTCCCTTCAGTCAGATAAGCATTAGTCTGTAGTTAGAGACATTTTCCTGTTCATAGATTAAAAGGCCAGAACTAAACACAAAACTGTAATCTCTGTATTAAGGTTGGATCTCAGATAAGTGTGATGTTTGCATAGAGATGCCCTCCTCACAAACCCACACAGATTTTCATGTGAAACTGAGACAACTCTCAGTCGACTGCTAGCTTTGTAGACTTTCTTCAGAGCAGCAATCTAGTTTGTGTTTACTTTAGTTACCAAGGATAAAGCTACTTCCTGATGTGATTATCTGGTTTTGTCACGATTTTATCAAAACGATGCCTGTATGCAATTATGTATTATGGAGAATTAACAAAACAACGTAATGTGTCCAATGATAACTACAGGTTATTGATGAGCTGTACTTGGTAAAGGGGTTAAAACGAAAATAAGTCTGATGATAATGCTAATAGTAGCAGCAGAAAGAGCTAACTGCTCCGTTACCTGTCTGTGATTGATGGAAATGAAGACGCTGTTTTCAGAGGGTCTGCTGCTGCTTCCACCAATAACACCGAGATAACGAAGATGTACCTTCAATAGTTGAGACTCAACCAATATTTGTACTTCCACGGACTCAGTAAGGCCGAGAAAATGGGATCAAAACGATGGACTAGTGATGTTACACACCGGTAGCCATGTTCCTGTTTGCATACGTTGGCAGTGCAAAGCATCATGGGAGTTGATCTTCCTCCTCCTCGTCATGCTGCGTGTCCACATTTTTTTTCTCTCTATCCTTCTCTATCTTTTTTTTTCCTCTGCTTTTTCCACCGCTTCAGAGTGAAAAGTCGTTTTAATGAGGCTTGGTTACTTAAAAGCTACGGTGACCGAGAACGGCCACTGCTGCAAATAAAAAAGGAAAAAGAAAAGAAAACAAAAGAAAAAAGAAGGCACAACAGAAGTTAGCGATGCCAAAAAAAAGAAAGAAAGAAACAGAAGCCCACTGCAAATAAAAAAAGAAACGGTGTAGATAAAAAAGAAAAAAGCCACAACAGAGGTTAATGATGCAAAAAAAAAAAAAAGAAAAGAAACTGGAGCCCGCTGCGAATAAAAAAGAACCGGTGCAGATAAAAAAAATTTAAAAACACACAACGGAAGTTAACAACGCAAAAAAAGTGGCTATGCAAAAATAGTTTCTTACTGCGAAAATAAAAGGATGTAAAAAAAAAAGCCACAATGGAAGTGAGCAGCCTGAAAAGCAGACAAAGCGAAATTAAACAGCAATCCGTCCACTTTCTTCTTAGATCGTCTTCTCGCCTTTTGCATTGCCACTTTTTTTTTGCCTTGTTAACTTCCAGTGTGGCTTTTTTAAAATCATAATTATTTTTTATCTGCACTGTTTCTTTTTTTACTTGCAGCATCTTCGATTTCTTTATTTTGCATCGGTAACTTCGATTGTGACAAATAAGTGTCAAAGCCAGTATGTTGATTAAATACAGAGAAATATGTTAATATAAGTCTTGGTATGTTTGTTTTGTGAAAAAAAAAGGAAATTAACGGGGTCTTTTCTGTTCGTTTTGTGGGTTGTTTTTGAAAATAAGAAATACTGAACTGTAAAAAGGCATGTTGGCCTGCAGCTCTTGTTTATTTTTATTATGTGTTTAGTTGATTTATATCTTATGAAAGAGGGGCAGACTATAAGAATTTTCTTCTTTCTGCTCCTTTTCATTAACATGTTTGAGATTTTTTCTTGTTTGTACTGAATGCTTTAATTATTAACCGAATAAAATAAAGTATGAAAATGAAAAATGAATTAAATGAATACTCTGTTCAGAATTCATTTATTTATTTTCTTTATAGCCCTGGGTAACAGAGCTGTTCTTTCCCATAATAAACAATTAGCCTAATTTTGTCCCAATCTGGAGATAACAAAGTTGTTTTCTTTTGATATTGGGACCCTTTTGGGTCATTGCATAATTCTGGACAAACCAGCTTTGTTATCCCAAGATTTAGAAAAGAATGAGTTGACATGTAGGAAAACCACCATGAATTCCAAATTTTTGCTCAGGGCTACTGAACGAAAGGCCTTTGAAAATTTTGATTTGGCTTTTAAATTTTTAAACATGCCCCTTTCTAAATACTCCCAGACCCCTTCATTGTAAACAATACTTATTCCACTGTCTGCATCTGATGTAGAGCACTTAAAAGACGTTCAAGTGCTTGTAGTGCATCAAAAATTTGAGGGAAAAATAGAAAAGAAAAAACTGGGAGTATTTTGAAGACCATGCACCAATTTAACCATAATGTTGCTCCTTTTTTAGTTTTGTCTCTGGGTTTGCAATATGCCCATTTTTTCTCATGGTTTAGTTTCGAATACATGTCCACATCTGCATAAGCTTTCTATCCAGCACAATTAAGACATAAGCAAATATAAGCAAATGTTATCTTTGGCTAAAACCACAATGTACCCTCCTCGTGTCACTAAAATCCTCAGTTTCCAGAAACCGTACTTTGTCTTTTATAAAAATCAGCTTGCCATCATACTATTATGATATATATAGGATGAGATCATTTGACTGCTGCTATCAGTTATGTCTTTCCCTGAAAAAACATAACTCCTCTCTTTTATGGAAGGTAAATAACAAGGAAGATCAAGCTCTTAATGATCTATTTAAGTTACAAAATGAATATATTTTGATAAGCAATTGGATAGATTTATTTGTTTGAAGATCTGTTCTTGGCTCTGCTGCTATTGTTAATGTAAATATTTAAGTGTGTGAAGTAAGCTTTTCAGCCACCAGAACATTATATAAGATGAATGAGAGACACAAAGACATGTAGTGTTTTTTTTATGTACCCACGAATCATATGATTTTGACTAATGTTCTTGACATTTACCCTCAAACCTTTTACTTGTATCAAGACATTGATGAGAATTAGAAAAAAGGTAATTTCGAAGAACCTGGAGGATTAAAGTACAGTCCTCACATTTATGCTGAGGTGTTAAATAACTATGTCCTGTGTGGGGTTTGACTCCTTACCTAATGCCATTAGTACCTCTTATCTGATAAAATAGAGGTATAAAAGGATGTGTTGCTGCAGCAGGGGGAGCAACTGTGAGCTGTGATCACCATGAGTTCGTCCGTAAGTCTGAGGGTCCGCCTGCCAGTGCTGGTACTAGTGCTGGAGGTTGTCATTTTAGCTCTTTTTGCTGTCTTTGTCACTTACGACGACAATGCAAATGCCAAGCTGCAGAACAACCAGACAAACCCAATGGACAACTCTCTGTATCGAGACTATCCCTACTTTGCAGATGTGCAGGTGATGATCTTCGTCGGCTTCGGCTGCCTGTTGGCCTTCTTCAGATACTACGGCTTCAGCGGTATGGTCTTCAACTTTCTCACTGCAACCTTCTCAATCCAGTGGGCCATCCTGATGCAAGGTTTCTTCCAGTTTTACATTGACGGTAAAATCCATCTTGGAGTCATCAATCTTCTGAATGCAGAGTTTGCCTGTGCTGTGGTCCTCATCTCTTTTGGAGCTGTGATCGGGAAGACTAGTCCAGTTCAGCTGCTGGTCATGGCTCTGCTGGAGGTCCCGATTTTTGCTGTGACAGAGTGGGCTGTGCTGAAATACATCAGGATCAATGATGCAGGTGGTTCTATTCTTATTCACCTGTTTGCCTGCTACTTTGGACTTGGGGTCACATTTGTGCTGTATCGCCCCTGCCTGAACAAGGGCCACCCTAAAGAGACCACCAGCTATCAATCTGACATTCTCTGTGTATTGGGGACTCTGTTCCTTTGGGTGTTCTGGCCTTCATTCAACTCTGCTCTAACCATCAAGGGTGACGACCAACACAGAGCCATACTCCACACTTTCATCGGCCTGAGCTCATCCACCATGACCGCCTTCGCCCTCTCTGCAGTTTTCAACAAGAGGGGCAAGCTCACAATGGCTGATGTTCAGAATGTGACTCTGGCAGGTGGTGTGACGGTCGGAGCCTCTGTGGACATGATGATTTCCCCTGCAGCAGCATACGCTCTGGGCATCATGGGCTGCACCGCCTGTTTCTTTGGGTACAGGTACCTCACCCCTTTCATGGCCCGACGCCTCAGGATCCAGGACCAGTGCGGTATTCACAATCTCCATGGGCTCACCGGCCTCATATCCTCCACAGCTGGGATCTGTGCCATCCTCCTGGCAACAGAAGAAACCTACGGGCCCAGCATGTACCAGATCTTCTCTCATCGCGCTCCACCTGAGGGAGATCCAAAGCTGCTGGAGCTGCAAAAGCTGATCCCAGGGTTGAAACCAGGTCTGGGTCGTACAGCACAGGAACAAGCTCTCTACCAGGTGGCAGCGATCTTCGCTACCATTGCAGCATCTACAGTCGGCGGGTTGATCACTGGATTGGTCATGAACTTGTCCTGTATGGCATCCCCACCTGATGAAGGCTGCTTTGACGATGAGATTTTCTTTGACGTGCCCTCTAACTTTGAGAGATTAGATGATTCCAAGATCACCATAAATTACGAAGAGAATGAAAAAGAAAAAATCAGCTATGACACCAAACTGGCTGAGCTGTCACAGAGAGGCAGTTATTCAAAGTAAATGTCATAATTGATATTTCAGTTATTATGAAGAGTAGATTTTACTTTAATCTACTCAAGTGGTGATGAAAGAGATCATATTTTATACATCACCAAAGGCTGTTTGCTGTTGCAGATGAAGTTTGTGTATCAAAACTAAGTAAAAGTGTCATATAGGACACCTATTAAGCGTGTAGATATTCAATATATTGTATGATATTGTAAAAACAGAAATAAATTTTTTTAAATTGACTTGTGCATCTTTGTATTACTTTGTTTAACTTGTTCTTTTAACATCTGATCTATAGAATCTAAGTGCTTTTACCCCTCTCAGTAAAAATCTCATATCCTTTAACACCCATCATTTTACATGTTTACATATTACATGCCCCATCAAAAACAATGACTGGAAAACAGTAAGGCATTAAAAGATGATAGTTTCACATGTTACAAAATAAAACATGAAATGTTCAGTGAACATCTAATGGACAACATATGGATATTTACAGAACATACAATCTGAGACTTTATAGACTTTGGCCCCATGTGTACAGTAAAGGCAAAAAAGCATATCCATCATGTCATCTTGGTTGAAAATACAGAAGGACAACATTTAGAGTAAGTGATTTTTACACTCTCTGATATGTAGGAATGAATACGTTATTATTCTAAATTGGTTGTAATTCCAGTATATGATCTGCACTTCACCGCAAGTTTCATAAGCTGAGGTAATGTAAGTGTTTTCAGAGTAGCGTTAGGACTGTGGATGGAATTTGTATTTTTTTATCTCTTACATAAAACTTCCTCTCCGTTTTAACTGGTTTTACACCGTAAACAAAAAAAGATGCTGCCACAAGTTATTCTGCTGCAGCACGAGGACAACATCTGACTAGCAGCAAGACTCCAAATCAGATGAAGCATTTCAGTGTTTGAACAGCAGAACATGTGGTTCCTTTGATACTTAGCCCCAATAACACATTCCCTTCTTTCCTGATAGAGTCTCAGACAGTAAAACATCAAAGATACCATTATCTGACCAAGAAACACTTTAACATAAAATTCTCTAGACTGCAGGAGCTAGAAGCAAAACCACACACATTAATCTGTTTCTTCAATCGGAAACGTGGCATTTTATTCACCGCTAAATTTGTCTATAAGCATTTTTTCGATTAAATTTGTCCCCAAACTTAAATCAAGATCATAAAAAGTATATTGTGTCCTAAGAATAGAGATAACAATAATAATGGATAACCAGTGTTTGGTTGTCCAGTCCAGATGATGATAGTCTGCATTGAAAGCCTCGTCATTAGTTACAAAGGTTAGAGAATTGTCACCATGATGTCTTTCATTTACTGATAGCATTAACAAAGTGTCTTATCTTATCATGGATAATAAAGAGGAGAGTTGTAGTCAGGATCTGTGTAAATCATATTCTATCTAAAGTCTACAACTACCGGCAGAGTGCTGATACCTGATGTTATGCTGATTTGATCATCCTCTCCCTCAAAGTGTCATCTTCTGAATCCAGTGTGTCACACACAAAAAGAAGAGACACACCAGATGTCAAGAGGTCTTAGGACATGAGATAGCCTTTTCTGGTTTACTATCACAAGCTTCGTCAGGAACATCGACCCCTTTGACCCTGACAACTTTGAAATTTGACCCATAATAAATAACTGCACTGAGCTATCTGGTAGGTGAAAGCAAGATGAACCAAGCTGATCTCTGGTACTGAAGTTGTCTTCAAAGATTTTACTTTAGGTTGAAATATGGATTGTAGGTGCTATTGATTGTTGCCTCTTTTAAAACACATTACTGAAGCATTTTATTTCAACACGTGTCATTTTTCACTAGGTAATTGTCATTTTTATCAAGTAATGTTTAATATGTTTACTTTATTTGTAAAGCACATTAATTGGCTATCATTTGCACCCTTGTAGGCACAAAATACAAGCAAAGGCTTCTGGGAAATTTATTAGATCTGCAGGTATCTAGTAATAAATCAAAATACCTGCAAAACAAGCAAAATGTAGTTTAGAGAGGTCCAAAGGTTCAGGGGATAGATAGACAGCTCATTCATCGCTATAACCCATTCAGCAAAATGTGTGTATCCTGCGCATAAGAGGCGCAAATGGCACAGCTTTTGCACCTGCTGCTGTGCAAACTGAAGTGTTGCAAAAGAGCTGTCTGTGTTTTAATAATTATGCAAAGGTTTATACAGTAAATGCCAATGGTTGAAACCCACAAGGCACATCTCTGGAGGGATGTTAAGAGGATCTGTATGTTCTGAGTTATTAGATTTTGTTTTTGAGTGCAGTCTCTGTGGTCAGTAAAACTGCTACACTCTGGCGCTGAAAAGATCATCATGTTTCCTCTTCCTCTATGAAACTATACTTGACTGCAAAAACAGTAAAATGTTTCAAGTCACGATGGGGCTAAAGGTAAAGATGCAGCCTAAATTGTCTAAATTTCATAATATCCTTTTCTGTAGTTTTTATATCCCTGTTCAGAGGTAATTAACTCACGTTAAAGCTAAAGATTGTCAAATATCTGTAAAACTTTGTGGAGATATAATCCTAGAATCACAAATGTAAGTTTGTGTCAGCTCATCATTGTCAGATGATGGCCATTTTCCTCCTCTGCTTGGTTGGTTAAGCTTAAAAGCTGTTACAATAGTGTGCTATTGTGTTTTAGGATGTATAGTACTCTAGCCTAACAAAATTTTCACCACTTTTTGATTATTTAGTAAGAAAATTAGTGAAAGCCTGGGGCAAAATGTGCAGTATTTAGTATAAAAAACTGCTCACTTCAGCCACGGTTACAGCGCCAGTTTCTGGCATTCAGACACTTCTTAGCTAACGCTGACTGATAGCTTACCGGCTAATATGTGAGAGCTAGGAGTTTGAACCCTTTCTGTTGTGTGTAGCATCTTAAGCCCATACTTATTCTAATATTACTCGGTTAATGGCAGAAAGCTAATGTGAGCTGTTATGGTTAAAGGATTATGAATTCTTACAACTTGAAAACAAGACATTGATACTGTAGCTGCTAGTCAATTACGCAGCACTTTTTCATTTTCCTGTTTTTAAATCCCTTTTAAAAACGCACTTTTACTCCTTGGCTTTTGATACATTGTAGTGTTATTTTGTTTTTGTTTTTTTATCATTTTAGCACTTTCCGTGAGCCTGCTAATTTATATACTTCTTTATTCTTTTGCATTAATGTATTTCTGCTCGCTTTATCTTGTTCTTTGATTGTTTTATTTGTTTTTATGTGTCATTGTACAGCACTTTGGCTACCCTTGTGGTTCTTTTAAATGTGTTTTAGAAATAAAGTTGATTGATTGATTTTTAAATGTAAATTAAACACCGAAACATGACAGTTATAACAGCACATGAGGTTATCACCCCAAGCATGGCTACAGTGTGAAAATGCCCGGTATCTCGAAGATAACTCGAGATCAAAAGAAGTTGCTGCTGAGAGTGGATCAAAGTATAGCAGGCTACAGAAATTTATTTTTTTCAGTGCCATGCTCGGGGCAGATTTGAATGATTTCTTCAGATATTTTTGTGTTTATGGTTTCATTTGTGAGCTAATAACAGATAAGCAAGTCCTAATGTTGATTTAAAAGATTCATTAACTACTTTTTATTCACACTTAAGTGTTTTCCTTTTCTGTGGTTCCTGGCTCTGCTTCAAAATTCCAAATTATAAAGATCGTACAGATTATTATTACGTCTTGCAGTTGTTTTAAAACTGTTTATTCATTGAGAACATGAAAGAAAGAACAGAGAGTATATCCTGTACCATGTGGTTTATCTTGTTCAGTTTGAAGGACAACCTCACAGCTCTCTTGTAAATGGTCATCAATCATAATAAAAGTTCCACACTGATTAACGCTTACTTAGCTGATATCTCTTCCACCATAAATAAAGTTATGTAATATGAAACATAATGACCTGACTACCAAGAAGTCCAACGAACTGATTTTAGACATTTTTACTGTTGAAGAAGCTGGAAAGATGCATTAAAAGTGTGTAAACTGGACAGGTTACATACATATTTATAGGTTTAAACAATTAACTTTCAAATCAAGAGACTTAAACTTTTATTTCATAAGCAGAGGAATTACATCTGTACCAAGACTGACTTCAGTGAAAAACAGAGTCAGCACTTTCTTCATGGTCACAATGAAAACTGAATTTCAAAGAGTCACTCTGAACTATGTATCTTTCTAAGGGGGTTGTTTGGTGGTTAGGGTTATAAAGTTGCAGACTTTAATGTTTAAATGTCTTTTTATAAGAAAGTTTCTTCATGCTCAATTAAAATATAAGAACAAGGCGTGTAAAAATAACATTTTGTAAAATCAGGTCAAAGATGGCTGAGAAAACCAAGAAAATAAGAGTAGATATTTTGCCTGTAAATCTTATTATCTGCATTTGTATTTTTATGCAATAAAACTTGTATGTGGGGACATGAGTCTGTATAATCTTAGTATAACCCAACAATTTTATTGTAATCAGTGATGCAACAATCCTATCAACAGCTCTTAGACAAAAACAATTGCTTTTTTTTATTTAAGTCAAAGGGGTCTTGGATAAAAAGTCTATGATAGAATTAAGAAATTTAAGTTCACTTGCATTAATGTGACACGTTGTCAGTTTGCCATGTTGATGAACACCAAACAGCACCATCTTGTGGTGATGTGTATTGTTTTATATATTCCTTTTTCAGCATCTCAGGACCAGCAGTCATGCTCCTCTCAGAGATGGTTGGCGTATTCCTCCATGCTGTCTGCGGTGTGGATGGTTTTGGTGCGCTGAGTTTGCACAGAAGCGTACAGATCAGACAGAGGGGAGGAAGAGCCTGTGCAGGGTTCATCTCTTTTCTCTGACTCTAAGGGTTCCTCGAACACAACCATGTCTGAGAACTGGATCTGAGGAGAGCTGCGACCGGACTGCAGCCTGGGAGGCTTCAGGGTCAGGTTTGCATAGCAGTCCTGACTTTTGGACTGGAAGGAGATACAGAAAACAGTGATGTAACTTATTTGTACAACTTTATCTCCTGAGTACAAGTTTTTGTGAAAATTTTTATTGAATCCTCTCAACTTAACCCAAAACATGTATTTCCCCTTATTCAGGGATTTAAAAAAAATGGGAAAAAAAAGAGGAATAAAAAAAGCCTCACCTGCATGTCACAACTGACTCCCTGTAAAGGATCACCACCAGTGTATGTAGCTGTGCCTATAGAAAACAACATCACAATGTCAAGACACAAATAAAGGCACAAGGACACAAAGTTGTGTGTGTTTTCTTTTTAAGTACTCACCTGTATCCGTGTAGCCAAGGTTTCCATAGATGGGATTTTCTTCCATCCGCCTTTGTCCCCTTCTAAAATTTGACATGTGGCAATGACTTTTAAAAATTAATGATGATACTAGTTTGCTTGTTTTGTGAGCATTTACTAAATGTTACTTACTTTTGTTTCTTCCTTGGTTGACATCTACAGTCTCCTGTTGCAAAATGCACTCAATCAATACTTTCATCTACCAATACAGTCCATTAATTTGTTTGACAGAATATTATTGAATTACCTGAACTGCATTTTGATACACAGAAAAATATATTCAGACAAAGTGAAAGGAACAGCAGTATGCTGATGATCAAAAACCATTTCGGTGGCTCTTGTAGAAAGTGCAAAATGTCCCAGCCTAAGAAAAAAAAGACATATTTGATGGATAAGAAAAGGAATAACAGATACCTTGCAGAAAACTTTTTACAACAGATAAAGTAGATTAAATTCTCACTGGAAGACAGAATGACACAAAAAGTCAAATAGAAGGTCAATGCCACCCACACAGCGAAGTTATTAAGGTAACCACAAAGTTAAAAGCAAAAGTTATTTGTGTGCGGCATCCACTGAAAGTCGAATGTCGTTTATAAAGTGATCTATTTTCTCAAATTTGATGTCTTAAAACCCTGCTACCGTGGTTAGTGCAATCTCTGACTCCTAACACATGGACTAGTCTGAAAAACATGGTTTATCAGAGGGAGATTGAATGGGTGATTAAGTGTGTGTAACTCTCCGTATTAAAAGTGGCCTAATTATTGCCTGGTCTTTGCATGGATTTTGACAGAGGCTGCAATGAAGTCCACTAAAACTTGGAGCCTTACAGAACTTGTGGAAAGGAATGAGGCAATGCAGCAAAGTGTTAAATCTCGTACAGCAGTTTGGCCCTGAACGTAGCATCTCCACCGTCACTTTCTTCTGGGGATCTGCTTTGTTGTCTGCAGCACAATGTGTGGTTTTACGGAGACATTTGCTGCATGATTGCAATTTGCAGAGGATTGTTGTTGCAAAAATATCATCAGCAAAGCATGCTGGATGTGTTTCCTCTCTTACAAAACATGTGCAAAGCCCTAATGAGACTATCTGACTGGAGACATACTCCAACATTGCAATGAACCAATATGTTAAACAGATAAAAGTTTGTTCAATGGTTTATAACTTATAACTAACAGCAACACAACAATAAATGGAAAAACTGACATTTAATCAAGTTTTCATTGAACTCAATTTGACCTGAAGTGTGTCTTTGAAAATCTTTTAGATTAATCACAGTCAAAGTGATGTGAACTCAGTGTTGACACAACTAATTTTACAAATTAAGAAACTTACAGTGCTGCAGGATTAAGGTTTGATTTTATACTGACAGTTTGAGTAAGTTTTCAACCAGTTGCAGTGTTGACTAGTTGTTTGCATTTACACTATGAGTTTATGTAATGCAAATAAAAATGCCATGAATTAGTTGTTGTGTGTTGCTTGTTTATAAGAACCCCAAAAGTGTCCTTTAGCAACATAGATTTATGGGAATCACCTCTAATTTTTATTATATGCCCCACCAGCATACAATGTGGCTCTGATTTAACCTGCTTGTAAAGCCACATTTTTATATCTCAATGCATTTATAAAATATTAATATGTACTTAGATTGGGCTTGTTGTTTTGTAGCTAGATCACCTTCTTTGTGAGAAGTTACACATCTCATTCAGGAAGCAGCAGCACCTTTAAAAAGTAATACAAAACAGAGCCAAACATGCATTTGTGAATGTGTGTCGCTATCACTTAGTTGCAGCCTCATCAAAGTGTCTGTGAAAGGAAGAACTATTTCACACTGTTACCATGGTAGCACTAGTGGTGGTTATATTTCATATGTTTCCACTGTATTTGTCATACAAGTCCAAAAGTTGTCCATGATTGTAAACAGGTGACCTGTTAAAAACACTATATTTGTTCAGGATCAAATCTTGTCCTCTACAGAGAAAAATTTTAAACCCAGTTGGTCCTTAAAGAGTGTGAAATGAATACATAAAATCACAGCACTGCTTTGTAAGCTTTAAAAGATCCATGCATGGGCAAATCCTGCAAATCCACCCCAGGATTTTAGTGCCTGTCTCGTGGCTCAGTAGAGATATGATTCATTTTAATGAGAATTTTTTTGTGTGATATACAACTATTACAAAAACAACAACAACATATCATCAAAAGATACCAAGACAGCATAATCTTATCATAAACAAAACCTTGCACATCGTGATTGCAGACATAACAGCAGAGATGTAAGTACCAAATCAGTTATATCATTAATCACACCTCAAATCAGCTTCACTTCATAACTCAGAGTGATTTGTCAAATTAGCATTGAATTTACGTGGGGTTTAAAGAAATGGGTCAATTCTACAACTTGTGGATTAGCTGTAAAGCAGATTTAAAAAACTGTCCTCTTAACCTCATGTGGTGCCCTCACATCAAGAACAATCCAGCTCACATTCATATAAAATTTACATATTAAGATTTCTTTTTGAGTCAAATACTCACCATTTCCTGTACAGTTAAAGTCTTCTCCCATGTTCGTGGTGCTCACATCAAAGGCTCTGTCCTTCTCTTACTACTCCTCAATACGATAAACACAAACACAGCATGATGCATGTCAGTGCTCACGCTATGTGATTTGAGGGAGGACTTGTTTTCTTCAAACTGCTAACACCTTACAGGATGTGCACTTCTGCAGAAAACCACAAAGTTCTTTTTAGGCTGAGAGTAACAACAAGGGAACAGAGGGTGTGAGTATCTGAATATAATAAGCAATATTGGAACAGACAGCACTTTTGTTGACCTTAAACAAACTACTTCAACTGACTAGGTCATGCAGACAACTCTTTGAAGGGTATTGATAAAGCATATCAACACATATAAAATCTGATGGATATTCAGGATTTCATAATTTTTCAGTGTAAGATATTCACATTTCTTACTGTTTGTAGCATTTAGCGGCATTTAGCACAGCAGGCTTGGTAGAAATTTGATAAAGCATTCTTAATTATGTTTAAATGTATAAAAATGTTTCCACCTCCTGTGTTTAACATGAAGCCAATGAAAGCAAGATTTAAAAGACACATTTTCAAAAACAGCGATGTAGATCTGAATGACTAACTACTCCATTTCCATATACTGTGTAAAACACTTGTGTAAAACACGGGTTTTGAAGGTTATGAGGTTACAAGTTTTGAATAGGTAGGGGCACACTAGCTGCTAGTGAGGAGGCTAAAGGCACACCTTAACTCCACTTCTTGGCTTCTTGCCAGGTTAACTTATGTTGGGCTGATATTCACCATGGCAACTGCATAGATGGGCCTCAATATGAAGAAAAATAACAGTTGTTTTATTTCTATGCTTTCGTAGGAACTGGTCCCATTTCATAGAGGCCACCATTTTGCGTATTTCTTCAGTAGCATAGAATGGACGATAGACATATGTTGTTGCATTTGGAGTGTGGCCTGCAACAGCTGAAAGACATAGGGGAAGAGATTTTTATTAATTACAAATGAATTTGCACTATAAGGAGTTTTTGATAATAAGAGATAGAAAATAAAGGGTAAGACAGGGAGTGTCTCATCCTTGAGTATCATGCTTTGCTTTAAAATCTGTCTGTTACATATCGCTAAATATATCCATTATACACACGGTATAAAGAAAAACGAAGATTTATAAAAACACACTGATTGTCTTCAAGAAAAGAGTTTCACCCATGATCTAAAGTAAAGGAGATGTACAAACTAATAAATTCATTAAGACATGCTGCTGACCTCTTGGCCAGGTCATCCTTGTAAAAAAAAAGATCTCGATCTCAATGAGTTATTACCTGGTTAAATAAAGGTTAACTTAAATAAAACATTGTTGTCTTTGGAGTCTCTTTATCAGTTTTTACGGTCAGCTGTGAACTGACAGTGACCTTTGACAGTGACTCTACCAGTGAGTCTGGTAGATTTAGCTCTCAGCGCAGGCAGGTTGCAGTGACATCTTGAGGTCTTTGAAGTCTTCACCAGCTTTATTTTCTTTTTGGTTCCAGCCACTCTCTAAAGTCTTCAATCAGAGTAGCCATGTATTTTGTCCTTGATTTTTTGCTCCTGGTTGAGACCGAGTAGTTTACTTAACCTTCCTCCTGTGTTAGCTTTTACTACGCACCCACCATGTTAAGGGTCTGTTTTGACCCGTGTCTTAAATAAGCTGTAAATTACACTAAAAACAATTCTCTATCATCCAATTTGGTCTCATCTCTAGGTTACCTTGTTAGGCTTCATTATCCATGAAAATATTGCTTATAATATTTTTTGGTGTGGTCCTCTTGGCCTTTCTTTGTCAGTATACCCATCATACAGACATCCATACTGAACTGATCTCACATGTCTGGACATGCCTGACATTGTTTTTTGTGCCGGGAATAACATGGAAAAATGAGAATTTACTAAATCTCACATGATTGGAAGAGGATCTGACTGTCAGTGCACTTATGATTTCAGTTTTTGCTCTAATTATAAGATATTGATCTAACCGGGTCAACAGCGACCCTTACACAACAAGTGCCATAATTTTAATGAGAGCACTTTTTAAATTTAGTCAATTTAATTTTTTATTTTTATTTTGTTAAAATAGAGGTTCCTGACAAAGTCAAAAAGTCCTGACACAGGAGGAGGGTTAACATATTAACATATAGTCGCTTTTCAGGGGAGTAATGGAAGATTCAAGGGTTTGTGATTACATCGACAACTAATACTGTAAAGTGACGAGTATCACGGGACTGAAAGACAACACAACTATGTGCACAGAGCCGGCCCAAGGCATAAGCGAACTAAGCATCTGCTTAGGGCCCCACGGCTGGTAGGGGGCCCCCCAAAGAGCAATAAAAAAAAAAAGATTAATATTTTTTATTTTTGCATGTATGAGTGATGAATATATATTGTTGTAAAAGTATAAAAAAAAATAAACTAAAAACATTTTAGTGCTGCCAATGATGTAGGCCTATGATTTTAACAGCCGATATGTCAAAGCTTCGCTACTGTTATGTGCCTCCTGCTGTGCAATGTACACTGAGCATCCAAAGCGCAGGTAGTTGTGGACATAGGAGCAGAAAAAAGAAAGAGGAAGAAGAGAAAAAACGCCAAGATAAAGTTATGTTTGCATGGAATGTTAATCAAAGAGATTTGTGAAGGTGTGTGAATGATCAACAATCAATGTTATTGACAGAAATAGAGGGCCCCAATATCAAATTTTGTTTAAGGCCCCAATGAGGCTTGGGCCAGCTCTGCATGTGCAAAGTAAAGATAATAGCAGATGCTTTGCAAACAAGCACGAAATACAGTTAAATGACAAAGAAATATGCAGTATGCTGCTACCTAATCTATGAAACAATGTCCACTCAAAATACTGTTGAAATAAATCACAATTGTACTGACTTAAATGAGTCTATTGCACACTAAATAATAGTTGCAAATACAGTGCAATGATGTACCATCTCACCATGTTTACAAAATTAAAAATGGAAAATGTAGAGGCTTTGTAAATGATAGAGGTGTTGCACTTGGTGTTAAATTTAGAGCTGGTTGGTGTATGATGACCTAGAAACTCGGTTAGTGGTCAGGGGACGGATAACCAAGCTGTCACCCACTCCTCTGCCGCAAGCTCTTTCCTGTTAGAAGATTTCCTCTTTTTTGTATGATAGCCTGCCTACTGGAGCTTTAAAACTATCGGACCTCCCTCTCAAAGCGAGGACATGCCCACAAAAGGGCGGGTTTTGTTCCTGTTATCCCGCCCCTGCTCCTCCACGACTCTCTCCTCTCCTAAACGCTGATGTGTTACAAACTCCAGCCTTCAAGAGCCAAAATGTTCACTTTCGGATCAAAATTGTTGCTGCTTTTCCTCTTGGCCTTTCCCTGTGGGTTAATATCTGTCGGTAAGTTTAACTATTACTTTGTTTTAAGACTGATTTTCTCTTCGTCTCACTTCTGCAAAAGTGAAAAAGTTTTTTAGTCAGACCAACTTATTGACGTGGCACAGTCACAAAGCTGTTTCACCAGTTTTGAGGCTTCATCGTCGCTTTGATATCACAAAAATATGCACTTTGGAGACAAATTGATTCATGTAATGTAGTTGTAGCTCACACCTCAAGCTGTAGCTCATAAATGAATGAATTGAGTGTGCCCGCCAACAGCTGTTTTTGGATAATAAAAAAGTAATACCCTCCAGCATTTAAAGCAGCATTAAAGGTCACCTAGTGAGCTTTTTACATGATTTCTAACAGAGAAATAAGAGTAAATGTAGCAGCAGCTAACAGCTGCTAGGACACGTCACCATAGATAACATGGTACCCTATGTTTTTTTCTCTGAGCTTTTTTCTTACACTGTATTTCACTACATTTCCCATGAACACGAGGTGCTTGTAAAAGTACCCTGTGTCCTCTGTTATACTCATTATTTGGAAGTGGCTATTTTGTCTGCAGAGAAAATACCTGGCAACATTGAAAACGTGTCACTATATGTAAAAAAATATATATAAGATACACATTTGAATGATTGTGACAGATTTTCCCAGATAAGGGTAGGTGAAAAAATCAATTTAAAGGCTCCATAAGTTGCAAGAATAGTGTTTTATACAGATATACCAAACACTTTTTGGAGTTGATGTGTTTGCATGTTTGATAAAAAGTAAATGCTATGCTATTTCATTATTTTGTAGAGTGAAAATGGTAAAAACAAATGCCTTGCATAGTCTTTTACCCTTTCATGCTTTTAATTCAATAATAACAGAAGTTTTAATGACAATCTTTCATTGTAATATCACCATTATCTCTCTTGTAAAAAAATTGCAAGTGACTGATGTGCAACAGGACGGCACAGTGATGGAGTGGCTGTCGCCTCACAGCAAGAAGGTCCTGGGTTCGAATCTGGGTCAGGGCGTTTCTGTGTGGGGTTTGCATGTTCTCCCTGTGTCTACATGGGTTTACTCCCAGCACTCCGGTTTCCTCCCTCATCCCAGAAACATACAGAAGTGGGGATAGGTTAATTGGCCACTTTCAGAATTGCCCGTAGGTGTGAATGTGAGCGTGGATGGTTGTTAGTCTCTATATGTAGAAAAATGGATGGATGTATGATGTGCAATACTGTGTCTCTTGTTCTACACAGGTCAAGTCTCTGCACAGTCTGACTCTGCTGAGGATGTCATAGAAGATGCAGATGCTGCAGTGGATGAAGAGGAAGATGACGAGGAAGAGGTGCTTGTTGAGGAGGATCAGATGCAACCTTCTGTATGTAACAACCACACCACAGTTCATAGAATATACATTCCTGTGCAGATGGTCAAGTTAAACTATAATCTTGTGTTCCTCCTCAGGAAGGAGATGAAGACGATGCAGAGGAAGGAGCCGATAAACAGCTGACGTCCCACCCAGATGCCGATACCACCCTCATCTTCATGACAGGGGAAGGTGAGTCTCATTCAGTGAACTTCCAAAGTGTAAACACTCATTAAGATTTCTCTGAGTTTAATTGAAGTACATCATATGACTCATACTTGCATTGCACTGATTTTTTTGTGTTGCATTTTAAGAGTTCCCCGCCAATGAAATTGTGAGGTTCCTGGTGGGTTTCACCAACAAAGGAAGCCAGGATTTCACCGTTCAGTCCCTGGAGGCCTCCTTCCGTTATCCCCAAGATTTCCAGTTTTACATTCAGAATGTAAGTTTAGCCTGAGGGGAAAAAAAAGCTTACAGCAATGTCAATCCACCTCTGACTACATCAGGGGTTTGAATTGTACAATATCTAAAAGCTGCACTCATGTCTGCACTTTTTTGACAATCTGAAAGAGCCCCCTTTGCATCCTCTTGCTTAAGCATACTGAGTATAATGTTATTACTGGCCAAGAGAAACCTCCCCCCAACTCTCCTCGGTCCAAATAGGATAGCAATACAGCTGAAATTAGAGTGAATCAGTGGTTTAAATATCTTAAAATGAGTCACATGCCAAAAAAAGACAAAAACAACAAAGTTATCTAAATAAACCCCCAAATTCCCCAACAGAAAACAATATCTTAATGACAAATACTTTAACTAATCTCCCAACCAATAGAAGAGAAGAGGCAAAACTCAAGGCTACTCACCTCCTACTGAGTGCTTAGTATTCTGGCTGAACCATATATACAAAATATTTATAAGCTAACAAGCAATTTACCGATCAAACCTTGACAAAATATCTAAACACACTCCTAAAGAAAATCAGGCCCATACAACTTTAACAAATCTAGGGCCTGGTTACACCATCCACTGCTGGTCTGTTGAAAGCAGCTAGCAAAGGTAAAGACCGCTGCAGCAGTTGTGATTGAAACCAGTGATGTCTCCAAAAATACAGTCCTGTCACGCCAATTCTGTTCAAACAGGCCAATCAGAGGCAACACCTGCATCAGCGCCTGATTCAATGAATAGAATTCACAGACATAAGCAATAATGTTGTATTCATTAGATTTCAAATTTGATTAAAAAATTACAGGGGATGTGAAACCCAACTTTCCAAATTGAGAGCACTCCAAAGTCAGGAGAACAAACTTTTAATAGCGAACACAGATACAGCGACACTCACACGAAAACACCCACACTGTGCAGGGGAGGAGACACAGCAGCTGTAAATTCTGTAGCCTGCTCAAAATAAGTGTAGCACTACCTAAACTACCATGGCGGACATTGAACATTTTCAGTAATGGTGAAATGAGTCAAGGTCAATTATAAACCATAAAACAAGTTTTTTTTTTTGTTCATTTGTAATAGTCAAATTAATGATGTATGTGTGGTGTATTGATCAGTAACATGTGTTTTTGTTTTGTTCAGTTCACCGCTCTGCCTCTGAACACAATAGTCAAGCCACAGGCCCAGGCCTCCTTTGAGTACTCCTTCATCCCAGCTCAGCCCATGGCGGGTCGTCCATTTGGTCTCGTCATCCTCCTCAGCTATCTCGACACAGAGGTAAAATGGAAAAGAACAATATGACTTAGAAATACTATATTTGAGGAAGATTTTTCAGTACTCTCTCTCTCCCTCGTTTGAATAATTCATGAGATGAATACCAGGAGAAGCCACTGCCAGCAAAGCATTTTCTCCCTTCACAATGCTACAATTTCATTTTATGTAATTGTCACATAATTGGGAGATAGGTATTGTCATGATTTTTCTGGCTGTTATGTTCACCTTATTAGAAAAGTATGTAGTAAAAAGTATGTCCTCCTATATTGACAGCATGTTTTGACACTTTGCAGATTTTCTCATGGTGTGTCCCTTGTTTTTTTTTCTCAGGGTGGCGTGTTTCAGACTGCCATTTACAACCAGACTGTCACCATAACTGAGCGTGAAGAGGGCCTGGATGGAGAAACGTAAGACCTCCTTCTCTCTCTTAATATAATCTGTGCTCTAAAGTACATACTTGTGGGTAAAATATGGGTAAAGCTGCTGCTCTTTAATGGAAATAAAATGCTTGATCAGTACCTGTGTGGTTACAGCAGGCAGTTTGTGTGTATTTTAACAGGTTTTGCATCTAAATTTAATGTAAATAGTTTATAAAGCGAATAAATCAGCCCTCCTACTACTTACTTGCCTTGTGTCTTTGGGCTACAACAAGCGCTTTGCAGCTTCACAATAGCAACTCTCCCAGTTCCCTGCAGAACATGTAAGAACCTGTAAAAAGAGGTGTGAAATTGGCACAAAGAGATCAGTTGTCAGGACTGTGCTGCTGGTGTAAAATACAGAGTCTGTCACCAACAAATGAGTCAAGCAAGGAAAATTGTGTCTCTGAAATCTCCTTTTACAGATCAGTTATTTTATATGCCTTGAATTTGCTTGATTTTTACAAATCTTTCAGTTGGTTTATTACAAAAAAAGCATTTGGGTCAAAGGTGAGAGCGTGTATTGTATCAGGGAAGTGGTGTGCACTGCAATCAAGGTTGTGGTTGTGTCATCAGGCATCCAGAAACATCACTCATACTTTTAAGTGTACAGCACAAAGTTTCTGTGGAACATTTTTACAGATTTATTTGTTTTTTACTGGTAAAAGAAACCGTGTTGTTTATTCCTCAGCATGTTCATGTACATCTTCCTGGTCGGACTGGTGGCGCTGATGCTGTTTGGGTTGTACCAGGTCCTGGAGACAAGGACGGTATGTGTTTGTGCTCAGCTAGCTTGTCTTTTTTCCTCTGTGCCTGCAAAACCCACTCAAAGGTATTTGAGGTTGCTTGTACTACCTTATGTTTGTTCTGTACTAGTTGTTAAAACCATGAGAGACCTGATTTGAAACCAACGCTCAGAGATTTCAGATTACAGACTCGTGGACAAAGATGTCAGACTTGACTTGGACTTTCAAATGGCCATCATTTGGTGTTACACAACAAAACAAAGGATGGAATAATAAACCAATTAAATTTTTTTAAACCAAGAAGTTAAAATTCAATCTCATTGTGACATCAGTTTATCCCAGCAAAGTTCTATACTGGATAATATGTCCATCCCATTCTTACGGCTACGATATCACACAAACACGCTGATGGGATTTTCTCAAAGTTTGAGCAGATGTTTACCAAGAGTCAGAGATCAGTTGATCAGCATTTTTCTGGTTTTCATTTTTTTTGCTAATGTCGTATTTCAGCAACACCTGAAGGGATTTTTAAAAATGTATTATTTTATTTTTTGCCTGTACCATACAGGTCAGCTTGAGAATTGAGATAGACATAGACTGAATCATGCAAGGATTCCTATGACTAGTGCAACAAAGACTGTAGCCTTAATGTGTTTTTGTCTTTCAATCATTTTATCCTGCAGAAAAAGAGACTACCAGTGAAAATAGAGAAGGGCACTGGTGGGATAAACGACGTGGACATCAGCTGGATTCCTCAGGAGACTCTGAACGTCATGAGTATGTTGATTGTTATACTTTGCTACAGCAGACTGAATCAGTGTTTAAGAGGTGATGTTTTGTTTTTCACATTTCTTTCAAGGCAGAACATATCTGATCTTTACATCCTGTTTTGCAGACAAGGCCTCCCCTAAAGCATCTCCACGAAAACGAACCAACAGGGCAGCAGGAGCAGATCAATAAAAACTGCACATTTCCATCCATCACCATGCTGCCCATCAGGCTTTCAAAGATCATTTCCTCACCACACAAACCTGATTTCACAAAGGACCAACATTTCTGAGATCCAGTTTCCCATCTGAACAAAGTGTTTTAAGTGTTTGTTTGGATCTCAGTTTGCAGCTCTGCTGGTACAACGACCGGAGAGCATCTTGAACTCTGCTGCTTCTACCAGGGTATCAGCATTTAAACACTAAAAGGACTGAGCAGCAGTTCAGTGTATGGGACCTTTTTTATCAGTGTGTGTTAGTAAAGCAATAAACAGTAAGCCAAAGAGTTATTACATTTTTGAAAAAATTTAAAAGGGAAGTAATGAGTATTGATTTCTTATGGCCATTTTTATTTGTTAAATATAATAAATTCCCCTCCCTCTCTCTCTCAAGTAAACACCACAGTGCCTTGCTTTGTATTGCTCTGTAAAAATCTGATGTCAATTAAAAAAAAGAAACAGGAGCAATTAATTTTAAAAGGTTTTGAATTGGTATCCCTCCTGTTTCAGTATGCAGTCAAATTGCACCTGAGGTTTTAAAGTGTATGTAAAGGATGTTTTTTTTCAGTGGGACAATGGCAGCTGGAAACATAACTAGCATTCACAGTATTCTTTGGAGGGTTTTCAGCAGGTCTTTTCACCTGACTGTTGTAAGGGCTCAAGGCAAATACAATGTGTCAGCGATGCAATTTTTGTAATTGCATACTATGTTTGTGATAAAACACCTTTTAAAATAATAAAAGGACCAAAAAATGTATTGTTTCCTGATATTTGCTCTCTTTAATCTTAATCTGTTCTTTAATTGTTATTCTTTTACGTATTCCTAACAGTAGACTATTGTCTATATCAGTCTCAGCAGTTTCTACAGTCAGGATTTGACACAGTTGAAGTCTAGTAGGGCTGGGACAATATACTTTTCTCCCAATTTGATTCTTCTACAATTATTTGGATGCCGATTCGATTTAAATTGCAAATTCTACGATATTGTCGATTTTCTCGAAATTTAGTCTGCATTTTTAACACCAGTGAAGCAGTTGAATGTTTATGACATAGACTGTATATAGAATGGACAATGTCTGCCTCCTCACTGGGTGAAGCCACTCTGAGAACAGCACCCTCTGGTGACGGGCTGCAGTATAGGTCATAAATCCCGCCCCCGCCAGCAAAGCTTATGGAGCTGTGGAGAAACTTTAGAAATTTATAACACAGAACATAAATTTCGAGTGCGTACAACGCTAATGCGCAATGTTGGTTTCAGGACATGGAGAGAAAACATGGAATTACCGAGAGCTTTTTGGCTTCAAATCTGTATACTGGCGGAAGGCGAAACCAAATTGTCCATAGTATATACAGTCTATGGTTATGATACACAACACAGTAAGTCAGTTTTTAAGATTTTTTCATAAATTTGAAATAAAAGAATCGATTTTTGACTGTAAAGACTTATTTCAAAAAATTGTAAAGCAAAAAATTGCGACACATGTGAATCCATTTTTTCCACCCCTAAAGTCTAATCTGAGTATAGGTTGTAACAAAAGAAAATAAAGGAAGGAACATGTTCCCTTTTCTGCAACACAAGTTTTAGGATCATCTATATAACTTTTTGCCAAACAAAACATCAAAACACCGAAAATCATCCAGTTTCTATGGGGATGACACAAAATGTTGGATTTTATGTAACCAACAGTACAACTTTAGGATGCTGATTTTCATTTACATATATATATATATATATATATACACATGAATATACGAAGAATGTATGAAAAAAATCTCTCATGTACAGCACTTTTTCAGATTTTTAGTCACTAACACTGAAATACAAACCTTTTCATCATGTATGATCAAAATGATTGTGTAACCCTCCGAGTTAGGGTTAGGAGTTGCATCCTATTGTCCCACTGAATTCATGAAAGATTATTTTCCGGTAACATAACTGTGAAATACTTATTAAAAATACTCTTACACACTCAGTCTTTGTATATTGTTGTGAACAGTACTGGTGAGATTCAAACTTGGACAAAAGCAGCAGAGAACAAGACATCCACCCATGTTGAAAAGGTTCATCTATATGAAGTACCATCAGTCACACCCTTTGTGTTGTGTTGCAGGATGGTTGCATGATGATGCTCCTTCCTCCTCCTCTTCTTCTTCTTCTTCCTCGGGGAGGTGAGAGGAGCTGTCCGGTGCTGAAGGGGGAAGATGATCTCAGCGCGCGCCGGGGGGCAGGTAACGTCAGCAGTCGACCGGAGCAGGAAAAGACTCCATACTCACAAACACACACCCACCAAGTGTTTATCTTCGCTTAATCACTAATACACATTGACACACATGAATAATGGGCAGCTAATCAGCTCCGTGTGACTCAGCGCCGCTTTTCTTCCGATTCCTGCGCGCTTCGGCAGCATCCCGCGCCCTCCGCTTGGCTTGAAATGGGATGATATGGGATTTTTCATGTCGACGAAGATCGGAGGGATTTTTGCGTTTGCTCTGGGTAAGACATCTCGAGCTCCTCCGTGGGTTTTATTTATTAGGCTGCGAGCCACTTTGGATGCTTTGGCGGGGAAAGCTGTCGTATAGCTACATTTTGATATCCCTGTCTGACATGTCAGTGTGTAGAGTTTTATCTTTATCTCCATCGGTGATGCATGATGGTTATAAGAGGTGCCTGACGTGGCCAACTGCTTGTAGTACACCCATGCACGATACATACAGGGTCTCCATACTTAGGTGATAGTACAACAGCTACTGTAGTTGACAATATAAAACTACAGCCATAAACTGTTTTGTTTTCATCTTAATGTCTCTTTTGCCATCATCTCGAGATGTAACCACCCCTAATGAGTTTCCCTGTCACAGTATGTTTTATCATCTGCATGTTTTGTCATTAAATTATAAGTGGCTCTAACCAGAGCGATGCACCCCATGTGGAAGAATTGTATTGGCTGCAGCAGCCGGGACTATTCCCCGTGGAAACATCTGCTCCACATCCCACCACTGCTGATGCCTCTGAGAAAGTCCAATTCGCATTTTAAGCCACAGATCACCATAAATCCTCGTGAAATTATACAGCAATTGCATGTTTTATGAAGCAGTGCCACCAAACAAGAAGTCATATTGAGGATTTATAATACAAATCTGGCATGACCCTTGTGCTGTTTAATACATTAGGAATAAACTTGCTTCATCTTGCAAATAAAAAGTGTACATTATATATACTTTCAGGTCAATCCTAAACCATATGTACGTGTGTGTTTTGCAGTATTCCTTTCTCTAAGTGTATTAGGAGACCCTGTAGATGTGAAGTGTGAGAACATTTACAAGGACTTCTCCGACTGTGTCCTGGAGCTGGGAGAGAGCATGGACAACTATCAAGAGAACGTGACGAGTGAGAGGGGAGTGGCAGCTGTGTGCAGGTGAAAAAAAAACCCAATGTGTGTGCCTATGTCTGAATGTGTATGCGTGCAGCATCCATTTGCGTACACAGGATATCCCAAGTGGAGTCTGTACACTTGTATTTGGATCAAACAAACCTTGCTGATCTTACCCAGAGAGGATGAGAATAGAGCTGAGAGACACACTGGCCGTGATGTGGTGGGATAAAAAAAAGTCAAAATTAAACCCACTGATCTTCAACATTGTGCACATAATTGTTCTTTAATTTAATGTGTACCAAACAGTGCATGATTGAGTCAAATAATGTAGGCAGATACAGCATAAAAAATTCATCTCTTGACAAAATACTTGGGAGAATAAAGAGCAGATGCCATCATCTCTGAGGGAGAACAGAGAAATGAATAGTGTGGAGACACTGAGCCACTGTACTAAATAATTTATGACTTTGCTGCAGCAGTAATGAAATTCCAGGGACGTTTTTTGTCATTGTTATTGCATGCATCCCTACAAGCCCAGCCTGGTATATTAAAGACAAAGATTTACACATTCTGTTAGAAAATTGCACTCTTGCAATATCATCTGCGATATTGTTTCACTATCCATTGCAGTTGCCATGGTAATCAAAGCTCAGTTTGACTTTCCTGGAGCCATCTGAGTGATAGATCATTGGCAGCTGAATTAATCCATGTCATCTAGTGCAGGACTGACTGGCTGAACTTTTAGAGTGTAGTGGCAGATGCAGCATTGATCCCATGATCCTCTGTTTGTCACAGCCACTGGGAAGCTTTCCACACATGTGCCCTCACAGCGCTGTCCGATTGTCAGCAAGAAGTCAGCTCCATCTGGGAGACACTGAGGCAGGACTCCAGGAAGATGCGCTTCCAGGGGAGCCTGTTCGACCTGTGCAGCCCCAGTTCCTCTCCCAGCATACAGTCTCCCCTCTACACCCTTATCCTGCCCCTGACAGGCATGCTGATCATGACTGGATCCTATAAATAGGGGTGGGGGTGAGTAGATGAGATGGAGGAGGATGTTCCTTTGAGTTCAGTCGTCTGGAGTTCAAACTTTAAGCCAAGGATTTAAATGGAACAAATGTTTTAATAGGGATTACTTTGACACAGAGCCACAGACGCCTGTTGGGAGCAAGCTCGTATTTTTGTGATAAGTTATGTTTGAAATCTTCTCAAATACTTCAGCTTGATTCTCCCACATCTATCAAATTTCCACTAACTTTTCAGTCCAGGCTGACAAAAGCTAACGCTGCATGTATTTGGGAGATTTCAGCTGAAATGCGAGCAGAGTCTGATCAGACTGTAGTTGGACACTGTGGCTCGGTGTTACAAGTAAACAAGGAGCGGATACAATATCATTAACACCTGCATAATCTAATGTAAGAGCCATGCTACGAGAATCACGTTTAGCTTTGAAGAGTCGAATCTGAGGTCATTTTGAAAACTGTGTTTGTAAAGTTGTTCTCATCATATCAAAAACAGTAAGGTGTTAATGAATGGTGTCCTCTCCATGTACCATGTATTATGATGTTTCATGATGGCAATTAAATCAATGGTTTTTGGATGTAACTGTGGGGATCTATACCACTGTCGTGTCAGTATTTCTTCAAATTGAATGCCATCAGTCTGTTAGCTTAGCTTGGTACTTCGCTCAAAAGGTTGCTCCTTGTTAAGAATTGCTAAACTCCATATAAGACTTTAGCCAGAAATGTTTTCACTTTTAGGGGCTGATAAAGTCATGGTAGGCACCTAGTGTTTATGTGCTGACATGAGTGTGGTATCAATTGTCACAGCTACTCCCCTTGGCAGGAAAGCAAACACTTGATATTCTCCAAAAGACGAACAATTCCTTTAACTTGAGAGCTATAGTGTTAGACACAAAAACAAATATTTTTAATCTCCAATGAGCGTATTCGTTTTCAGCTAAGCCATCATGCTATGTTTGCTATCATGATACAAGGAAATAATTAGAGAAGCGTTTTATCTAAAACAACAGCAATAAATTTGCTTAGTTCAGCTCTCAGTCATAAAACCTTAAATTATCAATAATCAAAAGGACTAAACCAAACCACACATGTATCTGATGGACTAAATAACACAACCGCAAGCAAGTACACCAATTTTCTGATGTAGATAAATGTGAAATGCCTCTGATCTGTTTCAAAGTCTGGTAAATGTGTATGTGACAATCAAGCCACCTGTAAAAAATCTGATCCCTTTCCCTCCTCAAAACTTCAACCCACTGTGGTTGATGTTGCACGGCTGCTATAAAGACACCAAAAACTTACATTTAGCACAGCATCACATGTTTACTTCTTTAGCCTCTCACACAGAGCCCCATAGTACCGTTCAATTAGATGCCTGATCAAACTTTTACCTGTTAACTTTGGTGTAAAAAGAACTACTACAGTGTGAATGTTCTGTATCATTTCTGTTTCACCTGGTTTGAAAAATACAAGTACTGCTTCAACAGTACGTCACACAGTATTCAAACTATGCAGGGTGGATTTTAGGTTATCAGATTTTCACAGACAATCAGCATAAAACAGACTGAAGACCCTCAGAATAATCCATTTTAATGCCACAATAGTCCTTCAGAATATTGAGTTTCAAACAGCTATAGTTTATGAAGTTAATGAATGGCATATTACATATACAATTGCCTGGATTTATAAAATGTCTTATCAAAAAGCATTTGAACAGGGGTGCGGATGGCCTTGTAAAGTAAGCGCCCCCATATAGAGGCTATAGTCATCGTAGCAGCAATGGCTGGTTCAATTCCAGGCCACAAGCCTTTGCTGCGTGCCTCTCTCATTCTCTACCATGTTCCCAGTCTTTCTCCTGTTGTCCTAACTAATAAAGGCAGAGGTGCCCAAAACGTAACTGTAAAAAAAAGAGAGGCATTTGAAATCAAACATCTCTGCTCAAGTAAGATGTCAAACAAAAAGAGAATCCAAACATCCTGTTTTTACCTGTCGCTTTTGATCCGTCTATTTTGGGATAACTTTGGCATGATAAAACACAATTTTGAAATACTCATAAGCTTTTTTGATTTTATTAGGAGGAAACGATTGGGGCTGTAGTTTGTACTGTTCTCAATTTTGTGGAACATAAGCCAAGATATCAGTGTTAATAACTACCCTTAAATCAATGTGAAATGCTAAACTGAGTTTTTAGAAATCATGTGTTTTTCTTTATACTGAAATAGCCACGTGGAATCAAGAGCTAATTAGCAACCAATGAGCAATAGCATTGTTTTGCTTTGTCATTTTTGTATATTTCCTTCAGTGCTAAGGCTAACTAACAGGTGTTATACAAATGTGGATGATTACTGTGCTCCTGAATATTTACCCTCATCTATTTCACCACAAATGCATGATCATTTAGTGACAGTGCTTCAGAAAAATGAGCAGTGTTGATTTTTCCTCGGACAATGTGTACAATGGTATTGATCTGTGCATGAAGTTAGGCTAGCTCCTCGGTATATGCAGATTTATCACCTATCCACTCTCCTTCTTTCCCTCCATCAGCATGTTTGTTGCAGTGGTTTCTATTTTCATCTATCAGGAGTGGTTGCATTTCATCAATCATAGTGTGTCTGGTGGTGAGAGTACAAAAATGTTCTCAAAGCATGAGCAATACTAACGGTCACTTCTGATGAAGTAACTCCTATCCCTTTGTATGCTGTTAAGAAAGCATGATAATGATGGTGTAATCATAGGCATTATAGTACCACGAGAAATGAACCTTAATGATCATTCAAACATAGAGAGAACCTCTGAATGTAAAAACAGTTCAGTATCCATGTGTTTTTTTTAAGTTTCCTGACAGCAGAGAATACTATTTACAAGACTGTATAAAGCAATATATGGCAAAGTATTGTGTTTGTCATAATAAAGCACAGTGTTACAACATACCGCGTGTGAGCATATTCATGGATAGCAAAGTGCAAGATAGTGGTAAAATAGTGAAGCGTTTAATCAATGTGTAGAGTTATCACGCTGTTTCTCCCATTTACTACAGTTTCCATTTTTAGCCCCCCTTCCTGAAGCAAAGTGTTGGTAATGAGGACTGCAACCAGCATTTTTTCTACTCGTTAGTACTCTCCCATCTGCTCCTCTCCACCTGGACACATCAGCAGAAGCAGTGGTGGGAGAAAATGAGGAAGGATCAGGGCCCAGAGTGGAAACTTCGACAGATCCAAAGACATGCTCGTAATGTTTCTCTCATTAGAGGGCCCATCTTTGATGCCTGAAAACACAATAGCCTATTATTTTTTACACCTGCAGTTTCTGAACTGCGTTTTGCACACTCTTCCCTCCAATCTGAGAATTTCTCGAGTTTCATTGAGGAGCATATTCACAGAGAGCGTTGTAAAAACAGCTCCTCCCTGCTGGTGCCAACACCCCATGAATAAACCCTCAGGAGACAGACATATGTACACTTCATCTGAGCTGGTTTTGTGCATAATAAAACATGTCAGAGAATTTATTTACAAGATCTCTTGAGTTCTCTACATTTAAGAGAGTTTTAGCAAAGCTAAGTCAACATATGTTTAAAGGTACAAAGACAGCATTGCATGGGAGTGGTCTTTGCGAGAAATGATCAAATGACAAAGGAAGTTTGTTTCTAGAGAGCAGACATGCACTATTCCTTTAAGCAACTTGACTTAGAGGAACAGTTCAGCATTTATTGTGATGATCAATGCCTCTCCCATAGCTGTGCAATAAATATGAAGCTTAGCTCAGCAAAAAGACTGAAAGCAGGTAGAAACTGCTCGCCTGTTTTCTTCTAAAATAAAGACAACCAACAGACCAAGACAGTGCCTTTATAGCTCATATTTGACCTGTCAAATCTGTACAAAAACATAGTCCTGGGAACAAAAGTTTGGTTGGAGTTGCTTGACTGCATTTTTCTGTATTTTTAGCTGCAGGCTAAACTTAATGTTGTAAACATGACTCAGAGCAATTCCCTCTATCTGCCAAGGAATGAGTTAGAAATTTCAAAAAATAAAAACAAGGCAGGTCTGTCAAACTTTTCAGTTTTCATCATAAAAGATAATACAGGCGGACTGATTGGCAGCCACAGCAATTATTGGGCTGAAACTCTGTGTTTGACCAAGTATCTGTACTGATCTTTTATTTTACGGATGGCCAATAAGATTAATTGTTATAAGTTTGCTACTTTAGCTCCACTGTTGGTGTGTCTGCCCCTCTGGCTCTGTTTTCTTGCAGTACTTTGCCTCGCTTTATGTCCTGCCAAAAACATTATCTGATTGGCTGGCTATACTGTACATCTAACTGTTTAACTATTAACAACTATAGTATATGATGTCGAATGCTCAAGATATTCGAGCATTGTTTTATACTGGTGTTTATAAGATCCCAAATTCTAAATTTTGACACTGTCACTTCATACTGGTCCCAAATATCAGTTATCAGTCTCATAAACTTTTAGTGATCAGTATCACATTGGTCCTGAAAATCAAATACAGGTCAACCCCTCCAAGATACAACATGTTAATCAGGTGGATAAATTAGAGTTGTATAAATTTAGCTTTACTTGAAGACAACAGATGACCTCTTCAAGTTCTCTCGTCAAGCTTAACACCTGATGACTTATGTTTCATATACACCATATGAACGAATGAATTTTGAATATCTGTGCATGCAGACAAATGATAAAGTGAACTTACACACCACCTCAGGAATATGACTTAAAAGCAAGCTACCACATAGTGCACGCTATCAAAGCAGTGACAGTTTATCTGACAGTCACCACACAGTACAAAAGACTGCGGAATAAAAAGCAGTAGATTAAAACAGGGTTTTAAAAAGTCGTCACTACATGGGAGGGCTGAAATTATGTCTGAACCCATCAGAGCTGCACATCCTGGTTCTGACAGTGTTTCAGTAACAAAGACGCAGCCTGCTGTCAGAACACAGCTGGTGCTTGACTAACTGTCCCCCAAGTGGCTACCTTGTCTGAATAATACATCATGACACGCAGAGACGGAAGAAAAGAGCCCCTGCAGTGCAAAATGTTGTACACGTCTGACAAAGAAGACCTAAAATGAGCATTACGAGCTCTGTCCAAAGAGGTTCATGAATGATCTGACTGAATGTGAGGATTAAAAGAAATCTTCCTCCTGCATCTGGATTAACACATAGAGACTCAAAGTGTCACTTTTAAATACCTAACACGAGTTCAAGGTTTGACACAGATTGATAAAACAGTGAAAAATAACCTCCTGAATGAATCTCCAAATATGTTTTAACCAAAACATACTAACTTTGTAATCAAAATATCCTGGAAAATGATGGTCTTGTTTGGATACCAACCAGCAAGGCTTGAGAGATACAATGTGAGTTGATGTAAAGACTATTTGTAATTTGAAGCTGTTCCCTAATTCTTCTTATAGATGTGCACATAACCAGATAAGACATGTTTTACATCTCAAAATTAGGGAATGAGATTCGTATTTAATGTACTTAAAATAAAAACAAAAATGACATTATTAAGAAGAACATCTTTAGACATTAGGTTCAGAGACAGATTTCAACTGCCATCCACTTTCCAAACCATTAAAACATTTACCATGATATGCTACAGAGTTAATGCTATCCAACATTTATCAGATAGCGTTGAATAAATAGATCAGTTTGTCTGGTGTTTCACGGAGACAGATGAAAAATCCAAAGCCTACAACACACATTTGTGCTCCATTTTCCTCAAAAGTTGTACATAGCGTCCTCTGGGCAAGATTTTCCATCCACATCAATGTCCACAGATTTTCAGCGAGATGTCAACAAAAGTTTACAGGTTAGATTTAGGTCCACTATTGACTGGAATGGCCCTGAGCTCACTCCGCATACACAAGTACTCGCCAATGACGGCCATTAAGGCAATGCAAGCTACATTGACAAGCCACCAGGACAGGGCGGCTGGAAGATGAGCATTGTAGATCCAACAGCCGATCATATGAAAAAAATGCACGGTGACAGTGAAGTCCAGACACTGTTTCCCTCGGCGGACGAAAAACCACAGGCCGAGTGCGCTGTGGAAGAGTTAAGACAAGAGAGGTATTTTAGCAGCCATGTTTTATATGAGTTTAGAAATGTGTGTGGATATAAAGGTGCCACTGCAACATGCTTAACCTATCAACTTTACAGAAATAATATTTCATCCAGGTATGATTGTTTTTAGTAGACTGAAGTCTGTTGTAAATCCTCAAGTTGTGTGGATGAAAATGAATAAATTAATCATCAGATGTTTGAACAGCAGCATTTTAGCAACAAGTACTGTAGCTCTGATTCATTTAGAAACGCTGAAATATTAAACAAAGAGCTTACCAAGTAAGAGAGTTCAATATGAATGCCATCATTGAGAGTCTGCCCTGCATTGTTGCAAAGCCAAGGATCTGCAGAGACAAGTCAAAGGTTTAAATACTGTATCATGAGCACAAAAATGTGCCACATAAATGGGTCACATACAGGTGCTGAATTCTCAGGACTTACTTCATAGCTGAAGATCTGGTCCAGTGACTGACTATTTTGCACCAGACTGTCCACTCCAGCCAACCACAGACCCAGAAAGCTGTAGTAGATGCACTGCATCAACACAATCTGACACACGATAAGGACTGGATCCCAAATGTAGCTTCGGAAGTTACTTGCCATTGTAGACTTATGTTAAACATTCAGGCCCAAAGAATGTCAAGAGCTGGCCTCCACTATTATGGGCGGATCCATCCAGTGTGGCCCGCTGTGATCCTGAAATCTAAAACACAAGAAGTAAATGATGATTTCATGAATTAAACTTTCTCTAGTTTGCAGCTTTACCTTGGCTGGACGGCCTTAAACAAGACAACCAATGAATTACAGGTACTCTATTGATAACACAACCAGCCGCATTATGAAGTCAAGAACTTAATAATCAGCCCTCTCCTTAGCTTCATGACAACCAGTTTCATTGAGATCAAACAAATGACAGGTTCAAATCAAAGGGAGTAAACACTGTAGGTCTAGTGAAACTGCAGGTGATAATAGTAGATGATAGGAATGGACAATACAGCAAAATCATCATATTGGCATGGTTTTAATGGTAGAATCATGATGTTGATGTTATCCCCATTCTTTTCATATTTAGTTGACAATTTGCAAGGAACTAACCAGTACACAAAAATAAATTTCCTTTCTCAAATCTAAGTCTCTGCAGGTCACTGTATCTCTTTGAAGACGGCTTATTTCTCTGCAGTTCAGCAACTTTGTACAAAGTACAATTAACATTAAACAAGTACATTGATAAGGGCTTGAAGTACACTCAGTCTCAGACTTTTTTGAGTCATTAAAGTAAAAAACGAACAACAACACTAAGATTAAGTACTGGCTAAAATAACAGCTGTTTTATCAAGCAACTATATCAGCCTGTTTACTCTCAATTGTTTCTGAGGCAGCCTTTGGAATATCACTGTTTATCAAAATATGAGTGTATGCTACTTCGTGGGTGAATTTCACTTTGTAGGAATAATCAAAATGGCATCCATCTGTATAGAGTCTAATTATATTCTTAACAAAGGTAGAAGATGGTGTAACTCTAGCTGAAAAAAAAGCCTGAACTCAATCTTTGACATAAGATTCACAGAAATGTGCCCATGCATGATAAGTTTGGAGTGTTTGTTTAATCACCTCTCTTTAAAGGAATATTCCGGCGTAAAATTAATTTAGGGTCAAACACACTGTAACACTGTGTTAGACGCCCCGTCGAGAGATAAATGTTGATGACCGCTTGCTTCTCTAGTTATACCAATTTTAGTAATGACCGCACGATAGCAATACACAACAGTCTGAGGAGCCATAAACAAACCTCAACCAAAAAGCCACTCTATAGCCACAAATAATGCTCAGAACAGCACCTAACTTCATCAACAGGACATATAGAGTCCTAGCCACCAAACATCTTTTTAACTTTGCCTGGTTTCTTAAGCAAAGAGACTAAACACAACTCACCTACTCTCTTCCAGCAGCCGCTTGTTTGTAGTGAGACCTCAGGCCAGTCCATTACGGACTACAGCGGAGTGACGCAACTCTAGGAAGAACATTTATGATCATTTCTTTATCGTGCCTTGAAGTAATAATCATCAATTTGATTATTTTGTACTGCAGACACGGTAGTTCTTCTGCCTTAGCGTCTTGGTCTGATTGCATTTCCATGAACAAATGATCATAAATGTTATTCCTTGAGCTGTGTCACCCCGCTGCAGTCCGTAATGGACTGGCCTGAGGTCTCGCTACAAACAAGCTGCTGCTGGAAGAGAGTAGGTGAGTTGTGTTTAGTCTCTTTCATAAAGAAATTGGGCAAAGCTAAAAAGATGCTTGATGGCTAATGCTATGGCTGCGACCCTACATGTACTGTTGATGAAGTTAGGTGCTGTTCTGAGCATTATTTGTGGCTTTAGAGTGGCTTTTTGGTTTAGCGCGTGGCTCTCTGTATTGCTATCGTGCGGTCGTTACTAAAGTTGATATAACTAGAGAAGCAAGCAGTCGGCAACATTCGTCTCTCGAGAGGCTGTCTAACTCGGTGTTATGGCGTGTTTGACCCTAACTTAATTTTACGCCGGAATAAACCTTTAATATAAATGATTCACTGATTGTTGGGTGTCGTGCTGTTTGTTCAGCTCTTGATCTGCATCAGAGCATCAGTAAACATAATTAGTCATGTTAACATGCGAGACTTGAGATCGTACTGACGTATGATACCATCTCTGTCAGTTAATCCTGGACGAACCGACACCATCTGGTCACACATCTGTACTTTTACTCTTTCACTGTGTCATGATTTAAGCAGGAATCAACAGCAGGCTAACCGCAACAGGCTAACTAGCCATCATTAACCAGACTCAACATCAAGCAAAATCCAACATTTAAAAGTGAAATCCTTTCCTTCAAAGCCTGAAATTACATCCAATCGTGTAAAACCTCTTTAAAGTCTGTCTCTCCTCTCACAGTGTAACAGTGTGACAGTGTAACGGTAAGTTACAACAAGCCTGAGGTGACTGAAAGTTACCAGCGCACGAGCTCGATTGTTTACTTCAGGAGCAGCCGGTAAACAGAGTAAACAAAACAAACAGACACTTCATACCGACCTGGGAACAGGAGCAGAGATCTGTTTTAAGAGGCTGTTTGAACTATAACTCCATCGGCTGGTAACTCTCCATAAAAAACTCTTCAGTAATCATAAAGCAGGCCTTCTAACGTCACTAGACTAGTTGTACCTTGTTCACAACACGGAAGTGACGGCTGAACATCCGGAAGTAAAATCTTAACAACTAACCCATCCTTTCAACATAAAATGACCTAATCGTGACTGTACTATGTGATCGTGACAATTTATGACGGGTTTATGTTCTATAAGACAGTGCCATTGTACGGTGGCCCTGAAGGGAAGCCGACTAACATTACAGAACAGCAAAAACATTTCATTCATGTATGTTTTTTGCAAAAGTGGTAGATTTTTGCATCAAGTTAACTGTTGTTCTTGTAATACTAGGATTTCATTCTGAAATTTCTGCATTTTATGAAAGATTTTTACATATGTGATTGTATTATTTTGTGGCAGTCAATAAAATCTATCTTGTGGTCTTTAAAAAATATATATATTTGTGACAACCCGCTGCAGCTCTCGAGCTATCTGGAGCCCACAGTCCACCAACAGATACAATTTCTTTAAGAAAGTTATTATTGATGTTGTTATCATCATACAAAATTCATTAAAATAATTTTTTTGATGAATTTTCTAAACATCAAAAAAAAAAAATCATTATAAATGTCATAAAGAAGAGGAGTAGACTTGAAAAATGTAAGCTACATGTATGAAAGCATAGAAAGACATGGGCATTGTGAAGGTGGACTGATGGACCAGGACCCTCACCAATAAATGATCAATGATGGATCTCAATTTCAAGTGCAGATTTTGTTTGTTTTTTGTTTTTTTGTAAAAGCCATATGATCAAATGGAAAGCAGCTTCGGCTTAACATGAGTGTTCACGTATTACCAGGAAAAGTTGGTGCAACCCTGTCCGAGGCCCTTCCTGTCCAAACTACATTCCTAAAAGGGTTTGTCTACATATGACTTAAAGTATAGGCCTGATTTAAAGTATGACTGAATTGTTGTTGACTATTAATCAAACCATCATATCTAGTCTTTAGCCAGTTGTTTGGTTATTTAAAGTTACTTATGAGTATACTAAGATGTGATTAAGGCAATTGTGCACGGGTCCCTAAGGATGGGGCCAACCTGATATTGTTACACAGGGCCGAAAGACCCTGGTAAAGCTCCTGCAGATAGACAACGCATATACAATAGATGAAAATGAATGTAACAAAACTTCAGATGATTAGATTAGAGCTAAATAACACTGGTCAAGTGCGCAAACAACATTGTAAAAGTGACTCTGACGCAAATTGATTGAAAATTAGACACAAATGTGTTGACACGTAGGTGTGGCAAGGAGCAGTGTGGCCCCTCTTGAAGTCTGTTTGGCCCCCTGTGCCACCATAAAATCCTTAACTATTCAGCCTTGTTGTATCTTACAGATCCACAACAGACAGTGTCAGTTTTTGCAAAATTTGGCACAACTGTAACATCAGGTGGTACTTGTTGTTTTAACTGAATGTAAATAGAACTGTAAAGTAACAAAAGCAATGGAAGTTGCATGTGCTCTAAAGATGTGTAGTTAATTGTTCCACCTAGCCTCTCCAACATGCACCTGCTGAATACAAAAATAGATATTTAAGAATTTCAGATATAACCATTATTGTGTAATATGTAATTTTTCTGCAATAAATGAAAATAGTGATTAGAAAATAAGTTTGAGACATTTTATCCTTGAGTACATCCCATTTCACTTGAGTTTCTTTTTTCTCTGCTTTGTTAAACGTTTCACAAATGTATATATACAAATCAAAAAACTTTTCTGTTTGTTGGATTCTCTATTTTTCAGTCATTTAATGAATTTAAGTACATTTTTATTGGTCAAATTGGTGAGTGTTGGGTCTTTTCGAGCTTTTTTCCCCGTTATTCAACACATAAAAACAAAACTTGTCTTTCAAAAAAGGGAGTGTTTGTTTGTTTGTTTGTTTGTTTGTTTGTTTGTTTGTTTGTTTGTTTGTTTGTTTGTTTGTTTGTTTGTTTGTTTGTTTTCAGTGAGACTTTTGTTGTGGAGATCAAATCCCAGACCCATATATGTGAACAATGTTTCGTCACAGGAATAAACTCAACGTCAACATAAAAAATGATAATAATAAGCTCCGCCCCTTCCTATCCGCCCAGCTGACTTTCTCCAGTTAAAGAAGTGAGTTGAATCTTCAGCTGGAGCTTTCCCTAAGGTTAAACGAGAACTCCAAGAGGTGAGAAAACTGTAAAAACGGACCAAACCATCTCTCTGTTGGACTGATTCAAACATGTTTTATGTGTGACTGTAGCAAGGGGTCAGGATTTTACAGCTTGCCTCGTAGAGCGTTGTGCAACTTGTCTACAAAAACATGATTGATATGTATAAGGTCTCAGTGGGCTACTATAAGGCTATTCCGAGATGAGGCAGCCTATCATCGTTTGTGTCAGTATGTGTGAGGTGGTAGAAGGAGGCTTCGTGACAATTCTAATTTGATCACTTCACTACAGTAACAATTTCACAGTTTCACTGGTATCATCACACCGCCATGTGCCAGTAGATTCAGTCCTGCCTGCTGAGGACTCTGTCAATCCTAAAGGACTCTCGAATATCTGTCTTCAGTTTAACACCAGGGAGGAAAGTAAAGCAGGGCAAAGTCTGAGGTTAATTTCTAACAGAGGATCAAGTATTAGCCAGATGAAGCCTGGCAGCAGAGAGTGCTGTTCACTCTTAGGACAGTTGTAATGTTGACTATCTTACTATTGTATTCCCCTTATTTAACCTAACACTTTTGTGCATTGGTGTTTGATCTTTTCTCAATTTTCTTTTGGAGGTGGGGGCTCAAGAAAACAGCACCATGTTCAGAGCCCGTGTGATTGATATAACAGTTCAGCAGCTCTTACTGAGGAAGGTGGTGCCATGTGTCAGCCTATGCAGGAACCTGAGATTTTGGCACCAAACTGTAGGTAAGAATAATGTCTGTCTTTTATTTGGTTCATTCAATGGATTATTTGTTTATTTTACAAGCACTGAAATCTTTTTGTCTTTCCGGGAAAATATGTCTCTGCTGCATTCAAGTGAAGCTGTGATTGTTATTTATGTCAACATCTGATCTCATAAAGGCAGAATCAAGCTGTATGGCTTATATTTAAACTCTCACAAGTAATATTGGCCACATTTTTTTATATTTTTATTTGACTGAGTGTCTCATTGTGGAGGGCCTACAACTTGCTTTTCATGCTCTCCATGAGTCATTCATCCAGCTTAAACTGGTTGTCCAACTGAAGGCAACCTCAAGGTTTTTTTGAGGCTTTACAAGAATAACTGACTGTGGAATTTACTGCCTTTGTATGTCAAACTCTCATCTACACGAAGGTTGATACCTTCTCTTCATCACTTTTGTTTGGCCATGTTTGTCTTTAGAAATTTGATCAGTTAGTTGTGTGCTAAATGCATTTATTGTATTTTATTTCAATGCTTTTGTGACGGTTATCTCTGTCAGCCACTATAGCTCCTATCACAGTTTCTTTGGTAATACCTGAAAGTTGTCATATATTACTGTTTTAACTCATAGGTGGAGTGCGGTGGATGAGCAGCAGTAGACCAGCCCCCCTCCTGACAGCCATGCCTGTTCGTGCTCTCATAGATGATCAGATCAGCATTAAAGCACGTTTCCTGTCGCCACACATGCCAGTCACAGTGTGTGCAGAAATGCACTGTGAGGATGGTGACCAGTGGGAGTCATTTGCCCATTTTAATACAAAGGCAGATGGCACAGTCAACTGTGAGTCACACTGGGTTAAAACTGATTTGAAATTGAAACATTAGCTAAGAGAAATGACAATAGTCTGTGATGCATGGGATTAACATATGATCTGTCTGATCCAATCACAAGTGGACAGTTATGAGTATAGCTGTTTACATCTGTACCTGTAGTTTAGGTTGTTTACTGAGGATGTATGTTGATAATACATGTAAACACAGCTAATCAGCCGCTCTGGTTTCTATGGAGACAGCTGGTAGCTTCCTCCTCTCATTCTCTCTCTCTCCCCTGAACAGTGACCAGGGACCATTCAGTCGGGGGTACTTATTTGGGCTGTGAGCCGATGGGACTTTTCTGGAGTCTGCAGCCTGCTCCTGGAGCAAGAGAAGGATTGAGGCAGGTGATGAAGACGAGTCAACCGAAAGCCAAACAACACAGAATTTTTTGCATTAAGTCCAGCTATCTGCTGTCTCAAACACTTGGCCATTGAACTTGATGGATAAAGGTCAGTGTCCCATCTGAAATCCGCTCTCTTTCTCATCCAAAGGCTGAGGAAGAAAAATGTAGAGACTCCTTACGTGGTGCATTTGTGCTTACTGGAGGGCCACGTTTCACCCAGCAAGAGTCAAAACACCAAGCTGGCATCAGTAACTACTGAGCGCTGGTATATGGCCCCAGGTGTACAGAGAGTAGAGATCCAACAGAACGGTGTCGTAGGAACATTGTTTTTACCACCTGGTGAGCAAAGGATAAGAGACATTCGCTGACACATTTTAAGACTTGTGTGAAGAAGTGTCCTCTGAACAGCACCAATTGCACTGATGTCCTGCAGGCCCAGGCCCATTTCCTGCCATGTTGGACCTGTGGGGAATGGGTGGTGGACTAATGGAGTATCGCTCTGCCCTGATGGCATCTAGGGGCTACGCTAGCCTGTCCCTGGCCTACTTTGGGCACAAAGACTTACCTGGTCCACAAAGCCATGTGAATGTTGGTGAACCTTATTTTAAGGTAAGAAGGGATGTAGTTTTAAACCTTTTTAACAGCACCACAAAAGTTTCCGGTTTGATGCAACCAATTTTTTTTAACCACAAAATATGACATTTTTCGTGTGTTGACAGGCAGCATTTCAACTGCTTCGAGATCATCCTCAGGTCTGTGCTGACAGAGTTGGGATTATCGGGCTTTCCTTTGGAGTCTATATCACTCTTCAACTTGCAACCAGGATTGGTGTTAAAGTGAGTTAACCTTTTGAAAATCAATCACACATTAAAATCACAGATGCTTGCTTAACATAAACTGATTTAAAATAAAAATGACTGCATCCATAAAATAAGAAAAAGAAATGAATAATGATTTGGATTGAGTTTCACAAGGTCAGAATAAGTTCTATGAAGTCAGAATAAGTTTCATGAGCTCACTAAGTTAACGGTCTGAGTTCTCCTTTTTCAGCCATCTTGCTTGATCTGCATTAACGGTCCAATGGTGAGCAGCTTTAATCTCTCACGTGAAGATGGCCTGACTGGAAGTGTCGAGGGGTAAGTGGTGGTCAAACATGTTATATATCATTAAGATCAAGTTCCAGTGTCAAAGATGTTCCTAAACTTGTACTCAAATTCACATTTGGTGTAAATTGTGACATCATTTCAAAGCAGAAAAGTGTCTGTCACTGAGAATTTAACAACTTTGCCAAAGACTGAGAAAATATTTCTCTATCAATTTGTCTTTTAGAAACAAGTTAGTTTGGACGTACGATGATCAAGGTCATGTCGTTTTTGTCTCTGCGTTCGAAAGCTACCCACCTGAGACTAAAGTGAAGGTGATGTCAAAGACTCAACAGCCTCTCTGGCCTCAAACACAAAAGACTCATGTTTTAAGAGCACCAAAGCAATACATCCATAATTTTCTGCTTGTGAGAGAAGGTTAACTCCAGGTTAAAATTTTGTGTTTTGCAGATTGAAGACATTGAATGCCCCTTCATGTATGTGGAGGGTGAGGATGACGTGAACTCTTTAAGCAAAGAGAACGCAGACATGGTAGAAACTCTCTTATTGCTACTTTTTTTTTTTAATCTGCACTGCATACAATCGATACCAGATGCATTCATGGAAAAGTTTTGAACTACATTAATTATAGCGTCCATCATTTGAAAATCTTCATTTGGCTTGATCCTGTAACTTATCTTTGAACTTGACTAAAATGCTCTTTCACACTTATTTATGTACTTATTGGTTGTCATAGTACTGACGTTCTCTTTATCAGATCGAGCAGGCTATGAACGCTGCAGGTAAATCTCACCTATTCACCCGCCTGTCATATCCCGGAGCTGGTCACCTGATTGAACCACCTTATGCACCCAATGCAAGAAAGTGTCTCTGGAGGGTCAAACCAGACAAGCGTGAGCTCTGCACCGTTACATTTTTGATGCATTTCTGTTGGTTTCAATAATAGAAACTATGTGCAATACAAAATGCTTTTTGTATCTCCTGCAGTGTTTGTTCTGTGGGGAGGTCATCCTGCACCTCACGCTGCTGCACAAGAAGATTCTTGGAAGAAGATCCTGGCTTTTTTGGAAAGTCATTTGAGATCATGATGAACATGACTGTAAAAAGTTGAATGAGGGGAATGTTTTGGCTTTAAGATGTGAAGGACTGTATCAACAAATTTGCTCCTTTCTTTTAAGACTCTCAAGTGACTGCAAAATGTCCCCCCAAAAATTATTCGACCAAAAAAATTAAGGGGAAAAAAACTGGTCTCAAACTTGTCAACAACATCTCTACAAGGGAGGGAAAGTCACCCTTGCTAATCTTAAGATCCCTTCAATTGTCTGCTTAGTGTAGATGAAGCTGTTATGATCAACAGATCAGATGAAATCGGTTAAAAGTGACTTTTTTTCTTGTCTTGTGTATGTGCCTGCATGTTACATACTGCTATGGTTACTTTTGTCCAAAAGGTGGTGCTACTGGAACTGTTGATGCAGATGTGCAGCTCTGATTGTTGTTTGTTTGGTTTTTCATGTATTTTGTTTAGGTGAAACTGTGTTTTTATAGTAAATGTATGTACAAACACTGAACACATTTTTATTGAAATCAGAATTCACAAGTATGTGGTTTTTAATTTGCTCTTATCATTTTTACATTTTATTTGTATGCCATAAATGTTTATGCTCCTCAGTCAATAACATCATAAAGATACACGATTGGCGATAGCTGAACTTTCATTCATGATTATGTCATGCACATGCATGCTAACTTATCAGCAAGTAGACTTGGGATGAAGTTCATGACAAGCAGAGGTCACCATAGCAATGAGGGAGATAAACTCTTTGAAGTCGATCTCCAGGTCTCCATTTTGGTCAAGGTCTGCAAAGAGCATGTCCAGAGTTTCTTTCTCTTGAATTTTCTGTCAAACAAGAAGATATAGTTAATTTATTTTTAGCTAAAAGGCAAAGTTCTTTGCTTTAATCAGATGACTTTAATCCTTGATGTCACTGTTAAAAGCTGTGTGTAAGTCTTTGAGTATGAAAACTGAGTGAAATGCTGTTGCATCCTATTTGATTTTAGCTGACGATGATGTGGCTTCAGCTTCCTGGTAATACAGGCCGTTAACAAGAGAGGACTTCTGGCCACAACTTTTATTTTGTTGGTTTACTCTCTGTGTAACAACTTACGAAGTGACATGACCATCTAAAAGTCACTTCTGCATGTTTGCACTGCAAGATAATCTACCCCTGGTTTGTCCGGTTCTGTGTTCTGGGGTTGCATTGCAAGCCCCTGTATTAGGCCCATCTTAACTTTCTGCACAGCTAAAGCCTGATTCATCATGAACTCATTCATCTGTTGTCAAAACCACTTGGACTGCAAACAAGTCCACTTTTGCTAAAACTATAACAACTGAGGAAAAGGTAAGACTTGATTAAATATCTCCAGTGGCAGGAATCTCCTCGGCCACCCTGAATTTTTAAACCATATTTGGTTGTGCCTTCTAAGAGGTGACGCGTTTGTCAAAATACTACTCTGGTTTGCCTGCTGACAGCGTCTTTGCATTTCTTGCTGTGTAAAACCAGTAATGTTGGGAAAGGATGGAGTATATTTTTTTGAAGAGTATGCATGTATTGAGAAATTTTTTTTTTCTTGGACTTTTTCACATAAAGTTTAAAATAATATGCAGTGCAAAGTCAAATCTCAGACTGAGGCAAAATCGACTTAACTCATGTGCATATGTGTGACCAGTGAAAGGTGAAATGATTCCAGCATTGGACTGTCAAGTTAAGGATGGAGTAACTGACACGGAAACCCACGAGGAGGGCTGCTGCAAAGTTTTGATTTGCTAATTCAGCACTAAGCACATTCAACAGTGGCAAACTGGTGTTAAAGTCGCCACAATCATGAAAATGTTAAAGAGCTCATTTTCTTTAAGTTAACATACCGCAAACATTAGACTTGAAGGTGTAAAAATAACATGCCAGTTTGTTTTCAGTGACCTACCATTATGAAATGACTCATCTCATTGTTGATAAGTTCCTTCAGCTCTGCTTTCTTCAGGTTGCATTTTTGACCCGAGTATTTGTGGAAAATTCGGATGATAGTGATCATGCTGCTCTCCAGGTCTGACATACAGTCCTTTGAGGCCTGCAACAAATCATGTAAACCAGTTAACAATACACGTCTATATGTTTTACTCCACAAAAGCATGCAGTACATTTCTATATTGAATAGATTGTAAAATAGTGACTGCACTTTCTAACATGTTATCTTGGAATAGATTATAAATTAAATACTGGCATTTACCTTTTTTGCCTCCATCCTGAGAAGCTGCTCTGTCTTGTAAGGATCCTAAGTGCAACTGATGGCTTACCCAGTAGCACACTGACTGCCTCGCCCTTTTCACTATGGACACTAAACTGTACTGATGAACCACATGGAGGTTTCTCATGGACTACATAATGGACAACTAATGGAAGCAAGTGGTCAGAGCCTTGACCAAATCCATTTGCTCCTGAAATGTGTCATTGTTCAGTGATCAAGTTTCACCAAGTGTATGTATGTGTGTGTGTGTGTGTGTGTGTGTGTGTGTGTGTGTGTGTGTGTGTGTGTGTGTGTGTGTGTGTGTGTGTGTGTGTGTGTGTGTGTGTGTGTCCATACACATGTTACTTAGTAGTGTTAACAGACCTCAAGAAGAAGAAGAAGAAGAAGACTGCACATATCACTTTATCATTGGCTAAAAATACAAATTTTACAAAGATTTTTGCTGAAAGAATAAAGCTGCATATTGCCTGACAAAACAAAATGACAATATCTCAATATAAATTTTGAAATATCAACCTGGATACAAACTACATATGCATTTCTGTGCTGTAAAGATTCAGACAGATGGGACAGGAAAACAGACTGTTTTCATTTTTTCTTTATTTCTTTTGTTGCAACCCTTGAATGAGATAACTAAGGCTGAACAACTTAATATAATTATTTCATTTGTTGTCGTGTGGTGAATATGTGTTTCCTGGCACTAGGTCACCGCCCTTCCCAGACACTCTGGCATGCTGATATCACACAAGCACAGCAACTTTATATGGTTTATAGAACCATATTCACATGTCCCACACTAACGCTTGATAATAATGAAGACTAGTTCATCTTTTAAAGGCAAGTTGGGGATTTTAGGTTTGAGATGTGTTTTCTCTCTCCTGAGAAAGCATGTGTCATTGTTGCCAATCTAAGGTTTTAAGTTTAAGCAGGGATGAATGCCCTTATCCCTTTTACCCCCTGTAGTTCAGGCAAAGAGTTAATAATATTATGAAGGATGGCCATCCTGTCATTACTTTTACTCTGGACATTGAAATCACAAATTTGATGGTTGTGAGTCCAGATAAGGTGACAAGAGAATTTAGACAAACAGCAACCTCTATTTCAAGGCTCCATCTGTGTCCATTCAGAGTGTCAAGACTGGTTACAGCTGAACCTCAACTTGGAACAGCTGAAGATTCGCATGTAGTGTATAATTGTCCATACCTCTACAGTACTTTAATGATACTATTAGAAAGACACAATATTTATTCTTCACTCTACGCAGTGTCAATTCACATTCACACTGTATTGTTTGAAGTGCTCCCTATGTCATGATCCTCAAGATGGGCTTCTCATATTTTGTTATGTGAGTAAATTCCAATATATAATTTTAAAGCCTTTAATCATAGATCAGCTAGTGATTGATCAATCGGTAATTCTGTTATTCTTCACATTTAGGCTACCATCATTTGTCCTTTTAAGTCTGTTAATTCTTTTCTATTTACTTTTTATTAAGATATTTGTACTAGAATGTAAAGTCAGACATGAAATATGCTTTTTTTTTAATCAATCTTTCATCTTCACATCACATGCTGCTTGCTCGGTCTACCTCTTACAGTATCACTTTTCTTATCAGCTGCACCGCTTCCATCTAGTAGTGCACTGAGTTATGGGCTAGACCACAAACTATTATATACAGTGGCCCTGAGGTGCAAAACACAACAGCAAATCAGGAAACAATGGCAAAAGACAAAACAACACAAAAAGATAAAACACAATGGTTTATGTCCATAGATTGTATAAAGAATGAACGCCGTCTGCCTCCTCACTGGGTGAAGCCACTCCGAGAACAGCTAACTCAGGTGATGGGCTGCAGTATAGGTCATAAATCCCGCCTCCGCCAGCAAAACTTATGGAGCTGTGGACAAACTTTAGAAATTTATTACACAGAACATAAATTTTTCTTCCCCTCTGCTTGCGATGCTGACATGTTGTTATTGTAAGACTGGTTTGCGCTTAAGTCCTCTTTTTTTCTGTACATGGGCGTATGAAGATTGCGTAGCTCAACCGGGGGATACGCTGTTTGAGCCGAGCGTCATCACAGCCACTCTCGGCGACTCTCCCATCGAATGCACACAATGCTACTGCGCAAGTGGTGGAGTGCGTACAACAGATACTGCGCAATGTTGGTTTCAGGAAGTCGAGAAAAAACGCAGAATTATGGAGAGCTTTTTGGCTTCAAATCCGTTTACTGGCGGAAGGCGAAACCAAATTGTCCAAAGTATAAACAGTCTATGTTAATGTCAATGTGTTTCCCAATTCGTTGTTCTATTTGTAGATTTGCAGTTGTGTTTTTTGTTTTTGTGTTGTGTTTTCTAATTTGCTGTTTTGTTTTGCACCTCGGGGCCACCGTAAAAACATTCATAGAGTTATCAAACTATTTTGAATCATTACATTATCTTACTAAAGTTCTCTGTTAAGTAAAATATGTTCAAAGTACTATATAAAAAATGAGGCGCTACCATTATTTATGAGAACAAAAATGTACTGTCTAACATACTTTGAAACCACAATTCAATTCCAACCATCGAAGCCGAAACGTCGGTGTTCCCCGTGAACGCACCGCAGCTACACTTCCTGTTGTCTAAACCTCGTTAGTTAGGGGACGAGCCGTGTTCTCGCTGCTTGCGCGCTTGTCGACACCTTTAGCTTGTCGGCCTTGATGAGAGAGGAGCGTCCGCCCTTCCTGCGATAGGAAACTGACGTAAAGAAACCAGAGCAGACGGATCTCAGGGCGAATGAACAACGTTTGTTCTCATATTTACTGAAAGTGTTCACCTTTTTACACAGCTGTCTCTTAGTGTAATCAAACTGTGCTAAAAGACAGCTACCGAGGACGACAGGAGGAGGAAAATAAGCAGTGTGTGGATCTGTAACCTGGGGGTTTGGTAAGGTTTCAGTCATTCACAGGGTGTTGTGCTCTGCTTTCTAGTCTTCATGCCTTAGCTGTTTCATAAATTCTGGGTCAAACCTTGTAAAAACTCAGAGACCATATTCTTTGGGATGTTAAGAGCTGCAACTTTAACAGAGTTACTTGTGGTGTGAACTCAAGAGTCAAAACAGCTAACATAAAATACACTTAAAATGTTTTCCATCCTCAGACAACATCGTTATTGTGGTACATTTCTCCTTTTATACTAACAGATACTCAGCAGTGGGTAAGAAGTGTTCATTAGTCCGCTTTTAAGTATCTTATTTTACTATGAGATGAACCAAAAAAAGAGAAGGAAAAAAAAATTTGGCTCATAAATATGCAAACTTGCATTACTAAGTGTTATTTTGCACATCAGGCGTTTGACTTCTGCAGAGACACTGAGCTGGACCACATGCAAGAGTCAAACCCAAAGCCACATCCTTCTCTCACACACTTTTCTTTTTTCAGAAATGTCCTGTTTTCATTTTCAGGCTATAATTAGCTCAGTATGTGCAAGTGTGACCCGCCTTGCCTCTTTTTTTGTCTTCTCTTTCTCACACACTTGCACACTGGCTCCATCGCCGTTTTGACTGAAACCTTTAAATTCTCCTCTATTCAGGCATGGCTGATCTGCTAAGGCTGCTGCTCCGGGTGGCTGAGAAAGCGGCCAATGTGGCTCGGGTCTGCAGGCAGGAGGCCCCCCTCTTTCAGCTTCTGGTGCAAGAGAAGACCGGCGATGACAAAAACAAGAAGTTTGTGCAGGATTTCAAAACGCTGGCTGATGTAGTGATCCAGGAGATGATTCGTCATGATGTTGGTGCTCAGGTAGGAGAGGGCAGAGTGAGATGAGTCTGTCTGCAGTAAGTTGAATTTTAATCATACCCTGTCTGTTTGTTTCTCAGTTTCCTGAGATGGTTGGCTTCATCCATGGAGAGGAGTCTAACAAGTTTGAGAACGGCCTTGGTAACTACTTAACACTTTTAACTCTTAACCGTTTTCTACAGCTGACACACAGATCTATGTCTAACAGGTAGGGCTGGGCGATATTGTAAAAAGTTTATCACAATATATTTTTTTCATAGCAGTCAATATCAATATATATCACGATATAAAAAATGAAATTTTGTTTATTGGAAGAATGTCTTTTGCAATACAATAAGCTACTGCATCTTTGAGGTCTTTGTGTCTCTTCAGCATTTTGTTGTAAGGCGTTGGACTAGAGAAAGCGGACTGAATGGTCGGCTGTTTCGGCTGCACAGGCGCCGTGGGCTCCTTGCTCTGCTTGGGGTTTGTAACCTTTTGCGCTGCGTGTGCTCTGCCGTGTGGCACTGCTTCAGGTGGTGAAAAAGATTTGAGGTATTCCCCGACTTTGCGAGAACATGTACTCGACATGATTTGCAGTGCACATTACTCTGCTTCATGTCCGACCTCATTAAACCAAAATACCTCCACACCACCGACGTTTTTGTGCCAGTGTTGTCGACGATGTTGTCATTTGTTGAGCCTTAATCTCAATTTCTTCCGGGGGTTGCACTCATTTTCTTTTTTCTCACCAACAGTGCTGTCGGCTTCACGTGTTAAAGTGTTATGGTTGCATGTAGCTGCAGCCTGCTACACGCAGTTGTTTGATAGTTGGTTCTAATTCAGCACATGATTGGTTCAGCGCAAATTGGACCTGGAGCAACTCCCCTTTTCATTGGCTATTGAAATAGTCTACCAAAACGTCAGAATGCCGACTATCGAAAAGCATACTGACCATGTTTTATATTGATATTGAGGGAAATAAATTTTCGATACATGTTGTTATTGTTTTATCGCCCAGCCCTACTAACAGGTTACATTTTCTGTATGTGAGTTTTACAATATCATAGAGGAGCAAGTTCTGGACGCTGTGAAAATTTGAGCTGGAATGATTCTTGACTTTTCCAGTGAGGATTTAGCACATATATGGACAAAGTTAATCAGACGGCAGCTTAGTTAAAGAAATAATTGTACAAATTAGAAGTTAGGTACTTTGAAACAGGTAAAGAACATGCTTGTAGGTTTTGATATTTGATTGGTAGAAATATGTGTTTGACAATTTGTCTGTTGAAAATGCCAGAACCCGAAAGACTGGTCTAATTTTGCAGTTGTTGCTTTGACTCTTAAATATGTCAGTATTACAAATGCAACAGAAGATTTGTTGGCTGATGTGTTTTTGCATCTTCAGCTTTGTTTAACCGACAGTCCAATAACAGATATATTAGACAAAGAAAAGCAGCAGCTCTTCACATTTTGGTGTAAATCACTAAAATGTGATAAGATAGTTGAAGTTGTTTATTGACAATGTAATCAAAAGTTGAAATCCCATCAGTGAGCACATTGTCTTTCTTCAAAGCAGACCGTTTTAATCACATTTTAATTTGAGGGACACTGAACAGCTGGGCTTAAACTTGTGACAGGAGAGGGTCAAGTTCTGCTCTTTGTCTTGGCTCACACCAGCTTTTTCCATTAGCAGCGCGCTCTGAGTGATAAACTAAAATAAAGAGCCAGATAGTGACAAAAATGGTTATTCTGTTAGGGAACCTCTGAGAAACCCCTCAAAATTTCATTTTAAACCACCAGCCCTGTCGATGGCTCTGTGTAGATATTTTAATCCTGTGTTGTAATGTATTCAAATGAAGTCTAACTGTCTCTGGATGTCCAGGAGAGAGCGTGACAGTCACGGTATGCAGCACAGAGCAGGAGACGGCCACACTGCTCGCCACGGTGCTGGACGGCAACCACACAGCAGCATCTCTGTTGGCTCGAGCCATCCACAGAGACCCAGTGACCAGCGACGCAGAGACCGACAGTCTGACGGTGCCCCTCAGCCCCTCCGAGCTCGGCATCTGGATCGACCCCATAGGTGAGAGACAGTGGTCCTATGACTTTGTCTCAGTAAAAAGAAAAGTCTCAATGACAACCGTCTCGTGTTTTTTAATTCAGATGCCACCAGTCAGTACATAGAGGGCCGAGAGGAGGTGCTGGAGGAGGGACACTTGTCCCCTTCAGGTCTGCACTGTGCTTTGGTCCTCATTGGGGTTTTTCTCAGAAGTACGGGGGAGCCTGTTATGGGCGTCATCAACCAGCCGTTCAACCACAAGGACCCAGCAAGTGGAGAGTAAGAATAAGAAACACATTGGGGGATTCCACCGGCACACAAACATGACCTCTTTTACTGTAAACATTCAAACAGCTGTTACACTAAATCTATCTACAACTCCATATGGCTCTTTTTAGATTCTGAACAATTATATTGAGTTAAAGTTATTTATGTAAACTCGGGGTGTTATAAATGAAACGAACACCAAGGTCAGAGTTTCTTGAATAAACCTGATGAAGCTGAGTAAGTTCAGCACAATAGCTCTGTTTTAACATCTGAGCTAATGTGTATCACAGGGGACTGTATATTCCATGTTATATTACATAATGTGTGTTTTACCTTAAGCTGCTGCCTGTACATGAACGAGGATGTTTTGGACTTGTAAAGACCCAGACTGTCATGGAAATATCCTCAAGATCCTGTGTCCTCTTTATCTTTGTACATTATTTACCTTTTCTTTGCTCTTCCTTCTATTTTGAGTCTGAACAGATACTCTAAAAGTGAGATTCATGAGGAAATTGTTGAAAGTGTTTATATGGTGATGTGACTTAGTACCTGATGAGAGCCTTGAAATGTTGGAGAACTTTCCTGGTAGATAAAACTCTTGAGATAACCATCACCTACCTTTATTATTTGTGTTCACAGCTGGAGGGGGAAGCACTTCTGGGGGGTTTCCTGTGGCAGTATCAACCTGTGCTCAGAGTCTCGTCCAGCAGCCGGATCAGAAGGAGGTCTCACTGTGGTGCTGAGCTCCAGTGAGAAGCAGGTAGTAAAAGAAGCTCTGACCTCTCTGTGCGGCCCCGACAGGCTGATGTACGCCTCTGGAGCCGGCTACAAGATCCTTTGTGTGATTCAAGGCCTAGCTGATGTTTACATCCTCTCAGAGGGGAGTACCTACAAGTGGGATTCCTGCGCTCCTCATGCCCTGCTAAGAGCCCTTGGGGGTGGGGTGGTGGACCTTAAAAAGAGTCTCCAGTCAAGTGCTGGAGCTCAGGATCTGCAGACTGAACTGACCTATCACCAGCCAAATGCTGAGTGTAAAGGTGCAGACCGCTGGGCCAACAATGGTGGTCTGGTGGCTTATCAAGACTGTTCTCAGCTCCACAGAGTCACAGCTGCTCTGAGAGGAAAGCTGTAGTCCGAGAGGCAAATGTGCTGAACATGAGCTTTTTGTCAGACAGAATTATATTCATTTGTTTCTAAATAATCTTTATGCAAGAGAAAGGTAAAGTATGGGATGGAATAATTTTAATTAGAAAGATTATTGTCTTATTTTAAACCTGCTATTCTTTAAATGCTTGTATTCCAAGAAGAATGTCCAGTCTGTATTAAATATAAGTTTTAATGTCTACCTGGTTCAAGCCTTTATTGGTGGAGGGTGTAAGTGACGGTGTCTGTGCAATATGGAGCTAAGTATTAATTCAGCTGTAACCATGACGAAAATACCAGGAATTTTAGCCTCTGAATGGGATTGAAAGGCTCCTCTAACACTGTTGTCTGTATTTCCACTGATGCCTAAAAAAACAATAGAAAGTCGGCCGATGTGTGAAATAAATCTTCTGAATGTCATGAGTGCTTTAAAGGGATATTCCGGTGTAAAATTAATTTAGGGTCAAACACCAAGCTAGACACCTCCTCAAGAGATGAATGTTGCCGACCGCTTGCTTCTCTAGTTATACCAACTTGAGTAACGACCGCACGATAGCAACACACAGCAGTCTGTGGAACCACACACAAACCTCAACCAAAACGCCACTCTATAGCCACAAAGAAGAACAGCACCTAACTTCATCAACAGTACATATAGGGTCCCAGCTACAGCGCTGGCCATCAAACATCTTTTTAACTTTGCCTAATTTCTTCAGCATTGAGACTAAACACAACTCACCTACTCCCTTCCAGCAGCAGCTTGTTTGTAGCGAGACCTTGACCAGTCCATCATCGACTGAGGCGGGAGGGCACAGCTCAAGGAAGAACATTTCTTAATGGAAATGCAATCAGACTGAGACGCTAAGGCAAAAGAACTACCACTAACTAGCAACATTCATCTCTCAAGGAGGTGTCTAACTTGGTGTTATGGTGTGTTTGACCCTAAATTAATTTTACGCCGGAATATCCCTTTAACGAGGCACACAATGTGCAACAGTGCAAGTTCCAGTCTACATATACTTTTCAGAGTTCTATCGTTCTTGCAGGGACTTTTTCATTGTGAGTAAAATCAAGTCCCAGGATCTTTATAGGACTCTGGTCCGTGCAAAGGAAATGTAGTGAGTATGTGGACCCTCACCCTGGTGAGAAATACACCTTCCTCTGATGGCACTCTCAGCTGTCAGGCTGCAGTTTGTGTAGACAGTGTAAAGTTGTGCCTAGTAACTAAAAAAATCCTTTATGGAGGGGAGAGAATAAAAACACTGGTGCCATTTCTCAATCAAATCTGCAATTCAGAGAGGACTGTCTTGTGAATGTGTTCAAAATAGATTCTGTGTTTGAGGTTTCAAAAACAGGAGAAGGGAACATGTTCCTACTTTTGTAACCACATTAAAATCAAAATCATCCATCAATGAATGTGTCAGAAAAATATCAAGTTAAAGGTTGACTGATATAAGAAGATGGCTTTGGTGAGTGTGACAATGCAATAGGCAGCAGAAAGATGAAACCTTTTGTCATATTTCTTCTAAGCTCCTTGGTGATGGCCTTATTACAGCTACTTAAAGTAAGAAAAATTAACTGATCTAATAACCAATCATTTAATATTACACTTTAAATAAAGAAAGTTTAAGATACGAGTTCATAAAAAGGACCATGCTCACTGCAGGACAGCTGAGAACCAGGAAGAGAGAGGTCATGTGAATGACTGGAGCGGTTTTCTTTTTCTTGGATTTTAAGGTTATAAAGTTGGTTATGGCGTTTGTTAAGATGAAAGTATAGTTATTCCAAAATATGTAACCTGTAAAAGGTTGAAATTAGCCAAGTGAGACTAAAATCATGCAGTGTGCAGGAATCTTCACCTCTCTGAAACAGCGCCTTTTAAGGAGCCCTGTTGCCTCAGCTCCGGCACCATCAGTTTATCAGGTCAGAGCGGGTAAAAGCCATATGAGGTAAAACAGTGACAGAGCTCTTTTCACTGTCAGTTTACAGTAAAATGAAACATGAAGTAAGTTTAAAGTTACTATCTATGCAGGCGACCGGCTCTTCTGGAGGACGGAAACAGATTTTTATCACTTGTACCATTGGCACATGGCCTGACTTTCTGTGTTTAAGATATGTGTTGTTGAGAAATCATTTATGTGAGCTAAACAAAGTGTAACAAGAATGTGCATATAGTAAATAATCTTTATTTTGAAAATCAGAGAAAGCGGGGAAAGAAACCCAACAGTGATTTTTAAAACTGTTTTGCCAGCCAGGGAACTCGCAGTGTGATTCCCTAGAAAAAACCCTGATGATTGTCATTTTTTTTTGTTTTGTTTTTGTTTGTTTTTTTGCAATACTTCTGCATATTCTGTTGGAAAACTTTAAAGAAAAAGATCTTTGTGTGTTGTCTCTTTCATTGATCTCTCAGACTGCTACCTTTAACATACAGCACAGAACATTCTCAAGTCAAGGTGGACGTGTAAAAAACTGCACATCGCAGTCACAGCTATGAATCCAGTTTTCCAGACAGGCTAAATTTGAAGGAATTTACATCTTTTTTTTTTCTCTGATTGTCGTTTTACAATCTGAATCCAATCTGCAAATATGAAAACACTCATACTTTTACATTTGTTGCTACTTTTTTACAATTTGCCGATTTATTTTTACCAGGATTTTTCTTTTACACTTCCAATTAGTTAAAAGGAGGTGCTGTTTTAGTGAGCAATTACTCAACCTGTGTCTGGGAAACTGGATGAACAAGAACAAAAAAAAAAACTAAACAATTTGACACATGAAAAGAACCATGGCAAACTCAATATCCTGCATAAAAAAACCACAACACTTGCAGCAAAGTTTCAAGCTACCAGACAAACTCACATTAAGCATCACAATGCCATGAAACAGTCCTTACACTTTTCACCAGAGTGTCATGGTTATGCAGTTTTTGTGTGGTTTGTCACTCACCAAACATTCAGCTTCTACTGAAAGACAAGAAAACATCCGGATTAGCAAATGAGCTGTTAGCTTAGCAAGCTACCTCTCCTACTCAGCTTCAGCCGAAGGAGTCTGACGACATTTCAAAATCCCTGTGATGTTACCACAAGCTAACTGTGTGTGCAAATTAACACAAAAAAACAATGAACATAAAACTTTTCTCATGAAATGGCAGTATAGAAAAATAACCTTTATCAGTTGTGTTACATAAAGGAGCCATTTCACTCTACTCTCACTATCTTCACATATCAGGTGTAAACAATAACTGTTTTCTTGAATTAACTTAAAATAAAAACTAATGTGTTACTCCTACGCAGAATCCAATCAAGAAAACAAAGCCGAACATACAGCCGTGATCATTTTCCTAACACCTTCATGTTGTTATGGACAGTAATACTGCAGTCACCGAAAGGAAGTGGGCTGCGCAGATTTAAAAACACTTTTCTGTCAACCTGTGACCTTTTCACATTTTGAAATTGCAGAAGAAAGTATTGAACACAAAAATACTTTCTTGGATAAAAGTTATTTTGAAATGGGGCAAAAATTACGGTGTGGGCTCTGTGCACTCAGCTGTAGCAGTTTATTTAGAAACCATTTTTGTCGGTCGGTAGATAACTTTTGCTGACTGTCCTGAGCTACGTGAGTGATGATTATTTACTGATTTACAAGTTATGGCTTCAAATGCCCCAAAACATTGAACATTGCATGAAATGGCACTTCAATAAGTTTGACCCTGATGAAAATATTGTAAAATGTAGAACTACTTTGCAAACCAACTATATGAAATAGACACATTGCATATGTTGTGTTTTTAATCTTGTCTTACTTAAGGTTGACTGTGAAGGCAGAGAGGATCAAATGAAACAAAACAACTGAAAAATATTGAAAGCATTGTGTGTTAAATTAGAGGTGATGCTTTCCTCTGTAAGTTAGCTCAAAATCTGATATTGAAGAAGGCTCAAATGGCAAAGTGTTGTATGCTGTGCTGTAGTATTCCCTTTATCATCAAGTGTTGATCAAGTCGAAGCATTCAAACTGAAATTATGAGTCCTCGGTGAAGAAATAGTAGAAACATTTCAGATTTTCATTTTGTCACCCTCTGGATTTTCGAATCTCTCAAAGCAGCTCAGCTGGGGCTCAGTATTCTTGTAGTTAGATGAGTTTATAACAAAAATCAGAAGAATTAAACAGCTGTCTAATTTGGCATGTTTGTATCTCAATACAAAAAAAAAAGCTTATTTATCAAATTCATCCTTTAGGTACAGAGTCTTTGTGGCTCTTCAGAAGGAATCACATTTTGGTCTACTGTTTTGGAGTCGGGTGAATCTTGAACACCACCTTTCAACAGTATAACTTTAACTGTACTTTTTTTTTTAACATGATAGTGTTTTTAATATACATTTTTTTCAACTTTATACCAACTGGGAGCAAAAATCTTTCATGATTTTTATATAGGGCATCCCTAATGCTCAAGGTTAGTCTCGTGTGACTTCAAGGTGTGTAAACTTTACTTACTGTTTGCAGACAAACAACCGAAAATTCACACCAGCAGTGCACCACTTATGTAAATGTATTTCAGATGTGTTGGGTAGAGCTGCTTTGGATTCATTGTTGAAGTATTATTGGCTAGGTGCACATCTACACCCACATGCCACAAAGATGAGTAACACTGACAGAGTGGAGCAGCATGGATGTTTATCTTCTTCATGTCAAGTGCAGTGATCAACAACTCACTGTCACACAGATTCTCACCCTCTATTCAAGCATCACTCATTGTGAAACCAAAGCCTTAAACTTAGCCCGTACAAATCATTAAAAAAAATGAGATAACTAGGTGTGAAGACGCAGGTGAATCGAACATGCACTGGAGGATTTGGCAGGAAATTATAAAAGGAAAAGTTTCATTAGAGCGTCCTGATAAGGACTTCAATGCCAAGGCTACAGTCATCTTAAAGACCAACAAAAGATAAGGTGAAACAAGAGATAAAGCACCATGACTTCTATGTCTTTAACCCTTCTTCAATACTTGTATTCAGTCCACGGGCTCCTCTTCAGGATCGTCTCTGCTAAGACTGATCTGATAGCAGCCCGATCCACATGATTCTTCTCCAGTTCCGGTGTCAGCATGCCAGCAAGCAGGCAAGAGACAAACATGGCCTTTATTCATCGTGTCCTCTTGTTATGATGTTGACACACTAAGAAGTCCACACCCTTCACCTCTGAAAGGGTTTGCGGACCTTCTTCCTCCTTCTTGGGGGTTTTCCACTTTCAGCCCATGTCTCACCAGACTCAGGTCGCTGACCCCCTGACATGAAGAAACCTGTCTGACCTGGGGGAGGGGTGAATGGGGGCACTCCGGCACCAGGCGAGGGGTGATGAGGTGGACCTGAGGGAAAGAAGCCCCCATTGGCAGACATATCATTAGGAGGTGCTCCCTTGAAGATGCGGTTGAAGAAGTCCTGCAGGTCTGCAGGGTTGGTCGGACCTGGGGCCGGTTCTGATGGTGGCCTGAAAGTTAGAATTGGAAAGATGAGACATCTTTGGTACTGGAGTCTGAAGTGAAATGACAGTTTCTTTGTCATTACAGATGATAATGTGTGAACTTCATGAGTGGAATAAATCACTGGTGATTGTGCAGGTATTCAGTTTTACTAACACCATGTCATTCCTGCAAGGGAAGTCAGGTTATGTGCATGTTTGGACCCTAAGAAATTTTGCTACCACTTATGTTGTTGAAAAGAAAGAAATCACCCTATATGTACTGTTGATGAAGTTAGATGCTGTTCTGAGCATTATTTGTGGCTTAGAGTGGCTTTTTGGTTGAGGTTTGTGTGTGGCTCCATAGACTGCTGTGTATTGCTATTGCACCCACGTTACTAAAGTTGGTATAACAAGAGCAGCAAGCGGTCGGCAACATGTATCTCTCGAGGGGGTGTCTAACTCGGTGTTACGGTGTGTTTGACCAGAACTTAATTTTATGCCGAAATATCCCATTAAATAGTTTCTTGATAAATCCACATCACGATAAAGTCCTCATTCAACAGAGGGAAGACGAAATACTGTGAACTTCAAATGTAACTAAAAGCATGACAACAGGACGTCATCTGGTCTCCCTGAAAACCTGTTTCCCTTGAAGGGACATACCTGTTTCGTGTAGGGTTGCTGTTGTTTTTAGAACCAAAGGAGATGTGGTAGGGCACACGATGTGTGTCAGGAGAGATGCCTATCCTTTGGCAGCCAGCCCACTCTACAACATAAAAGCATCACAACAGGTGACTAAGTTTCCTTTCACCTTATTTTACACTCACAAAGGGAGGGATTTAAAAATACAAACTCTGTAAGGATATTCTGATGATATTAACCTGTTATATCATAGACTTTGCCATCCATACAGGCAAAGTATGTGATACGCAAACCCAACATGCTGGACTCCGCCCACAGGTCCCCCTCCTCAGCGCTATGGCAACGGTTGCATTCAGCACAGAAACGAGCCTCTGCAGGTTCACGATCCATCTCGAACCGCCTGCACACACACACACACACACACACACACACACACACACACACACACACACAAGAAGGGAAAAAGGACTGTGTTGAAAGTCTACTAAACAGGACGTGACTAAGCTGTGTGTTAAACTACAGTCTGTGAACATGAACAACATGAACTGTGAACAAACAAGTTGTTGAAACAAGGTTTGGTGGAGACATACTTGTGTTTGCCTTCACACTTGGTGCACATCATGGTGTTCATGGCCTCCTTCAGGTCATCCTGCAGTTTTGTGAGAAACTCATTCATGGACCTCGAGAGTTCGGTTGCTGCCATGCGTTTCCTGTGCGGGAACGGAACAGACTGGTTCATAAAACACTGACAGAACAGGCCCAAAGTATTTAACAAACTCTAAATCACTGTGCAGTTACACAGTTTAACACAACTTTGACAGAATAAGCTCTGAGTTAGTTAAAAAAAAAACTTTCCAGACTATAAATACTTAGTATCACTTCAATTATTATAATCAGGGGAAATAACATAGTGAGGCAATTCGGGTTTCTTTTGAAGTACAATTTAAATATCTTAAAAAAAAACACATTTTTTTCCCTACTCACAGCTCATACTCTCGTCGTGTCTCTGGGTTACTGACAATATCCCAGGCAGCCCTCAGTACTTTGAACGCCTCTCCAGCTCGTGGGTGTTTATTCTTGTCTGGATGCACCTGAAAGAGAAAGGACAGAGGAAAAGGTTGCATGAGTAAAAAAGAAAAAAAAAGAGCTTCACATTTTGTACATTAGTCATTAATTGAGGTATTCAATAGCGGTATTTATTACTCAGCCAAAGGAGCTTCACACACCTGGACAGCCAGCTGTCTGTATGCTTTCTTCAGCTCAGCTTCAGTGGCATCTACTTCCACACCCAGCACTGTAAAGGGGTCAAGCTCATCCTCGGGTACTTCAGCTAAAGCCAGCAGTCTCTCCAGTTCTTGGCCTGGCTGTCCTCTCCCAGCTCTGCCGGGTGATTCAGGGCTGCACGGTGGTGCATGCCCAACCCGCCTGAACCTACTGCGAACTGTCTGCAGTAGAGACAGCACTCTCTTCCAAAATCTTGACTCCTGAAAAGATGTCCAATAGCGCTTTCCCCTCTCCCCAGAAAAGCGGATAAACACGCCCTTTGCCCACTGGGAACTGAGAATAACCAAAGCACAGAAAAGTCTCATACAAGATAAGGCAGCTGTCTTCACCCACTTTGCTGAGTTCACAATTTTATCTGCCAGGTCTGATGATGTGCTTTTTGTCCACCTCACAAAGCGACTAGCATCTGCCTTCATTCCTGCTATATCTGTCATCTTGCCTACAAGCTGCTGCCCAAAGTTGTACAGTTTTATACCACCTGTCTCCACACCAACGCCACAGTTGTGCGTTAATGTCACAATAATCTCAATCATCATGTGGACACAGGAGATGCACCAGAAGCTCACAGACTCTGACAGCATCTCCTTGAAAGCCAAAATGAGCTGGTTTCCTGTCCGCCTGCGGCCTCGGTTCTGCTGATGGTGGTGGTGATTGCGCCTGCGGGTCTGCTTGTGTCGGCCTCCTCCTGACATAACATTGGCTCTTTGAAATGAGGAGAAAGCACTTTGGTTGCTCTGCTCTGAAAGCAATCCACTGCTTCTAAATTTGCATTTCTTTCCAGATCCCACATTCCGCCAGCCAGACTCCCCATTCATGTGCTGCTCCTTCGCAGCTTCATCCTCTTCTTGATTTATTACATGTAAATTCTCATGATCTGCACTACTGTCATTATCCAACCCATCTGAGGCCTCCTCAGTATCCTCTTTGGCCTCTGTAGATGCATAATACTCTGTCTCTCCAATTCCAGAGTCATGTGGAGCAGCTGGATTTAAGGTGTCCTGAGATTTGGGATAGGCTGTTTCATCCTCCTGCTCGAGGTCATCTTCAGTGCGTCTGGCCTCCCACTGACCAGGCGGTGTCCCTGAGCTGGAATCTCTATCAGGGATCTCCTCCTCAGCGTCTGGCACTCCACCCACCCCCTTCGGAGCTGCTTCTCTTTCCATGTTCCTTACAGCCGTTTGTTTGAAACGCTGCGAAATCGGATTCTCATCAAGAAGAAAATCCTGAGGGGGATCCTGAGGGTCAGTCTCAAGTTCACCATGTCAGCAGCAGTTCCTTAGTGTCAAATGTTTTTTTGTACTCCTCACATCATGTCATAACCTAAAAAAGAAACACAAAGTTTACTCTTTTTGAAATTCTTTCTTAAAACTTACAAGCTATGTCCAAAAGTTAAAAAGATCTCAACTGAAAGATAAGAGCCTAGAGCACAGTCACTGTCTTGATAAAAATCTATCTATTATTACAGACGCCATAGTAGCACTTCTTTTAATATATTTTACTGCACTGAACCATAGTAGTGAAAAATCTTTTTTTTTTCTCGAAAAAAAAGGCATCAGATTAGGGCTGGGCGATAAAAAGATATATATCAAAAATTAATTTCCCTCAATATCAATATAAAACATGGTCAATATGCTTTTTGATAGTCTGCATTCTGCCATGTTTTGGTAGAATATACGAATAGCCAATGAAAAGGGGAGTTGCTCCGAGTCCGCTTTGCGATGAACCAAGTAGCAAACAACTGCATAGTAGCAGGCTGCAGCATACGCAACCATAACACCATAACTGTTGGTAAGAAAAAAAGAAAATGAGTGCTACCACCGGCAGAATTGCAGATGAAGGTTTAACAAATCACGACATCTTCAACCACATTGGCACAAGAACATCGAAGGTGTGGAGGTATTTTAGTTTTTTGAGGTCGGACATGAAGCAGAGTAATGTGCATTGCAAATTATGTCAAGTACATGCTCTCACAAAGTTGGGGAATACCTAAAATCTTTTTCATCACCTGAAGCAGTGCCACACGGCAGAGCACGTGCAATGCAAAAGGTTACAAACCCCAAGCTGAGCAAGGAGCCCATGGCCATTCGACCGCTTTCTGTAGCGCAACGTCTTTCGACAAAACGTTGAAGAGACACAAAGACCTCACTGATGCAGTAGCTTATTGTATTGCAAAAGACATGCTACCAATAAGCACTTGTACATTTTATTTTTTCCTATTGTGGTATTTATCGATATCGACTGACACACACAAAAAATCGTGATAAACTTTTTCCCATATCGCCCAGCCCTACATCAGATCATAGAAAATATAAGGCATGTTAATACATATAAACGATTATATTCAAAATACATGTGGTAAAGAGCAGCAGACAAAGCCAGAACGCATGGAGTGACAGGAAAACCATTCCCATGTCGACTAGAATAAAAGGGAAACTCCCAGAACTCCATATCTAACAGGACCTTTTGTCAGTCATAAAGTAGAGATCGTTTACTATAAACAAATCTTTTAACACCTTAAAACTCCTCATATTGCTCAGTAAGAAGCACAAATTGTATAAGGTCATAGACTCCCCCTGACACCTTTGTTTACATCCAGAAACATTTGCTTTGTTTGCTAGCTCAGGAACACGGTGCACACAAACACGAGCTGCAAGAGCTAAGCTTACAGAACCACTAACAGTGAGAATACAGACATTAGAAAAAACAGTCATAGTATTTAGTTATTAAATAAACTCTAAAAAAAAGCTAGGCCAGGTGTTTTAAAGGCGGCTAATGCTAACTGACAGTTAGCATGAGGAAGCAGACAGAGCAACGATCCGGGGACCAACACTGGCTCGCATCTACCTGGTTTACCTGGTGATATTTCAGTGAAATACAGGCTAAAATCGAGGTTATAAGGAATCACAGCAGCTGTTGACGCTTAACCCCAGCAAACAAACAAACAAACAAACAGCTAGGTGTTAGCAGAAACAGGAGTTAGCTGAACACGCTAACGCTGCCATAAACGACTGTCCTCCTTCCTGTGAGGTTTACGAGTAAAATTAAACATGTTTTATCACCGACCGAGCTCAAAAAATATGTCATTATTCTGCATTATGTATACAAACAAACTAGATGTCATATATACCTCTCAGATAATTGTGTAACCTTGTTTGTTAACAGACAGCCAAGTGTCCGTGTTGTTTTTTTTTTAGCCACTTCTTCTTCTGCTGCTCCTTTCCCTACTTTCCTCACTTTCTTCTTCCTCCTCCTCCCCTTGCTCCTTCTTCTTCTTCGCTGTAATGTGAGATTAGATTTAAAAAAGGAGAACCTTTAAGACACTACTGCCACCTTGTGATTTGAATTTGAAGTTTAATATTTACAACCCTTATGCTTATTTTTATTTATTTTTTGTTCCAAAAATACATTTAAAAAAGAAATCCAGAATTACATACTATCTTTTGAAAAGCTGTTCTCAATGTTATCACCATTGCTGACCCTACTTTTTTTTTTAAGTCTGTAGCTTACATTATCACCATCTGATACAAAATACATTTAAAAAACATATTCAAAAGTATGTGTTAAAACGTTTCAGTATGGTTGTCCAAAGAGGAGCTCCAAAATCTGTGTCCTGGATTCCAGCCAGTTTCAAGAAATCTGAGATTGTGACTATGGTACCTGGATAAGAAAGGGGATTTTTGTTTGTTTGTTTGTTTGTTTACGGAGCTATATCCAAATTGAGAAAGGTTATATCCTTGCCGTCTTTGTAAAAGTTGCTGATACTTTTCGCCCAGTTACTCCTGGACTTCTGTGACACTTTGTTCATCTGCTTTAGCAAATCTTCTACATCTGGCCACCAAAAGGTCTCTATAGCATCAAAGCTGACTCATGTCAGTCATGACAAAGATTGGGAGTTGCTGTGCTCTCTGATCACTTTGTCCAGAGCATCAGGAAAGCAAAAGGAAAGGCAACTCTATGGTAACAACACCAAATGCATCTTACTACATCAAGCTTCTTCTTTAAGACAAATGGTGATTATTCTTCCCCCAGGTAATTTATAAGTATAAACAAAATTGTGATATCAATCAATCAATCAATGTAAAGTCCTGTTGTAAAAGCATTTTGCAAGTTCACAAAAAAAAAAAAAAAACACAACATGATACAGGGGAGAGTGGGGTAAGATGAGCCAATTTTCACATTTCACATCAAGGCATTCATAGTTTTGTCTCTAACTAGTGTATCTGCAGATATTTCAAGATGTTGTGCATCCCTGCAAACCAACAGAATGAGAGTAAACATAACTGTCTTGATAATATAGCTCGCCAAAAAATGTGGTCTCCTATGGTCAACTTACCTCGAGTATGGGGTAAATGTATGGGGTAAATTGACCATAGGAGCGGGTTGGGTTGAGGGTTGAGTTTAATATTGTGCAAAAAAAAAAAAAGGATAAGACAATGACAAGAATGGCTCAGCATACAGAGATTGTCATCAATTGTCCCCAGTAACACCTGCCATCCATTGATATTTTGGTGATCTCATTAAAGTGAGACTGCCCTTTAAATTTGCTAAGAATGTAAATTTAGGACAAGACTCAGAAGCCTGTGAGTTCATTACTTTTGCAACAATGACCGATCTCCTCCTTCTGTCACATCTGCTCAGCTCTGTTTCAGATCTGGTGTTCAGACTTGTTTGTTCAGGGGGTCTCTGACATGGCAGAAAGTGTGGGAACCCCCTACAGCTTCTGCATAAAGACTGATATCGAAGACATAGAGGGTTAATTTCAAGCCCCCACCACCACCACCCACATCTCCAATTTGAAAGCCGCCTCTCTACCGGGAGAGGAAGGCTCTTTTTCGGTCAGATGGCGTGCTGCAGTCCGCCCCCGTCATTCTCCAGCCCACACAGACAGGGCAGCCAGCAACCAATACGGTGTGCCGGAGGAGGATTTCTGCCAGTGATTTCAGACGAGCTACGATACGCAAAGGGGATTTACTACGCCACTCCGAGCCGGGGAAGCTTTCGGCAATAGATACTCGGGTAAGAAACGAATATGATTCCAGATTCGATGTGTTTTCGCGGGGTGTTTTCTCGCACATCTGGCTCAGGATCACTTGTCATCATTCGATGTTTATCGGGAAAAAAAAACAGATAATAATAACCCAAGTGTCGCTACTTTGAGGCAGCCTATATGTAGCGTGCTGTTGTCTCTTTGTCCACAGAAATGAGTTTGTGTTTCTTTACCAGTTTCACCCCGCGTGGACCCACCTGGAAGCTGTGACATCGCGTGGTTGGGGAGACAACTTTCTATCATTACGCAGGTCTCCTCTGTGCACATCCGTCTACCTGACCTGGAAAAGGTAGGACAGCATTTTCAAACTCAGAGGTGTATTGGGTGGAAAAAAGGTTTTAAAGATGTACATTGTTCCTTTATGGTGAACTTTTCTGTTCTGTTCATGGTGTTATATGTGAATACCTCATCAATGTAAATAGTCTTGAGCAGTTTTGGACATCTAGATCTTGTTATCATCTTTTCTTGGATTGATAATCACAAAGGATTTCCCCAGCTGCTTGTTCATATGTCTCTTTCCTCCTGCCCAAACTTTCCAGAGCTGTTTGCCATGTCTTTGCCACGCACACTTGGGGAGCTGCAGCTCTATCGGGTGCTGCAGAGGGCCAACCTGCTGGCCTATTATGAAACCTTCATCCAGCAGGGTGGTGACGATGTGCAGCAGCTCTGCGAGGCGGCAGAGGAGGAGTTCCTGGAGATCATGGCACTAGTTGGCATGGCCACCAAGCCACTGCATGTGCGTAGGCTGCAAAAGGCTCTACGAGACTGGGCAGCTAACCCTGCCCTTTTCAGCCAGCCTGTCTCTAATGTCCCTCTGGGGGGCATCCCACTGTTCAAAGTGGATGGGACAGGAAGTGGATCAGCAGGTGGGCCAAGAAAGTCTGTGAGCAATGGGCAGCCAGGATCTCCATGTGAGAGGGAGGACCGGGCGTGCCTTACTCCCATGCATAGTGGAAGCCCCAGAAGCCCCTGCTCCCAGGCCTCCCCACAGCCACCAGACACACACTACAGAGAGAAACTATCCCCCATAGATCCGCACTGGCTCAGCCCAGAGCCTGATGGGAATTGCAGTTTGGCTTCTGCATCTGGAGTAGATGAGGAGCCCCCCAGCCCACAGTGTCCTCTTGGTCCCTCAACATCTCCAAGCCCCTCTGCTTCCTTCACACCTGTGGCTCTGTCAGCCTGGCCTGGAGGACAGCTGGACAGGGAAACAGCAAGGGCGGTAGTGGAGAGCGTGGAGAGGCTCCTCAGGACCTTGCCTAGGTCCGATCCTACAGAAGTGAAGACTCTGCTCAGGATGAACAAGAAGATGGCAAAGACTGTGGGCCACATCTTTAAAATGGCCCCCCAGGATGTGAACAAAGAAGAGGAGATCAGGAAATACAGTCTCATCTACGGACGCTTTGACTCCAAGAGGAGAGAAGGGAAGCAGCTCACACATCATGAGGTAAAGGAACAACCATGATGTGAGGCAAGTGTCTGACATCCTGTAAACCAGTTCAATCAGGAAAAAGTCAACACCAGAAACAAAATACGCTGTTGCTTTATTGTTTTTATGTCATTATCACAGTGTCCGTCCCCCCTTCACTCAGTGCTTTTCCTCCACAGCTGATTATCAATGAAGCTGCCGCCCAGTTCTGCATGCGTGACAATGCCCTCTTGCTGAGACGGGTGGAGCTCTTTTCTTTGGCTCGGCAGGTGGCAAGAAAGTGTGCCTACACGTCCACACTCAAGCATGCAAGGTAGGGGTGCCGTCCATATAGAAGAGCGATCTGTTTTTCCAGAAGCCAGCTCCTGCTGTGTCTCAATTGTTCCAACGCTAATCGTTCTATAGAGTTAACATTATCTTACAGTAATGCTAAATGTCCTAGCTGTTATATTTAGCAGATACTTTATGTACCTGTGGTTTTGTCTGACTCATCTTTCCACCAGTTCATTCATTTTCTCTATGAACCGCATTCACATCTCAGTGGGAATCAAACGTCAACCTTTGCAGCTTTAGCATAATGAGCAAACGCCGGACTCAGTCATCACAAATCCCCTGTGTGTCTGTGAACTTGAAAACATGTTTGCAGAATTAGTATCATGGTTGCTGCCAATCTGCGAGTGCCACTCTTGATCAGAAATCCCTTGTGAAATATTGACTTTCTCTCATATTGATGTTGTATTTTTAAAGTTGGTTTTACTGTTTCCCTCCCATAGGACAAATGCAGATGAGAACAGCGTCCTGTCCCTGAAGAGAGCGAGACACGAGGTGAATTTTCTCAGCAGCACTCAGTGCGACGACTTATTGATGATGATGTGATTTTAACACATGACCCTGTGTGTAAACAGAGCTAAAGTTCAGGGGAGTTGTCGGTGATGTGAAGTGATTCATCAGCACTGAAATGACACTGATGTGTTTTAGGTAATTGTTCCTGAGAGTGTATCATCCCTTCTGGGAGTCGAGGGCTCAGAGGGCGTGACACAGAGAGCAGACGACGACAGCTTATCCACAGAAAGCCTTGACAGTGTGTCTCATGGTAAACACTCCAGATCATTGTCCTGCTTGTTTCTACGAAAACTCGGGGTTTGAAGATGCCTTTTACACCCGGGTCTGTGTGTTTGTTTCAGACATCACAGGCTCACAGTGCAACCAGTCTCCATCCCCTCGTCCACACACAGACACCTCCAACCCCGCCAACTGGAGTCGCCATCTCATACAGCAAACGCTAATGGATGAAGGGCTGCGATTGGCTCGGTTGGTGTCACATGATCGGGCTGGCAAGCTCAGTCTGGGATCTGAAGGAACTCACTCTACAGGTGACATTTCCAATAATGACTTGATAAGATGTTCTTAATAATGGGCAAAGAATAAAACTTGACACTGAATTTTGCAGACCTTTGTTTGGGTTCAGAAAATATTTTAGTAATGATCTTGGGAAGAAAGACCCAATACTAGTCTCTGCTTTCAATAGTAAACAAAGGAGTAGCAGCCGGTTAGCTTAGCATAGCTCAACAAATGGAAAAAAGTGAAACCACAGGTCTGTACAACGGTTCGAGACTCCTCCTACAAACATCACTAAAATCACAAATAATGTTTATTTCTTATTTATTGTGAACCTAAAAAATAAAGTAAAAAAATACATTTCTTACTTCACAAGGGTTGTGTGCTGGACTATTTTCTATCTGGAAGCTGTTCTACATCATATACATCATATTGGATGTTAAATATATCATAAATATTAAATAAACAACACATAATATGTTTATAAGCGAGCATTACGGATGCTGGTGTTGTTAGTTCTGAAACTAGGCTTGCTTTTTCATTGAGCTCTCAGTATTTTATGCAAGGCAAGGGTCAGTGATTACTGAGGCTGGACTATTTTACCAAACAAACAAACATGAGGGCAAACTCTGCAAAAAAAAAAAATCTTATCTTGAAAATATCAAGGTTCTTCTTAAAATATGAATATTAGGAGTGTAATCAGAGGAGATAAAGTTCATGTTGGGGTTAACTAAAATAGACAGGCAGAGACTCCTTAGCCTCTCCGAACAATGAATATTTCATGGCTCTTCGGCCTGTACTCTAGTGAGTCAGACTCTGTGACGCCTCCCACTATGCACAGCTGAACTTCAGCAGACAGCAAATTAGAGAGGAGAGAAGTTAGAAGGAGAAACAGAAGGAGATGGAGAGTATATAAAGAGAGGGAAAGAGTAAGAGAGGGAGGGTTGAGAAGAGGGGGGGGGCATGTTGAGCTGTTATAGCACTTCCGTAAGACCCGGTTACTGTAGCATGTTTTATGATGCATCACAGCCTCTCACAAGAAAAAGAAAAAAAAAAAAAGATGCAAGTGATCCAAGCAAGTTAGTCGTTCTGGGCTGAGATAGCCAGCTGAAGAGATGAAGCGAGAAGGAAGCCAGCAAAGACATGAGGGGGCGGGGAGGGAGGAGAGGAGGGGGGGCAAAGGAAGTTCTCCGTGGGCGGCAGAACCAGAGCCCCCCCTCTCAGCTACAACTGACGTCAGAGTGTGTTAGGTGCGTGGGCTGAAGGGCGGGATGGATGGGGCGTGGGGGCGAGGGAGTGGGAGGTAATTGGAGGGGCGTTGCATTGACTCACCAAGCGACAGTGTACAAAAATAAAACCTGTGGGCAGGGAAATGGCACAGTCTTTTTCATACATCTTCTCCCTCCGCCGAAAGGAGTGCGGAAACAACAAAAAAAATGACATATGTTTCATCTCTGACGTTGATCTTCCTCACTTTGTTTTTATCTCTCTAACTCATCCAAGTTTCCCTCGTCTGTGTCTCTCATTAATCTGAACTTTCTCTCACTTCCTGTCTACGTCACTGTTTTCTACCATAACTTATCCTCATCTCCCCTTGCTGCTGATTTAAATCAGAATATTCTTTTGTCTATACATTAGAATCACAAAGTCAGACAGTCTCCATATGTAACTGAATATGTGTTCAGATTTTATTCTTATGTGTTAAGATTTTATTCTTTACACAAAGTCTTCAGAAGTTATAATGACACAGCATGCTAATGTTTAAACACCTGAACACTAAGGGTTTATAATGAGCAAATTAAAAAAAGGACAGGTCAATAAATGAATATTTTTCACACTCTTAAGCATTATCTGCATCAAACAAGCACTCATTAACTGTTTCCAATCCTCATCAGAGGTATTTGATCAAGTAAAAAAATATAACATGAGCATCGATTTTTGCCTGATTTCTTCAATGTGTCTTGTCGACTGATTTGTTGACTTATTCACCAGCTCATTTAAACATGCAACACTGGACACTGTCTGTTACTGACAGCTTGGGTTTGTCATGATGAGTTCACTCCATGTGGGAGATTTTCTTGCTGAATACCCAAAAGTTCTTAAAACACTGGTGACATAGCAATCACTGTGACTCTTGACTCATATTTATCAAAATTAAAATGACTATAATAGGATGTAAGGTCATTTTAAAACAGTGTAAAATATCCTGTATTAGGAAGAAATACCAGGTTGAAATACAAGTTGTTATCTTGCTTTAATCTTTTCATTTTCCTGATTCACAGCCAACAGTATAGTTTTGGATATTACATGTATCGCTCGCTCATCCTAAACTCCTGCCTAGGACAGCTCTCAGTGCTCTTCTTATTATCTTTATTTCTTATTTAGCTAGTATCTGAAAGTATCTCAAAGTGACTCATTACATCATTGTAATCATTATCACCCTCAAACGTTACCTCTCTCTTACAGACATCGATGTTAAAGTGGAGAGGCGGAGCTCGATAACAGCATGCAGGAGTGTTAGCCCCTGCATCACCAAAGACAACTCTAATCATCGAGGGAAATGAAAAAGAAAACTTGCCCCAAATCCCGAACTCTTCTGCAGGACTCTCTTCTGCAGAGTTTTTCTGTTTGTACCTGAGTCACTTAAAGCTGATGTGAAGAGGATTTTGACCGACTACAAAATCAAGACAGTAAATGTCAAAAACGACCACCGGCCGACTTCATAAACCCCTGGTGACCACTGTTCTGGTGTTACATCCAGTGAACATGAAGTGGAAACTCTTTTTGTTAGGTTTTTACATTGAAGATATGTTCAGAAGTTAATAGAAAAATAAAGCTGTTTTAGCTATTTCTGTCAACACCATCATTTTCCATGTGAAAAATTTGACTCCTTAGGAGTGCCATGTTTCAGATTGATTTATCTCTGCACAGCTGCAGCAGGGGGCACTGCAACTTTGGAAATTAACTCTCCTAACCGACTCCACTAACTTATTGTGGTTATGTAAAGGAAGTGTTTTCTTTTCTTGCTGGAGACCTTTTTTTCCACTTCCCCAGATAAGAGACCATCTAAAAACAGTGTTACAACATCCTGAGCAGCTCCTCATCCTCAGGAAACAAGTGGATGAATTGACGTGATTTTGGAAGCCTTAGATTTTCTCAAATATTCGCAGTTTAAAAAAAAAACTTAAGTCCATGTAGGCGGATCAGGAAAGAAGATTTGAAGAGACATGCTGAGGTTTATGAGACATAAAGCCTTGGGACTTGTTCATTCACTCCCTCACATCTTTCTGTGATCATACTTTTTTTACAAGCAGCTGATGTGGCATTTGTCAGCAATGAGGCTTTACATTTTCTTTGATTATGTAAAAATGTGCTCAGAACACCTTTTCGATTCTCAGCAGCATGAAAAAAGTAAAAAACTGATGCTTGGTGGAAGCTTGTGTCTTAGCTGCCTCCTGTGACAGTGAGCTTAGGTTTTGAGTAGCCCTGCAAGACCTTGCTAAAGAAAACTTGGCTCAACATTTGAGGGAATTGCATTCAAAGTTTCAAGAAAGATGTTTTTTCAACAAAGGATTACTCAGTGAATAAGTCAATGCTTCAGATTTGACTAAGGTGCGGCAGATGTTTGGAATTTGAGCCTTATGTGAAAAATTTCAGTTTTTCCGACCCTGAAAGGCTCTCTGAAAATTTGCGGGATTTATCTTTCTGGACTTTCTAAATTTTTAAAAAATTTCAACAAAAAAACTTTAACAGGTTTCCACAAAGATTGCCAAGGTCCTTGACTCCGGTTTCAGCAGCTCTTACAATTTACATCAGTGGCCTAGTGCAAAGTGTATTCATTTTTTTAATGACAAATTTCATGTTAATAATGGTTCAAAATGTGACATTTTTGTAAACCTAACAAGTCTTTCAGTGAGGTAGCTTGCAGTGCATCACTCACATCTGCCTGTCTCTTGAGCATTAGTAACATACTCAGTTTATTATGTTGCATAACAGATTATTTATTTTGTTACATCTCAATAAATGTTATTTTATTTCTTAAAGCCTGAGAGTGTTGCATTTTTCCCCTCGAAGTGTAGTCAGTACAAGTCTTCTTTTTTTCTTGGCAGTTCTTTGATGTGTGGAAGAGGCTGCAGGAGCTGCGTCACACAGCCAGCAACACCTCTGCTGTCGTTTGTAGCACTGACGCTTCACACCAGGCTTCGAGTCAGGCATGACTCACCTGTACCAGTGGTGTCATCAGCACTCATCCACACACTTGCCAACAAACTCACTTGAATGATTTGACATTGTACAAAACAGTCGTATGAACATAATCCCCCGAGGATATCGAAGGAGTCAGTTGAAAGTTAAAAAATGTATAGTGAGTTTACCCCAGCGCTTTACTGTTTGTGAATCGCAGAATCAGAGTTAGTTTACAATCTGTTAGACTTCCAGTGATATAAGTCTGTGCTGCATCAGGTTGCAACATTTTCTGCCTATTTATCTGTTGGTCAGATGACATTTTCTACAACATTCTGGGTTCCCAGAGGATGTATCCTGCTGTCTTTCATGATCATGTGTTTTTTTAACTGACATTTTTGTTTTTTACTGGAGGATCTGAACAGAAAACTGATGGACTGACATGTAATTTCTTTTTTCTGGTTATGATCCCAAAGAAATGGTTGAAAAAGTAGCATTACCATTTACTCCAAATAAGTAACACATTCAGAGTTATATTTTTGAGTCTATATTCATCCCAGACTTCTCCTCAGAGACAAAGAGCAGAGCAGCAGGCCGCTGATCAGATGACAGCAGGGTGTCCATTAAGGAAATCTTATTATCTACAATCAAATCATTGATTTATTCAAAAAGGATGAATAACAGCCTAGCAGTCAGACTTCATCTATATATTTTTTAAAAATTGTCCTGTAATCAGCTGGATCGTATGAAGCATTGGAAAATATTTTTCCTTTTAACTTATCTCCTGATTTCTTTCAAAGATGTCTTAAATAGTGCCTGCAAATCAATTCTTCAAAATGCCAATCATATACAGTACATTTAAAATGATGCATACAAATGTTCTGCTACAAAAGGCGTAAAATAGTCATCAGTCAAGGATGGCCAAGTACATCCATAGCTTATTAACCTATTAACAGCTGCAAGGTGAGATGAGACTGATGTGACAACAAGAGAACTGGATACACTGTACTCAACGCTGAGAGAGAGCATGAAGGTAAACAAATACTTCAGTTATAGATTTATCTTTTCAAATAGTCATTCAGATCAAATACCCCAAAATATGTCCATGACTGCCATGATTTGCCTTTTTCTAACTAATTGCTATCATGCAAAAGGTTAAATAAACAAAACTTCATCAATTTTCCATCCAAAGAAACACTGTGCCAAGAGCTGTTGTTACATAGACTCATGTTCAAATAGTGTGGGCCAATTACTCTTCAATGTGATCAGTTTATTCTATTAATTAATATCTCCAGACAGCTGATTTATTTCCAGTTACATGTGAGCCATCACTATCAAAGATTTATGTCTATTACATGTTGTAGAGTAGTGTCGTTGCTGTCCGAGCATTACAGTGATACAAAGTGAAACAGCTATTTTCGACAAGCCCATATTTTCTAATCCTGTAAAGAAACCTTACATTCAAGTATCCTGAGGAGGATCATCCTCTGTTCTGATGTGCACAACATGTCCAACAGTTTGTTCAGAAAGTAGGAATGTAATCAGTTCTCCTTTAGTTAAGGTTAAAAACATCCAAAGGCAAACAACATCCATATAAAAACAGGTCAGCTCTGATGTTTTCCCTAGAAAACAGGTTCACCGAGTTATACCTGATCATCACTGTACAGAGTAGAAGAAGAAGAGTCAGTTCAGGTGACGTGCGTGTAAAGATGTCTCAGGAAATCTCCTCTTGTGGTTGTGTCTCCAGGAAAAACTGCATTACAAAACTCACAAGTATGTGACTGCAGCGCCACATCTGACATCAGCATCCCACTGGACGGGCACAGGAGGTCCCCGGGTAAGGTGGGACCTTCTGACATAGGCATCTGACACAAACAAAAAAGTACAAGTTTGTGACATTTATGGACAGAGAATAGAGTCAAAATACAGTCACAGATTGGAAAACTCATGGCCAAAGGTACTTACCATCACAGTGTGCATCATCTTATAATGATCTGCTGGACCTGGGTTTTTGGAGACATTGGAAGAGGTTCCCTGCAACCTTAAGGAGTCCACACTTCGCAAAGGTGCGATATTTTGTTCCAAGTTCCCATTCTCCTTCGTCTGAGAAGCTAAATCCATGCAGAGCCCGGACATGTCTGCAGCCAGGAGATCAGAGAAAGTCCCTTCATTTCTGGAGAGTTCATCATGGTTGCACTGAGCTGCAGGGTTGTGCGTAGTGGCAGTTAATTGTTCAGGTTTTTCTCGGAGACAACCCGGGGTTTCTTGGACAGAATGGACGGGTATGGACATCAAATCATGCTCTCTATCAGGAGCAGCAACACCTAGAAATGAACGTTTTTAAATATGTTAGGATAAATACTCTTATACTTTTATGAGCATTGGTACAAGAATACTTTTTATTATAAGCACCTTGCTGTTTCTGTAGAGCAGCTGTGAGCTGATGTAGCAGAGCTGCCTGTCTGAGGCAGAGGGACCTCAGGCGGAGGAACTCCTGGTACAGCTCAGTGTACGCTTCCTCCATCTCAGCAGCTCAGAGATCTGCAGCTGTTCAGCAGAATTATTACAATGTACTCTAACAGATGGTGAAACAGAAACTAGACTTAAATAGAAGTAGCTAAATAGAGATACCAGCATGCTGACATGCTCATGAATAGACTTCATTAGTTTTTAACCTTTTGATCGCACTAGATAAGTTTACTCAAAGCAAAGTTAGAGAAGTTTGTCATCAATAATCTTTTAATACCTGTAGAAGAGTTATCCTAAAGTTGAGAAGACATTTTAATTGCAACATAAATATATTCACAAATTGTTACCCAAGTCCATCTCTCATATGATACTGAAGTAAATTAAGAGTCACACTGACCATGAAACATGCTAATACTTATTGTGACAGCTGCAGTGGCTGAACTACTTACTACTTTGAAAAATTCAGGACTCCTCCTCATATCTCACATCTCACAAAGAGGTTTTCATGGGTTTTCTCCCATCCGGTCTCTTCCATCTTCATCAATCCTCCTGTAATTGTCAAGAAGTCACCTAATCTTAGATGTAAATCCAAATTCGAAGCATATTTACTCCACAGCCTGTTTGTTCTCCCGTAGGCGGATGGAAATAATGCCCTTCTCATAACCACGCAAACTGGACTGGACAACGTCAAACATGAGGAAGTAACTGTTGAAAACAGGGAAGTGAAATCTAGTTTACATAAAAAGGAACCTCTTAAGCACTTGTTTAAACTTAGTTTCACAGTGTGACAAACAGTATGTTTCACCATAAACCCCAAAGAGAAAATGTCAGGCTCTATTTTTTACTATCAATGTTGTTGTTTTTTTTACATTATACATTATTTAAAACCCAATGATTTTGCCCTTTACTTTTCCACTTTAGTTTTAATGTGGGATGCCTTGCAGAGCTTCTTGGGTGAATTTCTGTGATTTCAAGTTTTTAAAACTGTGTTGTCAAATAGAAAAGTGTGCATAAAGTTTTAAAATGTTTGTGAATTTGTTTTTTAAATCATTGAAGGTGCTGCAGATAAATGTAAGTTCACTATGCCAGGTAACAAGAAACTGGCCACTGTCATATTCAGTAGACATAACGCAGGGAAGAGTGGGGTAAGATGAGCCGTTTTTTAATATTTCCGATCGTTACATTAAGGCAATCATAGTTTTGTCTCTAACTAGTATATCTGCATATATTTCAAGATCTTGTCCATCCCTGCAAACCAACAGAATTAGTGTAAACATAACTGTCTTGATAATATAGCACGCAAAAAAAGCAAATATAGCAAAAAAAAAGTGGTCTCCTATGCTCATCTTACCCCGTGTATGGAGTAAGTTGACCATAGGAGTAGGGTAAGTTGAGTTGTATCCCTACTAATTCTAATAAAACTTATGACAGACTAAATTCACTTTCAAGAGTGAAGAATGTTTTTTGTAAATAAATGTCTAACCACTTCACCCATGTGCTTCTAACCTTCACAGACTCCATGAATTGATGCCCATCTCCTAAACATTTGGTCACATGATCAATTTCTTTTACCATTTCCAAGCAACAGGGGGTGGCTCAACTTACCCTTTGGCTCAACTTACCCCACTCTCCCCTATGGGTACTCAAGCACAGGAAGGTCAGCCTTAAAATATTGTGGCGACCCTGGATAGTTGCCTCTCAGTTGGCCCATTAGTTGTAGCAAGGCCGTATGGGAAGTTGTTGTAAACACTTAAAGCTTGGGTTTGTTGTTGTTGTTGTTGTTGTTTTGTTCATTTACTAGTTTTATGGTGTTTTCCAGCTGTGGGTTATAGTTGCATTTCCAGAGGTCAAGATATGACTGTTGTATCTGTGCAATTGACAATAAAAACACTTGTTGAACGATTCCTGTATTTGTATTCCCCATTAAAACTCAGCTCTGCCATAATATGCTTATGAAGAGTTATAAAGAAAGTACACGCTGGGTGCATAAACGACTGCAAAGTGTAAAAACATGACCCCCTCCAGTAAAGCGTACAAGACCTATGAGTCAGTTCGACTTTCTATGACACAAAGAGAAAGATTTGGAAATAACATGAAACTTAGTCAACTCTTCAATGGTCTTCAAGTTTCTGCTCTATGAAAGCAAAAACAGAGACTCAGCTGTTTTTTGTTTGTTTGTTTGTTTTTTTGACAAGGATCCATTTGACCTAAAGTGAATCGTCAACTTACCGGCTCGGTTTCATTATAAAAAAAAATGAGGAACTCAGATGAAAATAATTTCGGTTTCTGCCCTTTCCTTCGGTCGGTCACTCTCAGTAGAAACCTCAAACACAGCAGCTGAGATGGGTCGCGATAAGGACCAAAACTGTCTCAATTTTTTCTTTTTTGCGGCCCAAACGGATCCGCGTTTTACTTTGGTGACGTCATTAGCCAGACTCTGCCTGACCTGAAACACCTGCACAAACACACGTCCTCCACAAGAGTTTACCTTCAAAATAAAATACCGGAAGTATGAGAATAAACTTAAATCTACCCCGGCTAATAAAAGGAGGATTTCATCATCTGCATGTTTTAAAGGCAAACTACAGTAGGTCTTTGCAGCAACAAAAACCTATGCCACAGAGACATGGGTTGGCTTCCACACTGTTTATTCTTTAGAGAATTACTCGTGATCAATATATTCTACAGAGGTAATGCGTATATTAGACAAAAGCTGACAGCATCGAGAAATTCTTAACCTTTTTTGTTGTTGTTGTTGTTTTCATTTTTTTTTACTGTAAAACTCTTTTTGTGTGTAGATCCTCTGATGCCATCACTCTGATTTGTCTTGGTCTTTGCTGTTTAATTTTGTGTAGCCTGCCATTTCTTTTGTATGGTGGCCGAGAACGACCACCGCTGCAAATAAAAAAAAAGAAGTCACAACGGAAGTTACCGATGCAAAAAAAGAAACTGAAGCCTGCTGCAAATAAAAAAAGAGACGGTGCAGATAAAAAAAAAAAAAAGCCACAACGGAAGTCAACGACAAAAAAAAAGTGGCCATGGAAAAAAAAAGTTACTGCAAAAATAAAAGGATGCAAATAAAAAAAAGCCACAACGGAAGTGAGCTACCGGGGACCAATAATGATGATGCACCGGTGTTTTACGATCTAGGCACAGAAGACGACAGCGAGAAGACGAGGAAAGAAGTAAGTGGAAAGGTTATTGTTTAATTTCGCTTCATGTGCTTTTCAATGTGTCATTTGGTTAGGCCATGTTGTGCCTGAGTCGATATGAAGTTGAACTGAAGCTAACACTACACCAGCATCCTCCAGTTTGCTGCAGTGGTGGTTCTCAGCCACTGTACTTTTCCTTACATGTAATCCTCGAACTTGTGTTAAAGTACATTTTAAGTATTATCGTACATTTTCATTATATCTTCAAGCTAGTTGAATGCCATATGTTGTGAAATTAGTTCTCATTGTTGATAGATTATTATTTAGCATTTCCAGGCACCACTGCAAGCTTGGCAACAACCTCAGCATTTGTCATGCACTGCCAAGATACATATTTAACAAAGCAGCTAAAAGACTATTTGATTATATTATATTTTCAATTATAAGTGTTTGGCCTCCTCCAATTTGGTCTTTTACAGTCACCAGCAACAGATAAAAGAACACTAGGCTCCAAATAGCTGCTTGATACTATATTAGGTATTTTTTTGAGCTTATAGGTACATTTGTAGTAATTGGTGGCTGGACAGACTTAGCAGAAAGGTGTACAACCTAATATATTTTATACTTCACCTAAGTATAAAAATCCTTTTCTTGATTTAAAAAAGGTCTTTCATATCTACATAAGACCAGGTCCCCTTCCCTGGATGCCACCACAGAATTAACCCAGTTTATTTGATTATAGTAAAAACTTATCAAATAACATACTTTGCTTCATATCTGGAACTTCACCAATAGGAAATCCGAGCAAAGGAGGGTTTTAATCTATAATCTGAACACAAGATATCACCAAATAATCCAAATAGATACTAATAAGCAAAGTGAATAATTAAGCGAACCATTTTTAAGATAATTATTTACTGTCACCACTGTAGTTTGTACTGTATGTCCACTTTCATACACATACATGTGCTGTTTTTAAGGATGATACAATGACACTTGGTGCAAAATGCTAATGCTAACACGCAGTAGTGATGATGGGAACAATTTGACACTAAGAAGAAGCAGCTGGTGGACTGAGCCGCTATGAAGGGAGGAGAATGTTTTGTCATGATTAGTCCTGTATCTTAAGGCACGTAATCTCTGTGTGTGTGTGTGTGTGTGTGTGTGTGTGTGTGTGTGTGTGTGTGTGTGTGTGTGTGTGTGTGTGTGTGTGTGCGTGCGTGTGCGTGTGTGTGTTTGGCATCATGAGTGTTCAGTCATGTGTTTTCTGTGACTGATATTTATTTAAAAATAGACCAACATTAGGGGGCAGGGTCTCCTGGGTGGCAGAGTGACTTCTATACCATCCAGCCATGTAGGAGCAGCGGCAGCAGCAGCAGTGTGCCCTCTGTGTCAACCCCCGACAGCTGAGTTCCTAAACCTTGTGATCCATACAGGGTGCCAGCTCCCTCTTCTTCAGACTGGTTATGTAACCCTCTGTGAGCTCATCTCTCTGATACCAAGAGAGTCATGTATTTATTAAGCCCCCTCTCCTCCAGGAGAACACGTTTGTGTCATTTCCCTGTATAAACTGGTGTCAGTATGATGTACTCAATCCTTTGTTGTCTCGTCTTGAACTGCTCATTGATATGTAACTGAGTCATGCCAAACCATATTAATCTAAACTTAAAATATCAGAAAATATTTTTGCTCATGCTCTGTAGGCTACTTAGGGTACATTAAAAAAATATTCAGCAATGTGAATTACAAAGTCAATCATATGACCTAGTTCAGATTGCCAATTTATGCAAGAGTCTTTTAGGATGCCATGTATCTGGTTGGCTGCATTTCCTTGTATCTACAATTTCAGTGAGTAATACATAACATGAGGGATAGTTCTACTCAAGTTCAAACCCAAATAATTTGGCAGAAATGAAAGACATTGATTTATATATAGTTCAAACAGTCAATTAGGATAAATAACCCCTGAACTCAGTCTATATACTGTGTTAAAGCTTGTTGACTAGTTTAACCCTTCTCGTGTTTCAAAGGACATGTGATGCTCTAACACATCCACAGCTCTTAAATACATGTGTCACATATGGCCTCACATGATATAGCAGGTTAATGTTCAAGTTTCATTTAAAGAGGTTTCATCTTCATCATTATCAGTCAGAGAGTGCACCGGTAATTGAAACAGTTATTTTTATCTTGCTGTAATCCAACACACGCATGTGCAAGTGTGTTTGCTGGTTTGCTCCATGTGTTGCTCTGACCTTGAACCCCTAAACACAGAGACACACAGACACATCAAACACCACACCCTTCCCACCAGCCTTACCCCCTCTACCGCCATCATAGCACTTGATCCCTGAATTGGGGCTCTCTAAGGTATGTGTGTGCGTGTCCGTGTGTGTACGTGCGTGCACACAGGGGGTACTGTGCTGTAAATAACTCCTGGGCATGCAGCCAGGAACTGTCATCTGCCAGTGCAACACTATCCATCCTGTCAATCTTGTTTTATAATTGTAACATTCTCATATTCTCCGGCTGAGCAGGGAAAAGTTTCCAACATAGTGACACACACATATACACACACAGCCACACACAAACATACATATGAACAAACATGTGTGGCTGTTTCTTTTTGCTTTATTTTCATTAACTTCACATCTCAAGCTCCATCAAATTCATGCTAATCAGATTTATTTGTAATATATAATTATTATAAGTCTTCCATCTGACCATTTCTCTTCAGTGTTTTTGTCTCTTACCAGCTTTTTCACCCCTTGTTTTTATCACATAGAAACATGCTTGCAGGAAAAAAACACCATCATTACCAAGTACAATGAGAATTTATTGAACAGCTCCTGTGAGAATTTTTCTGATATTTATAAAATCAAGTATGAAAGGAGTTAGCAGCAAAAGAAAAAGCCCGGTATTCACAATTTCAATATGAAAAACTCTAAACAAATATTGCACTCGACTGTCAAAGTCCGTATGATGAGATATTCTGTCACAAGACTTAAGCATGTAGAGGACAAGACAAGCAGGGACTGCTTTGTCCACAGGGGGCGCTAACATTGAGACAAACTTGAGGTTTCTGACCATAGACTGTATATAGAATGGACAACGTCTATCTCCTCACTGAGTGAAGCCACTCTGAGAACAGCACCCTCTGGTGACGGGCTGCAGTATAGGTCATAAATCCCTCCTCTGCCAGCAAAACTTATGGAGCTGTGGACAAACTTTAGAAATTTATTACACATAATATCAATTTTTCTCCCCCCTGCTTGTGATGTTGACATGTAGTTACTGTAAGACTGGTTTGTGCTCAAGTCCTCTTTTTTTCTGTACAGCTCCGTTTTTAAAAGTGATTAGGGTGTTCATGTTTTCTATGATTGACACTTGATACAGCCTATGAGTGTACGAAGATTGCGTAGCTCACCTGGGGGATACGTTGTTTGAGCCGAGCATCACCACAGCGACTCTCCCACCAAATACTCACAATGCTACTGCGCAATGTTGGTTTTAGGAAGTGGAGAAAAAATGCAGAATTACCACAAGCTTTTCGGCTTCAAATCTGTATACTGGCGAAAGGCGGAACCAAGTTGTCCATAGTATATACAGTCTTTGTTTCTTACAGAACTTAAATCTTGTTAAGGTGACAATAGATTTTAAGGGTTCTTCTACCATTTACTCATGCAAGCACATAATGTACCGCCTCTGGGTATGATCGAAATACCTACAGTGTATTTATGCTGGTATTCAGCATCTGTATATCTTTGTTAATCATGCTCTGTCCATGTGCAAATAACATTTTTCTATAAGGTTTGGAGTCACCAATTTAAATATAATGTTACAAATAGAAACAGAAAGATACACTCACAGATTACACAATCTGTGCTCTGTTCTTCTTTCTCTGTTGAGGTGATTCACAGTATTCAGGTTCAATTTTTAAACAGAGAGACACTGCTTTATCTCAGCCAGCTGCTCAGTTTACTAAAAGGTGTTAAATCTTAAGATAGGTGGAAACAAAAGGGGACTAATCAATAGAGACCTACTTGTGATCAGTCTGTATTAGCCCAGATAGTATTAGTCAATCTCCTGTCTTATGCTGGTTTGAACATTAACCATGTTGGATGAGTAGTTGTGCCATTATGCAGACGACATGTTGCTTTTCTTCTTGTGTTTTATTTGTGTTGGCTTTTTATTCATATGTAAACAAACACAGAGAGCAGAGAAGAGT